CTCTTTTTTGTATTTGATTCTAGAGACTTCTATCATTCTTTTATACAAGCTTTTTCCTGGAGCGAATCCAACATCACACCTTGTTTAAGAAGATTGGGACAACTTTGACTTTGATCTATTTGTTGAACACATTTTCTGGTGGAAATAACTAATTTATCAACATTTTCATTACTTTTAATATTCATTTTGTCAGCTACTTTTTAATTTATGGTCTTTTTTGATATTTCTATTATTGGTCAACCTTGTCTGATTTTTGTTTGGCTTACTAAATATTATAATAGACATTTTAGTCTTACATATACAGTTGAAGTCAGAATTATTAACCCTTCTGTTTATTTTTTCCCCCAATTTCTATTTAACAGAGAGAAGATTTTTTTCAACACATTTCTTAACTCAATAGTTTTAATTACTCATTTCTCATAACTGATTTATTTTATCTTTGCCATGATAACAGTAAATAATATTTGACTAGATATTTTTCAATGCACTTCAATTCAGCTTAAAGTGGCATTTAAAGGCTTAACTAAGTTAATTAGGTTAACTAGGCAGTTTAGGGTAATTAGGCAAGTTATTGTATAATGATGGTTTGTTCTGTAGACTATGGAAAAAATGTATAGCTTAAAGGGGCTAATAATTTTGAAAAAAAAAATTTAAACTGCTTTTATTCTAGCCGAAATAAAACAAAAAAGATTTTCTCCAGAAGACAAATTATTATTAGACAAACAGTGAAAATTTCCTTGCTCTGTTAAACATCATTTGGAAAATATTTTTTAAAAATCAAAGGGGCGCTAATAATTCTGACTTCAACTGTACATGTATGTATTTGCCAGACTCGTTTATCCATAATTAGGCATAATTATACAGAATTCAGGCAAAGAATCAGGGAGCATAGGAAAAAGGTGGATAGAGAGAACACACACTAAGTTGCCAGATTGCAAAGATGAGAATGCAGAAATTGGACGTTTTTAACAACAAAAAAAAATCTCTAAGTTGAGGTATTATGCTCTTGACATCTGGCAACCACAAATATGAACACATAAAACATCCTGTAATAAATTATCTGCTTTTACCACTAAATTGAAGGTTCAATCGAGACTTTTGTATGGTTTTTATTTTAAGGATATATTAGTCATATATTTTGCCCTCAGTGGTATTGCTTGTGATATAGTCACAATTATGGTCTAAATACTTGACTGTCCTCTCATCTCTTGAGAAAAACATTCCCTCTTTGTCAAACATTCTGTATCATATTAGGTTTAAAAAAGTTACAAATAATACACCTTTTGCAATTGAAAATGACCACAGTTATAATGTATGGTAAGTTAAATAAACACTAAAACTAGTGAAACCAACCAGGGGCACTCAACCTGTGTTCTGTGTGGGTCCCTGACGCCCCAGTATATTGATGGGGACTCTATGCTGCAGTGAACACCATCTTTCGGATGAGATGTTAAACCAAGATCCTGACTTTGTGGTTGTTAAAAATCCTGGGATGTCCTTCGAAATAGAACTGGCATCCTGGCCAAATTTACCCTCTGGCCTCTGTTCATCATGGCCTCCTAACCATTCCCATATCAAAATTGGCTTCATCACTCTTCACCTATGGCTCTCCTCTCCACCAATCAGCTGGTGTGTGGCGTGCAGTCTGCCATAATATGGCTGCCATCACATCATCCAGATGCATTTCTGACCTCCAACACTCATTATGTTGTGAAATGACCAGCTAAATGAATAAAAAAGTTTTCTATTTTTAAAAAATTGTGGTGTAAATGGCCTTTAAGGTGCTTGTGCTTTGATATGATGTAAAGCATCTCTGTAATATTTCATTATACTAGAGTGTTTGCGCTGCTTTAGAAGCAATTACTGGTAGGAGAACCAACAGAGACTTAATGCATTTCAGAATTGGTCATATTATACAAAATTGCTCACCTAATCAAAGGAAAGACAGGAAACCACTTACCATATACATTACTTCGTACTTAGAATAAGAACCAGGTTTCTGGCATGATTAGCAAGATAACAAAGCATATTTGAAAGAAACATACTTTAGTAGTTTATGGGATTATTGAGTATTATGAACACAATAGAGCAAGATGTAACCTGTTATTATGCTGTGGGAAACTTGGGGTTAGTATGTGACAAATTTGTGATTTGCCAAGATTGCAAGTGTGCCAGATTGCTACATCTTTGATATTGCATGAAGTAGGTAAAACATTTTAGGCTGTCAATCATTACAAATGTTGTTGATATATGATACTATATAGATGATTAATGAATTAAAATGTAAATAAAATCACACATCGGTGATCAATTTAGTATTTTATCTCCTATTTAATGAGATTGGAAAGGCCGATACATTTTTTTACTATAAAAATTGAAGGAATTTCTGTACAATGCTATTTACTATAGGAACTTTATATAGAATTTAGAAACCCTTGTTTTTAGCAACACAGGTGGCCAATAAGTGAACTGCAGCCAGTTTTTTCTCACACTCATTCATATGTATCGATAGTGCATTGTAAACTCTGTAAATATTTCCTCTCCGAAGGGCAGTTTGTAGTAAAAAAAAAATCATGGCCGTCATATTGCAGTGTCAATCCAAAGCCATATCATCCTGGAGCCCAGGACTTCGTCACTCACTGAAGCTTAGTAGAATTAAGACTAGTCAGTTCCTGGATGGGAGACCACATGTGAAAATTAAGTTGCTGTTGGAAGTAGTTGTTAGTGAGGCCAGCAGGGGTAATCATCCTCTGGTCTGTGTGAGTCCTGATGCCCCAGTATAGTGAAGGGGACTTTATACTGTCAGTGAGTGTCATCTTTTGGATGACATGTTAAACCGAGGTCCTGACTCTCTGTGGTTATTAAAAATCTATTGCAGTTCTTGTAAAGTGTAGGGGTGTAACCCCTGTTTTCTAACCAAATTCCCTCCATTGGCTCTTACTGATCATGGCCTCCCAATCATCCCCATCCACTGAATTGGCTTTTTCACTGTCTCTCCACTCCCCTTATAGCTGGTGTGGTGGCTGCTGTTGCATCACCCAAGTGGATGCTACACTCTGGTGGTGGTGTGGAGAGACCCTTCCCCTTCATGATTGTGAAGCACTTTAAGTGTATGGCTAATGGCTAATCTCTTTAGAGGGACCCTGCAAAAGGATTAGGGTATAAGGATGAGCCCTTCTGAATGGAACCCAGTGACAATATTTTCACAACGCATCATCAGTTGGCCATTGCCACTGAACCAAAACTTGCATATTTTGCTGTATGATTACTACTTCTGAAAAGGATCAATTATTGTCATGTTTTGGCCTGCAGAATCAATCAGGCTGAGAAAAAAACATTAATATAGACTAGTGTTATCACGATACTGGAGTTTGATTCCAATCGGTACTGAAATTCGAAAAACGTCTGTTTTCTACTAACATTTAAGCACTGTTGAGCACAATCTTTAACAGCGCTGATTTGTGATTGTGTTCACATGCTCAATTGAAATGACTGTGATTGGCTGTGAAGGTCATTAGTTCATCGCAATCACTGCTGTTTACTAAATAAAACGACAGAAACAGGGACATGGGGCAGTACCAAATTAGTACCAAATTGCAGTATCATGACAACACTATTATAGACTTCCAAACGTTCTATGAAGTCAAGCAAAATAAAGCCTATTAAAGTCTGCATGAACTGTACGTCTTTTATTTCAGTATGCTAATGTGCTTCCAACTGAATCTGAACATTGAGTAGGGAGGTCTTTTTTTTGCACATTATTCGCTTGTAGCAAACTAATGGTAAGAGTGTTTTGAATATAAGCAAATTATTAAAGCAATTCAATTCATCTTTATTTTTATAGCACTTTTACAATGTAGATTGTGTCAAAGCAGCTTAACATAGAAGTTCTAGTAAAAAGAAATTGTGTTCATCTAATTTTCAAAGTTAAAGTTCAATTTAGTTCAGTTCAGTGTGGTTTGATTTTCACTGCTGAAAGTCCAAACACTGAAGAGCAAATTTATTGATGTGCGTTGCTAAAATGTTATTTTCATTTAAACTTTAAATTTAGTTTGACAAAATATTACACCTTTACCTGCCTACTACTGTAAGCCCTTTATATGGTTTATCATAATCCACACATATTTTCTATCGTTTATATAGCATAATTAAGCAGAACAACTTATTCAGTACTAAAATGGTATGCAATCCATGCTGTTGTTGACATCCAAGTATCTCCATAATAGCCACCCATGGCTAATTATGTGTCACTTATCATGATGTAAGTGAACACACTAAACAACAATGCATTGATGCAAATATAATTTATTGTATGGTTAAGTGTATGCACAAAAATGTGTGCCTGCAGAGAGGGAAAGGAACGTCTTGTTGTGTCTGTATCTGCCTGTCTGGCTTGGCTGACATTATATGAATGGACAGTTGAACAGAGTGGAAATATGTCCTCATTGTTCTGCAATTATAGCTCTCTGCATTCACATGACAGAGGGGCCCTTTACACCAGGAGCCCGCAACTGTTACAAGTAAATATACAAGACTCTGAACAATGCCTGTCAAATAAACCAACAAAGCAAATGCAACACTGGGGCCAGATGTACCACGCATAATAATAATAACAATGATACACTTTATTTTTGGGGGGGTTTATTGTAGCACACAAGTATCAGAATAATATTTTCACATTTTTTCTTTAAGAAAAACACAACAGATTATAAACCTTCCTCCCCTTTCAAGGATAATTTTTCATTTTGAGGTCAAGGCTGGTGCATTGCATTGCTTGACAGAAAGCCGGTTGTATTTCTGTTTAAACAGTGTGAATAATCTATCTAAAACTGTGAATGTGGAAATGCTCGGATCACAGATTTGAGCTCCATGTTCCAGCATGCTCTTAAACTTCATTTCAATCACAAGAATGTAAACTTAGCACTTGCCAGCCCCCACCATCTCATTCATTCTAGTTTAAACATTAATCCAGGCCTTATTGTACCTTTGTGTTTTCACAGATGGACTCCACCAGGTCTCGGCCCTCTGCACCCTCCGCGTGACTATCATTACGGATGATATGTTGACAAACAGCATCACCGTTCGTCTGGAGAACATGTCTCAGGAACGTTTCCTCTCCCCCCTGCTTTCCCTTTTTGCTGAAGGTGTAGCCGCAGTCTTGTCCACCAGTCCCGACGGCATCTTCATCTTCAATGTCCAAAATGACACGGATGTTAGTGGAAGTATTCTCAACGTCACTTTCTCTGCCCTTCTCCCTGGTGGAGCTCCGGGGCGTTATTTCCCATCAGAGGAACTTCAGGAGCAGCTTTACCTGAACCGCACCTTGCTGATGCTAATCTCGACTCAGCGCGTCCTTCCGTTCGATGATAATATCTGTCTGCGTGAGCCCTGTGAGAACTACATGAAATGTGTAGCTGTTCTGAAATTTGACAGTACGGCACCATTTGTGGCGTCTAATACAGTACTGTTTAGACCTATACATCCAGTGAACGGGTTACGCTGTCGGTGTCCAGATGGATTCACTGGAGATTACTGTGAGACGGAGGTGGATCTTTGTTACTCAGGCCCGTGTCAAAACAATGGGAAGTGCCGTAGTAAAGAAGGGGGATACACCTGCGAGTGCCCGCAAGATTTTACAGGTCAGTCATTCTCTTATTTTTTTTTGTTATTTAATAAAGTGTTCATGAATTATTGACTTTCCCAGTGATGGGTTGCGGCTGGAAGAGCATCCGCTGCGTAAAACATATACTGGATAAGTTGTGGCGACCCCAAAGGGACTAAGCTAAAGAAAAATGAATGAATGAGAATTAATGACAAATTAAATTGTTGTGGTGGTTGTTCAACACAAATTCTGTCATTGTCTCTCCATCTGACTGCTCCTCTACAAATATATCAAGAAATATACATAGTGGTGGTAGTAATATGGGGAAAAAAGAGAAAGTGCTTAGGGCCCAACAGCAAAGTTTGAGGATGGGGCAATTACCCCCATTACCCTCACCTGAGACCCCATCACTCTCACCCAACAGCCCAACCTCCAAATCTCCTGTTCCAGTATTGGACTAAGATGCTTTTTACACTAGTGAATTTTTGTTTTAAAACTCAAGGATCTTGTTATGGTTTTGCCTGGCATCCACACTACTCCATCATCTTCAACCCATTAAAATTGAACATTTTGAAGAGACTTTTGTAAATTCACACTTAGCCCATGATTTTTACATAGCTTGTTTGGCATGCTGTCCCTGGAGAGAAGCCTGAGCTCAAGGGATCCCTTTTTCAGGGCGCAGCTCAGGTCGGTCTCAAAACTCCCCCACTGCTGAGGCTAAGGTGAACTTCCTGAGAGTGAGACATTTAGAAAAAGACTTAGGCTTATTTTTTTTCTATAATGTAGAGCATATTTGGACAGTGGGAGGAAACCAGGGAACCCGGAGAAAACCCACTCAGACACAGGGAGAACATGCAAATTCCGCACAGAAATACCATATGGCCCAGCGAGTTCCTAGAGCCATTGGTATTCTTGCTGTGAGGCAGCAATGCTAGTCACTAGGCCACTGTGCTGCCTATTCTGGATAAAGGTCGAAGAAAGCGAGGAAGGGGGTTTCTTCCAGATGACAATAGTTGTAGAAAGGAAATGAGGATATATATATATATATAGCGACTTCTTTGATTGGAGGACTGTGATTAGCTAATGTGGGTCGCTGGGTCAATCATGAGGACTTGCTCCTCTCGAAATTAGTTTAATATTAAACTTCACATAGACCCTGTTCTGGGTTTCCAGGTGTTCTGTTTTGGTACAGATGGCCTATAAGTAGGGCTGGGCAATAAAATGTAAAAAAATAGAAATCGACATTCAGAACCTAATATTTCCAGGTCAATTTTTTCAATTACTTTTCAATTACTGTCCCTACCATGTTTGGAGTCATATGACCCCACTCTAAGGCAGAATTATACTTAAATTAGGATTTATACTTAATATATTATTATGTGGTTATACTTCTGCCAAGGGCATGTGTACAATCCAGTGCAACCGTTGCAAACTCACAAGTCAAAAAAATGTACTTATTATTCGTTACAATGAAGTGTAGTGCAAGCTTTGTGATTGGTTTGTTTGGTGGCTGTTATGAAGGTGGGTGTCGCAGAGAGCCACGTTTTAGGCAAAGTGTGTTTTAATTTTAGTTGTTCAGCGTTGATATTCAATAAATAATCATAGATAGTAGATAGTGTGTGTTTCCTTTAATTATTTTAAAATCAGGTAATGCACCCTACATTCAAAAATGTCTCACTTGTAATATGTAAGCACATTTACTGTACAAAGCTTAGTGAATTATGAGGGGAAAAATAAAAAATAAATATTATTAATAATCGTTCATTAATCGTAATCGTGTAAAAATGTTCAATTAATCGAGATTTTGATTTTAGGCCAAATCTCCCATTCCTACCTGAAAGGCATTTTCTTTTAAACGGGCGTGTGGCTTTTCAAAATAACTCTTAATAACTATAGCAAGTACAGAGATCTTTTTTTCCAAAAAGCAATGAAAATGTCAGTTTTGTCATTATAGAAAAACTGTTTAATTAAAGTTTTAACTAACGTGTTAACTGTGAAGATAAGAGAGTAGGTTTGCACTTGGCACTGGTAGGGACATATAAATCACCTCACCACATTACCCATCCCTTCCGACCACAAACCCCAAATCCTCCTAAGCCACCGCCCCCCACCCACCCTGATTGAATACCGTGGGGTTTGTTTTAACACTGTAAATGCTAAATCACTTTACATTAATACTAGCAATTGTATTAGATTTATTTTAATCCATTCTCATTACAACTCATTAAGTTCAATTAAGGAATATTGTAATGTTAAAGGATTGTTTAATAACTGAAAAAGACAGAGTTTAATAAAGACGTCTGTGTATTTTATCCATAGTGCAAATGAAACATGTCTATATCAGCCTGCTATAAAGTTAGACTGTGCATTAAAGTGGAAAAACGTTTCCCATGAACAAACTTGAGTTTATGTGACTTATACTTTTCTTTGAAAAAAGCTCCTTATGTACGCCTTTTTTTGCCATCCACCATCGTATGTCACCCACTTTATTCTTGCATTGGAAAATTCCCCTACAGTTTTGGTGCTGTACATAGCTACAGCCTCTCACATGACAACATGAAAAGGCAAAGCCAATCACAATGTTCATATGTGTTAGGGGCGGTAGAACTCAAGTAGAGAACGTGATTTAACCTTTTCTGCATGTCTAGCTTAATGTTGACAGTGGAATTTTTTTTAGTCTGTGGATATTGGTGGGGAAACATCCCTTTCCTCCATTCTAAATCTACGCTCCTGTGTGAAGGCCGTTTCATGGTAGTGAACTCGAGTGAATGCAATATCTGTGCTTTTATGTTGTCGTTTATGCCAAATTTGGACCCTATCTTCCAAATGTCGCAGGAGAAACAGATCAGGCAAACTTTGAGTCTTGAAATTGGAGTATTGCATTAAATTGTAGCATTGCATGTAGAATTTTAGCATTGCATGTAGAATTGTAGCATTGCATTAAATAGTGCTGTTCTCAGCTGAAAGGAGGTTCACTGGTGTACCCTAATTTCTGTGTAGTAGTTCATCTGCTTGAAGATTTGATTTTTTGTGTGTTCAGAGATGTTCGGGTTTGGATATTGTTTGTAACATGGTTATTTAAGTTACTGTTGCTTGCCTCAGCTTACCTCTGGCATCAACAAGCTAATTTCACAAACAGAACTGTCACTCAGGGAGTATTTCCTCTTTTCAAGACAATTTTACAACACAGGCTCATTCTGAAAATGTAGCCCTAGTATATACATTTCTGGAGATCACAAATTATGTAGCCAAAGCTACGAATGGCTGCATTACGTCTTTAAAAACGAACGCTATGGGACAGTGTGATGCCATTCCTTTTTCGGCTAACCAGCCTGCATAAGGACGGCTTTTCAGCTGTTACCAGTTTGTTTGGTTGTTGGACATGTACATCGGCGGACTTGAGATGCAGAGCAGAGTTGACCTCAACAATGGGGTGAAGAACAATTCCAGAAAGCAGTACAGAAGCCAAAAAATAAAATAAACAAGTGAATAACAGGGTGATAATCGCTCGGTTGGTCAGTCAGACAGTGAGTTAGTCGACAGCATCCTCTAGTGGATTTTTTGTAAGAAGAGAAGGCACGAATGGCATTCACAAGAAATACTTGAGATATCAAAAAGTGCAAAAAAAACGGCCTCTGGTAGATTTGTGAAAACAAAAACTGCAAAAAAAATTCGCTCCTGGGACGTATTTTCCTCACTCCGGAAATGTATATAAGGGTAGGTAATCAGAATGAGTCTGTGTTTCCATTTTGCATCGTTTATAGATCCCAAAATTCTAATACCAGTAGATCTGCAGTTTCTGAAATATTGTTCATTGAGTCATGTAAATAACCTTTTAAAGCACGGTAGTAATAAATAATAAAGTTGCTTATGATTCTAACTATCTAACCATCATGCAAATAATTAGGTAGGATTGTTTTTCTGCCATTTTTTTAAAAGTATTTTTCATTGTTGGACAATTGAAAATAGCAATTTTAAAAAGTAGTATCATACCTTATTTCAACAATTGCCATGATTTAAAAAAGTTGATGTTTAATATTTTGGTTTTGACAATTTTACTTTTGCCCAACTCCAATCTGTGGGCTCAATATCGATGTATGCAAAAAAAAAAAAATCTATGTTTTGTGTGGTCAGTTGATCCCAAATTGGTTGCAAATTTTCCCATTTTCAGTTGCTCCGACCTGTGAGAGCATCATTGCTTCTGTCATGACTTGAATGGAGATCCGCTCTTGTTAGAAGGAATTATCCCATGTTTGACAGCAGGAATGGTATTCAGACTAAGACCTGAGGTTCAGAGTTCCTGCACTGGATCATTCACTTTGACGGCTTCTGTCTGTTTGTCAGCTCGAGTTTCTGGACTACAGTAAAGAGTAGTGAACCTCTGCCCTCTCCAGCCCTCAGGTAGTATGTGGTCATAACTAGAGGTGTTGACAGTGGCCTCTGTAGTTCCTCTCAGGGGTTTCTCTCATTACAGAGTAATGTATCCCTGTAATTCCTCCGAAATGAGGGATTATCTGACCGACATTTGGATCATTACCCCTTTGGAACCTCTTTTGTGTGTCCCAGTTGACATAGTTCCTCTGGGCCCAGATCTTGTCAAAGTAATGGCAGGTACACAATGGTGTGCACAACGAGCTGACCTGGAATCAGAGATACAGGATTACAAGCTCAACAAGGTAAAGTCCTCCCAGCAAACCTCAGTTGTTTGTTCTGCACCCTGCGCTTGTCAGCATGGTGATGGATTTTTTGGGAGATTGTTATCAGCATGTTTACAGATGTTTCTCAGGTAACAGCAAATCTAACATGAGTAGGTAAACACACACAGGGTCCAAAATAATACTGTGAGTGAACTATCTGTCCGTCCGTCCGTCTATCTATCTATCTATCTATCTATCTGTCTGTCTGTCTGTCTGTCTGTCTGTCTGTCTGTCTGTCTGTCTGTCTGTCTGTCTGTCTAGTCTGTCTCTGTTGGACTTTCTGTCTTTCTTCATGAGATCAGGCAAACTTTAAAATGATCATGCAACACCAAAGTACATTTTTTGAGATGTTGTCGTATATATGTCCCACGCTGCTAAAAACACTATTAGGACATATTTATTTATCTAAAAAGTTTAAAAATTTAAAGTCTTTTTTGTTGTTGTTGTTGTTGTTGTTGTTGCTTATTGAGTAAATTTGTTCTTCTGGTTTTAAATTAAATTTTGAAGCAACGTCACAGCGATGAGATCATTGTATAAATTCCAGCATGGAGATTGGCTGTCTGTTCCAGCGGTACAACGTGACTTCTTTAAGTTTTCATCATTAATTCATGAGAAAGACTTGGTTCCAACCAATTAGCATTCTCTTTTGTGAACGAGATGCAACTTCACTAATATGCATGAAGTTCTCCTGTTTTGTGTGTTTTGTGTGTTCTTGAGATGTCACATTGTTTTGCCAACTAATTCAAACAATTAGTAGAATAAGAATTGTTCGGTGACATGGGTCATCAGTGTTGTGTTCCATTTCCTCACGATGAGAGCAGAGCTTACATGTGGACCCACATGTGTGGATTACAGTGGTCTGCTAACATGCGACAAAAATAAGTTTTTTAAGAAAAAAATGGTGAAATCCGGATTTGCCGCTCATCTTTTAAAAAAAAACACACGGTTCCAGTTCATGTTGATTGTCCTGTCTCTATGGATTTGGTAAGTGTGTGATCAGTGTTCTTTTTGTTTATGTTCCTCCAGATGGCAAAGTTAGTTAGTATCGTCACCAGTACTCTTTTAGTTTTTAAAAACATACCTTAGTCAAAATCTGCCATCTTTCTGTCTGTCTCTGTCTAATGGACCTTCTGTCTTTCCTCATTTTTGTCTGTATGTATTTGTTGTCTGTCTATTTAGGCTATCTAGCTAGCTAGCTGTCGGTCTGTCTGTACTATGTCTTCTATATTTCGGTCTGTCTCTGACTACTGTGTCTGACTGTCTATCTAGTCTGTATCTTATAAACTGTGCATTTGTTGTCTATTTCTCTCTCTCTCTCTCTTTATATATATATATATATATATATATATTTGTATAGTTAATTGTAAAAGCTTTGTATTTCAGTTAATTTAAATACTCCTTAATTCAAACCACAAAGTAGGTTGTTGGCGGTAAATATAATTAATCAATTTAAAATAAAAGTTCAGATGACCCTTGTAGTGATATATTCCTATATTTCAGCTTGTTGTTTTTCATGAGTTACATCTGAATTTAATCAAATGCCCTAAACAAAATTTCTAAACAATTGTATTGAGTATCTACCTGTAACAATGTCAATGATGTCAGTTTCGCCAGAGGCATCTTCCAATACTGGTGCGTCATCAGTTCACCCCAGATCTCATGTCATGTTAGGAGTTTAGTGGAGCAGAACAGGTGTCTGACAGACCACCAGAGCTCTTTCATTGTTCTTCTGTGGCTTTGGCTGTGGTCCTGTTTCTTTAGAGATTGAACAAAGGTTGGTCTGGGTCATTGAGCACTGTGGCCTGCCTGGAATAACTGAGCAAAGAGGACATATAGCTGCTCAATGGTCTCTCTGCAGCCTTTTCGTCTGGACAGAACTGGAAGCCATTGTGTTGTAGGATCTAACACTAAGCTCACTCAAGTGACTGGGTAAGAAGGTTGGGTTAAAGGAACAAGTTTCCAATTATTTTCTGAAATTGTGTGCCATGCATGAATTGCACCTTGTGTCAGTGGATGTAAGAAAGGTGTATTTGTTTCAGGAAGAACCAATAAGCATCCAGAACCTGAACCTTCCATTTTATTAAAGTTAAAATTCTGTTTTAAAACAAGAAAAAACATAATATATTGTTTGTTGGAATTTAGTCGGCAAAATTAATCACAAAATGTAACATCCATTGCACAAAAAAGTGAATTGGGTAGGCTAAATTGTCCATAGTGTATCAGCGTTTGTGTGTATGTGTGTGTTGATGTTTCCCAGAGATGGGTTGTGGCTGGAAGGGCATCCGCTGCGTAAAAATGTGCTGGATAAGTTGGCGGTTTATTACGCTGTGGCGACCCCGAATTAATAAAGGGACTAAGCCGACAAGAAACTGAATGAATGATTAGATGAATGTTTTACACGCTAGGAAACATGGTTCATGTAAGAAATACTGAGCTCACAAATCGATGTGCTGGGTGTGGGTCATTAGTCAGTTGCTTTTGTAACTTCACTAATGATTTGAAGTGGCAATTCTTCAGTTGTGGAGGTGGTTTGTAATCAATTGTGTAAAAATATCTGCTTAATGATTACTAATTGTTAGTGGATTCACTTATTTTAACACAAACTATTGGTTGATTCCGAAATTTGTCAGTTGCTTACTTATTTGAACAACTGAATACAAATTTCAGCAATATACAGATTGTAGTAAACCACTATTGTCCAATTTCTAAAATTATTATATCTAAATATATTATATTTGATGGCAAATTTCACAAATATATATATTACCCATTCACATGAAAGCCTTAAATATCCTGCTGACTCCCATAGACTTGTCAGTTTTATCATGTGTCACATTCATATATTCAAACATTTTGTAGGCATTTCGTCTAAATGGAAATGCGGTTTTGGAAGAGTGAATCAACTATTTTTTTAAACTGGATAAATCTTATAATGACTCCCTGGACATTTTTTGTGTAAACATCCAATCTGTATATTTTGTGAAATGATAATGTCATTAGCCCACGTCTTGGCCTTAGTCAGACACAACTACATTACATAACAGCAACAACAGTAAACTAAATTAACCTGTTAATTGAATAATCCTGCTGAAGTTACGGAGCTTCACAACTTTGTTTAAAAGCATTAGCCATGTTCGTCTTGTATTGACTTGTATTCAGAGCATGCTCCAAGTCTTTTTTTTTTTTTTTTTTTTTTTGATTTTCGTCAATTTGTTTTTTTCTTCTCTATTACTGGCAAAATTATAGTGCCACATACTGGTCTGGCATGTTTTTTTTTAGATATCATTTAATTTTATTTATTTATTTTTTTACTTTTTGCATTTGTAGTCAGTTTCTGTGGCTTCGTGTGTTATTTCTTTATTATTATTTCTTGCTATTAGGCTTGCTATTAAAACAACTACAGTGTAAATGCTAAGGGAACTAACAAACAGACCAGACACCAGAAATAAACTGCAAGGGTGATTACAAAAATGTAAACTTACAAAACAGAATAACAGAACTTATCACTTTAAAAAATGCTGGGTTTCACACAATCAATTTGTGTTGGTACAACATGAAGGAATTAAGTCAACCTATTTGCTTTTTAAAATCTAAGTGGACTGAACAAAAAAAAAAATCAAGATTTGTGTAGTTTAAGCTCATTTTAAATATGTAGTGTGAACAAACAGAAAATTACATTTTTTTACATTAGTGTTAGAACTGAATAACAAGTGTGAATACAAAAAGTAAACTTATAAAATAGAATAACAGCACCTTTGCACCACTCATATTTTCATCAGAAATTCTAAAACGTTTTTGTTTTCTGTTTTTGTGTATTCAGGAGAGCGCTGTGAGGTAAATGCCCGCTCCGGCCGATGTGTTCCTGGTGTGTGTAAGAATGGAGGCAGGTGTTTGGATCTGCTGGTGGGTGGTTTTATGTGCCAGTGTCCCGACGGAGAGTACGAGAAGCCCTATTGCCAGATGAGCACACGCAGCTTCCCCGGCCAGTCCTTCATCACCTTCAGAGGCCTGAGGCAGAGATTCCACTTCACCCTCTCCTTCATGTCAGTAATCTCACTAGAGTTACTCCATCCATCAGTTTACCTGATGCCTACCTATTCATGCATTACTTTTATGAACATGATCTTGTGCTAATCGTTATTTTTATTTTGTATAAATATAATAGTATTAAAATAACTCTCTTAACTTCTCTTCACAAATATTAATAACAAATATTAAAATAAAGCTTTTATTAATGTAAAAATGTTTCATTGTGATGTTTGTAGAATGATATTTATTTATTTATGAATAATATTTCAGGACTTTTTAAAGATTAAGGGGTTTATTTTAACAATCTAGGCAAAAAGTCAAAAGAGCATGGCGCAAAAGCATTAAGGGCATGTCTGAATCCACCATTGCTATTTTAAGGATGGAAAAATGCAGTTTGTGCCCCAGCGCATGGCCTAAATGGGTTATGCTCATTCTCTTAATCAGTTATAGGGGGGTTTTGAGCATAACTTGCATTAAACTAATCAGAGTCTCCTCTCCCATTCCCTTTAAGAGTCAGTTGCGTCGCACCATTTGCCATTCACATGTTGGACTTTGTAAGTGCAAAAACTGAACATTTCACTAGCGAGAAAACCGTTAAACAGACCATCTGCAGCGCAAGGATAAAGAATGAGCCTCCTCCATTTAGCCTCTTTACTTTGTCTTTATTTTTTCTCTTTACTTTACTCCATTACTTTCGTGGAGTAAGAAAACAGTGGAAACTCACTCCATACGCCTACATATTTAATTTTGTTTGTTAAGTGCAAAGATTTTTTTCAAAACCATTTCTAAATTCAGCTCTAATTTCCAGCAAACGAATAAATCAACAATAATAACAAAATGTGGTCAAACAACGGAGTTATATCAAAACACACATTCTATTGCCTCATATGGTGATGCAGTCTACCAAACCCGACAGGTGGACAAATCTAAACTTGTTTTTTAATTAAACAAATATAAAAATGTATATAATAAATAATACTACCACTAATGCAAATTGTCATAAATAAACTGAAAAAGGCAACGGAGTGGCACAGTAGGTAGTGCTGTCGCCTCACAGCAAGAAGATCGCTGGTTCGAGCCTCGGCCGGTTCAGTTTGTGTTTCTGTGTGGAGTTTGCATGTTCTTCCTGCGTTCGCGTGGGTTTCTTTCGGGTGCTTTGGTTTCCCCCACAGTCCAAAGACATGCTAATGTGTCCATGTATGTGTGTGTATGAGAGTGTATGGATGTTTCCCAGAGATGGGTTGCAGCTGGAAGGGTATCCGCTGCGTAAAACAAATGCTGGATAAGTTGGCGGTTTATTTCGCTGTGGGGACCCCAGATTAATAAAGGGACTAAGCCGAAAAGACAATGAACGAATGAATGAAATTTTAAAAAGCCCATGAGTCCACAAAGTGGCACAAATGGACTTTTTTATTTAAACAACATGGTGCAAAATATGAAAATTATGGTTGCGCTGGTCAGATAATAGCAACAAATCTCGCCAAACACGTCTTTATTGCACCAGTGTATGATGGGGCCCAAAATTCAAAAATATTAAAGATAAATATTAAATATTTTAATATTATAAAAGATATATACTACAAATAATAGTATTTCCAGCTGCAACCCAACACTGGGAAACATCCATAAACACTCATTCACACACATACAGTACGGACAATTTAGTTTTACCCAATTCACCTACAATGCATGTCTTTGGACTGTAGGGGAAACCGGAGCACCCGGAGGAAACCCACGCCAACATGAGGAGAACATGCAAACTCCACACAGAAATGCCAACTGTAAAAATAGTATTAGTATTTATAAATGATTTAAAAAATATTTTATTAATATTAAAATGTATTCATGTCATATATTTTATTTTAACAATTTAAACAAAATTATTTCACTTTAAACAATGAATAATTTACATTTTATTCCTAATAATAGCTAAAATCTTTAATTCTGCTCAGATATTATAAATGCAGAGAAATAAGCTTATGGTTGATAATAAGGAAAATAATTATTTTGTTGTAGTTTTGATAAATTATAAACAACTTGATAATTAATGAAAACAGTAAGGGTTTGTACTATATTATGTCTAATATGCAAACATTTACAAATAATTTTTTTATTTGTTTATTTTTTATTGCTATTATAATGTAATTTATCATAAATTTTTATAAATCAATATATCTTACAAAATAATTATACATAATACGAATAAAGATACATATTTCAATGTAGTACTATTTAATTACAAACATTTAATTAGAATAGTTAAAATGATTGATATAATAACATAAATTAGCTTTAATAAAATAAATAGTATCTTAAAAAATATTTGTATGCACCACATATTTTTATTTTACATTTCAGATAATTTGCTTTTACAAGTTTAGCAGTTTATGTCTGATTCTCATGCAAATCCTGTCTAGATATGCCTTGGGAAAATGTCTTTCAGAAAGCCGAAACATTTCCTAAGGGTAAACACCTGTTTAATGTTCCTCACGTCTCCTCACTTTTCCAATATGACATTTATTAATTACTCCGTAACTGATCTAGCAAATTAGACGTGTCAAAACCACATAAGTTCTTCTGTTGGCAAACATGAAAACAGGATGCCGCGTGCAGTGATGCATCTTTGTTCCTACTTCCGGTTCGTCTGCCCCTTTGCCATGTGCTATTTGACACCTTTCCATTTTGAAATCCCAGGTGCCCTCAGCGCAGCACCATCTGAGATACCAGAGGTTGGCAAACATTGCAGTGTCAGTTTCCCCCGTCCTTTACAGCGTCATTATTACCTCTAGCTGTGTCTCTTGGCAGCTTTTATCACTTCCTTTTCCTCCACTCCCTGTCTTTTTTTATTCCTCTGTCAAACCTGTGTCTTTTTGCTGTGAATGATTTGAGGGTTTTCCTGGTCTCTGCAGATCAGAAATCAATATTCATTAAATGTTAATTGTTAATTAATGTTAATTAAATGTTCATTAAATGTGTTTAAAAGTAACATAAAAAAACATTTTTTTGGACTGTGAATGCTAACTTACACATTAAGTTGAAATAAGAACATTTTAAAGTAATGTATTATTTGTTACACATTTTAAAATTGTGTGTTTGTTTGTTTTTTTATTCATAGGTTTGCTACCAGGGAGCGAAATGCGCTTTTGCTGTATAATGGCAGGTTTAACGAAAAGCATGATTTCATTGCGATTGAAATTGTTAAAGAGCAAATCCAGCTGACCTTCTCTGCTGGTGAGTTGTGCACTTTTACCATACATTTTATTGTAGTTTTGACAACAGTACACAATGCTTTTGTTTAATAAAAATACCCATGGAACCAAATGAAATTTGGATGAATTTTTGATATAATTTTTGAAATGAATTTTTTCTGGAGCTGCTTTTTGTGTTATTGTTTGTGTCACTGCCTTGCCTTGCTTTTATTTAATTTAATTTGTGTTTGTTTTCTAATTATTTGTGTTTTTGCTGCCATGCCTTGTTTTTTTTTATATACCTTTTTAGTTTGTTTTTGTTTTTTAATGAAATGCTCTTTTCTTTTCTTTTTTTTTCTTTTCTTTTTTTTTGTTTATTTTCTTATTGGTTGTGTGCATTGTTTTTTTTGTTTTTGTTTTTTCATGTACCCAGTGGGCTTTGAAAAAAAAAAATGTATTTGATGTCAAACCTTGATGTTTATTTAACACACATTGATGCCCTTTTGACCGCCAAAATATAAATAATAAAATAATTTTACACTGGATTTTGTTTCCCTAGCATGTAAACTTGACTGTAATCATATAATCCTCTGAAAGATTTACATCAAATCAATGTCTGAATTTTACATTGACATCAAAAAACATTAAAAATTGATTACAGGACAGACCTGTTATTGATTTTTGACGTGTTTTTCATGTAAAAAGATCAATTTGTGGATGTCAAATGGACATAAAGGTTTTTACATCAAAGTAATTAGCCTTTTTGATGTTTTTATGGTCTTTAATTTTGTCTTGTTTTGTATTGTTTGACTTGGTTTGGTTAAGTTTTTTTTTTTTCGTTGAGTTTATTTTTGTTTTGTTTTGTTGTTTCTTAAACTTCAAACTATTACATGACTTGCAAACATATTTGAATCTGAACAAAGCCTCCGTTGCTAGATATACAGCTACTTTTTGCATCTAAAACATTAGTGCGCATGTGTTTATCAAGAGCTGTGCCAAAGGAAACAGGTGGCCAAAGAGCATTAAAACACATTTCCTCTGTCTACCTGCTCCTTTGTTTTGTCAACCCTTCACATCAGCAAGAGTTGCTGTCCTGTCAGTATATGTAAAATACCATGTCCAGTCTCTTTCTCAAGTCAGAATTGTTTCCATAGGATATACAATAGCGGAATTTATCCCTGGAGTGTCCTAGTATGAGCAGATGCTTGTTACGTCTTACTACAACACTGTGCTTCTGAGAATAAAGACAGTGAAAGGCATTTCCTCTACTGTCCTGGAATGTAAAACAGATCAAACAGCACAGTGATTGTGGTAAATGATGAACCAATAGTAAGGTCAAGGGTCTGTCCCGGCTTACTAGACATCACTCAACATAATTAAGTCTGAGAGAGATATAAACAACTAAAATATTTGAAAGGTTGTGCGCTCAGGGAATGTACTGTTATAGGAGGTCCTGACAAGGCATTATCTCCTTGATAATGATTTACTTATTTTGTCCACTAGACTGGAAAATGCCACACATATTGAAATTCCCAAAGTGCTTGGGAAATATTTGGTTAAAGTGGAACTGAATTGTTTGTGAATTGTATTGCACGTGTTAAGTCATCCAAAAAACAAGCTGTTGGTCTCCTAAGAACAAAAACCAACTAAAACAAAGACATTGCCTATAAAAAAATATATAGAATTAGTACAGTTTTCATTTAACCTTACCCTAACTCACTACATCTACAAATAAGTGTTTTAAAAGGGGGAAATCTACCCCAAAACAACCAAATTCAAACAAACAAACAAAAAAAACTACCAAAACAAAATGTATCTTTAACCCACCAGTCCTACTGCACCCAACCCATGCTGAGCTGAGATTGAACCAGCAATTTTTTAGAGTCGGTTGCTCTAACAAGGAGACTGGAATCATGGCCTCTAGAAACTGTCGCTAGAGCAACTTTTGAGGTCAGAGAAGTGAAGTTTACCTGCATAGCACTTCACTAGCTGGCCTCTGTTACACTCACCCCCCTAAACCTCACTCCCATCACGGATGAGCCTCCACGTGTAACCCACCAGTCTGTGCTAAGCTGGGAACGAACCGACAATTCTTTGTATATTAATTAGTTGCTCTAACAGTTGCTCTATGGGAGTCGGTTAAAGCAACAAACTCCCATGTAAAGAATTGCTGGTTTGTTCCCAGCTCAGACCGGGATGGGTGCAGTAGACCCGGTGGGTTACATATCCATTAAGTATGGTACTAAATGATAGCTTGGGTCCTTATTGTATAACTTACTACATGTTAATCCAATAAAATAAAAAAGTAAACAAATGTTGTCTTTAAAAAGTCAAATAAACTATCCCAAAACAAGGAAATCCAACCAAAACAAAGATATTCCAAAATGTATTGTATTATTATGCAATAAATAATTGTTTTGTCCCACATTCCCTAAATTACTACATGGTTGTCCAAAAAAGAGCAAAAAAAGAAAATAAATAAATAACTCAAAAACTAGTAAATCCAACCAAAACAATGATATTATGAAATTTATTTAACACTTATATTAGTAAATAATAGTGTTATCCCGTATTCCCTAAATTGCTACATAGTAATCCTATGAGAATAAAAAACAAACAAAATGCTATATCCAAAAACAAGCAAATCCAAGCAAAAAAAAAAACAAACAAACAACCAAAACAAAGATGTTCTAAAATGTATTGTTTGCTAAACAAGAGTTTACACTTAACAGTTAACAAGATTAATTTAATTAAGATTGGGGGTTGGGGTTAGGATTAGTGTAAGTTAATATGTACTTTCAAAGTTTCTTATAGTCAGATAAATGTGTGTTGAAGGAGCAATATCAACAGATATTAAGCAGACAGTCTACTATTACTCATAAGTAATCACACCAAGGGTTGCAATCGAATGAAAAAAAAATTAAAGGCTGTTCTCTTTTTATTTGCATGTTGGATTTTTAAATGTAACTATTTAAATTTTTGTAGGTTTTGTATAAAATATGGTCATTTTAATAGGTTATTAAAATGTATTAAGTTTTTGGAAATCATTAAGTGTCTTGTGACCCCTCAGGGGGTCCCGACCCCCACTTTGGGAACCACTGACCTAACATAACAACATTATTTATAATATATTATTAATACCTTAACTCGCCAGAGGGTTCTTAAGTAGGAGTCCTATAAGAGCAAAAACTAAAATTCAAGCTAATGGTGTAATGCCCAACAAAAAAGTAACCTAAGTACCCAGACGAAAAGACAAGCAAAAATATACAAAACAAAAATATAAATGTATGTCACCAAATGGCTGTCATATAAAAGACATATAAAATAATTATCTAAATCATAGTAAAGCAGGGAATTAATAACGTTGGCCTTCGTAACTCACCAAATGGAATAAGATCTTATAAGTGTTATAAAACACATAAATAAAAAAACCTAAAAAGTTTTTTTTCCCCCTTTCCTGTTTGTCTTTAGGAGAATCAAAAACCACAGTGACTCCATTTGTAGCTGGTGGGGTTAGTGATGGGCAATGGCACACAATACATCTACATTACTACAACAAGGTAAGTCATTTGTAAACAACACAATGAGAATGAGCGGTCATTGTATTCTGTACTCCTGGAAGTCAATAGACCTAACTGATAAAACATTATCAAACTGAGCTGCTGTTCAAACAAACGGTTCTTCCGTTTTGCATTTAGTGGGAATCATTTTGCAGGTAATTAGCACAAATTTGTTCTGTTATTGATTTGATTTATGAAGGTATCCAGTCATTTAATCGCCAGAGCAAGTCAAAGTCTCACAATCCCCCTGTTTTTTTTTTATGAAATCAGTGTCTCTATGTCCATATTTCATGAAAGAAGACACCCGATATGACGCGGCATCTCCAGCTGTATCAAAGCTCACAATATCTTCTAAGAACTCCAGTCAAAAGAAACAGCTTGTATTTCTCCGTCTTTGATCCGGTTCAGTTTTCAGACCCTCGTATTTCAGTTGTTGAAATGGAGTATTTATTAAGTTTGGTGCGTGTGTGTAATACATCATGTGTCAAGTTTCATGGCCAAAAGCAAGTTACCTGCATGTCTCATTACACACCGTCTCGTTTTGTAATTTATATCGTTAGCATTATTTCATAACGTATTGAATTCTTGTTCTTCGTGTTTTTAAACAAATAGCTCTCAAGGGTTTTTGTCATTTGTTGTTGCTGCAAAATTAATTCAGCTTGAATGCTTTAAAACCTACTCCTCTACTCCTCTTTAGTGACCTTTTATCAACATCGTTTCCATGTTCCACACTTTTCTTTGGCTTATTCCCTGCTTTATCAGGCGTCACCACACCGGAATGAACCATTATTTGTTTAGGAGGAGCATTTTGAGATCTAATAGAGTCAGTCTATTAAAGCTTCAGAGAATCTTATTGAAGTTTCTTCAAAAAGAAAGTTGTTTCTGAGGCATGACAGTCAGCATGCTGTGAGTTTCTCTGCTTGAGGGCCCATCATTTCTTTGATTTCTTTTTTAAAACTTCTCTCAGAGTTGCACCACAGATTTTCTATCCACTAAAAAAAGGCTGGATGTAAACTCAGAGATGTGCATTAAATTTTAAATTGCACAAAAAAAGAGATGCAGTGCTCTTCCCAGGTGGCAGCAACTGCGTTTATTATTGATAACTTTTCCCAGTGAGTGTTGATTGAAACTTTGAGATGGGAAAGTTGCTTTATTTGTTCATTATTTATGCAATATTAAATGTTTTTACATAAGTTATATTAAGGGTGGCGATGCAGTGGCGCAGTAGGTAGTACTGTCACCTCACAGCAAGAAGGTCGCTGGTTCGAACCTTGACTGTGTCAGTTGGCATTTCTGTGTGGAGTTTGCATGTTCTCCCTCATTAGAGCGTAGTGTGTGTGTGTGTGTGTGTGTGTGTGTGTGTGTGTGTGTGTGTGTGTGTGTGTGTGTGTGTGTGTGTGTGTGTGTGTGAATGAGTGTGTATAGATGTTTCCCAGAGATAGGTTGCCGCTGGAAGGGAATCACTGCGTAAAACATATGCTGGATAAGTTAGTGGTTCATTCCGCTGTGGCGACCCCAGATTATTAAAGGGACTAAGCCGAAAAGAAAATGAATGAATAAATATATTGAACGGGATGAAGCAGTGGCGCAGTAGGTAGGGCTGTCGCCTCACAGCAAGAAGATCGCTGGGTGGCTGGTTTGAGCCTCGGCTCAGTTGGCGTTTCTGTGTGGGGTTTGCTTGTTCTCCCTGCGTTTGCGTGGGTTTCCTCCAGGTGCTCCGGTTTCCCCCACAGTCCAAAGACATGTGTTGCAGGTGAATTGGGTATGCTAAATTGTCCGTAGTGTATGAATGTGTGTGTGGATGTTTCCCAGAGATGGGTTGCGGCTGGAAGGGCATCCGCTGCGTAAAAACTTGCTGGATAAGTTGGCGGTTCATTCCGCTGTGGTGACCCCTGATTAATAAAGGGACTAAGCCGACAAGAAAATGTATGAATAAATAAATATATTGAACGTGGTACTGTTGCTCAGTGGTTAGCACAGCAAAAAGGTCGCTGTTTTGAGCCACGGCTGGGCCAATTGGCATTTCTGTGTGGAGTTTGCATGTTCTTCCTGTGTTCGCCCGGGTTTCCGGGTGCTCCGGTTTCCCCCACAATCCAAATACAAGAGCCAATGGATGTTTTTCAATACTAGGTTGTGGCTGGAAGGGTATCCACTGCATAAAACATATGCCAAAATAGGGGGTTCATTCTTCTGTGGCAACCCCTAAAAAATAAGGACAAAGCCGAAGGAAAATGAATGAATGAGTTAAATTGAGACTTGTGGTTAAAACAAATGATTGTGAAGTTTATTTCTAAACTAATTTTGAGAGGATCACATGCTTATGTCTCCGGTTAAAGTCACTTCTAAACCAGTTAACATTTCTGTGCGGAGTTTGCTCATTCTGCGGGTTTTCCCCGGGTTCTCCGGTTTCCTCCCACAGTTCAAAAAACAAGCAATACAATAAATTAAACATACCAAATTGATACCATAGCCCCCATCTAATACCTACCTAAAATTATCCTACCAACCTACCAAAATATTAAGCACTGCGTTTTAAGCTTAACATTTCTAATATATAAAATAAATCTGAAAAAATTAAAGTTTCTCTTGTCAACACATTGTTACAATACTTTAGATATGAGCTATCTAAATTTCAATAATGTATTGCTTTTTAATTAATGTTTTGCGAGTCAAATCTCTATAACTCCAATTTATAGATTGATTTTTTTTCTGTCTGTACATTTTTGTTTTCTTATTGTACCTTTAGAATACATTTAGGCTCACTGTCAGAAGGGAGAGGGGAGTTTGAGCGCAGGTAGATCTAGATAAACTCCCCCGGGTTACATAGGATATAGGATGGCTGAGGGTGGGTAATTGAACACATTACTCAAGGAACCACATTACTCAAGGATCAGTTTAAAGTTTTTTTTTTTTTTTTTTTTTTTTTGTACTGCTGACTCTTTTACCTTTAGTGATTAATGTTATAAAAATGTGGGACATTTTAAAACTTAAGTAACCGCAAAAAACTCAACACTTTAGCAAAGCCTTTACAGGTTAGTGAACATTGATAAATATTATGTCAACTGTGCAGCTACCACAAAAATTGACCACTCTATCTCACTAAATGTCATAAAACCTCTCAAAAGGGTGAGGTCTTTGTGAGCTCCGGATTATAAAAATATAGATAATCTCCATAAAGATGTGTGCATAAATGTTGCGTATTTTGGTTCACCTTCTTATGTAAAAAAAAAAAGCATTCTAACACTAGCCCTATCTGATATTGGCAGGTATAAAAACTTAATATCACTTATCTTGGTCTCTAAGATGATCTAGATCCTGATCAAAGTTCTGATTGAAGGAACTAGTGCCAAGTTCCAGTTTTATAACTCTCAGAGTGTACACTTTATTGTATTGTCTTTTTTGCTTCAGTCGACAATCAAGAAAACTACAGACTTAAAATTGCATGTGATATATGTAAGGTCTAGCAGGTGTATTGTTGGATTGGAGCACCTTTTACACTTCTGGGATTAGACCCTAAAGCCATCTATTTAGATTCAATAGTCTTTTTTCTTGCATTGTGGCTGTAGCTCCCCCTTAACCTGTCATTAAAACAGTCTGAAGTTCAATATAGTCTGATCGGGAAGGCAGACAATAGCCGACCCCCCGTCGAGTTAATCTGGGACTACAATAGCACGCTTGGAGTTGCTAAAAGCGCCAGATGGCACACATTTTTTCCCTGCTGCACTTAAACATGAAAACACCCCGGCCTATTATTGTAAATCTCCAGAATATGCTTTTTTCGATTTCATGAAGTTTTTCTCCATCTGGAGCCTCGTCCATATGGTAAAGATGTGGTGAAGTAAGCTGTGGTGAAAGTCCTATCAGTCTGTTTGTGTTGAACCTTATACTGAAATCTGTCTTTATTTTGATGCCTGAAAGCTTCCAACATTTATTTGCAGGTTTTGTTATGTATTAATGCCTCTGAACTTCAAAACATCGCTCCTGTTTGACCCCAGTGATGTTTGTTTTGCAGTTTAGCCTGTGTGTTATTTTGTCTGTGGAGTTCTGATGTTTTTGAAGACACTTTCAGATATTTACCTTGTGTATTAATACACAAACTCAGTGAGATGCTGCTGTAATGCAGTAATGCTTTGAAGTATAGCATTTTAAAGTATCTCAGGTAAAGACTCCCTACAAAAATCTTACAATCTTTTGAGGATGGAAAAACTTTGCATTAATTCAGAGTTTGGCAGTTATTGTGGTGCTTTAGGCCTAATAGTTTGTTGTGGCTGTTTTTGTGTTTAAAGTCTCAGAGACCCAAACAATGGACTATTTTCTCTTCAGATTTTTATAAAATGTCTACCTGACCTTGGCCTGTCACAATAGTATATTAGTATAATAGTATATTTTCATGTGGGTGAAAATAGGTCTGGTTGTAGATATCGCAGCCTTTGTTACTTTTTAACCTTGTACTTTTTTTTTTTGTTAACATTTACTAATATTTATGTAGGATATACAATTATACATTCTGATTCCAATGGCTGATTATTAAATGGTTAAAATGATGTTACTGTAATTAAATTAAATACTCTTAAGAATTAAATATTATGTGTTCTTTGGATGAGTGTACTTGCATTTAAGATATTTTATTTTCATTCTGGTATTATATAATGAGTGGCATAAAACGGTCTTAAAATGACAATAATATTGTTTATTGTTTTCAATATATTTATATTATAATATAATATTGTTTATAATTTCTTATATATTTTGCTGCAATATATCATATAAAATATATATATCAACACAGGTCTTTAAAAAAATCGTAAAAACAGTAATATTGTAAAATAACACAATATTACATATTTTAATACTCCTAAAAAGCAGTTTGTATAGTCCAACGCTAAATTGTCAGCATCATTACTCCAGTCTTCAATGTCACACAATCCTTCAGGAAAAAGACTAATAAGCACTTTTGAAAACAGTATTTTACATTTAAATACTTTTATAATGACTAATGTCTTCTCTGTTCCTATTTTAAAGTTTAATGTATTCTTGTTGAATAAAATGTATTAATTTATTCCTTCATTTTCTTTTCGGCTTAGTCTCTTTATTAATCTGGGGTCACCACAGCGGAATGAACCGCCAACTTATCCAGTATATGTTTTAATCATCGGATGCCCTTCCAGCTGCAACTCATTGCTGGGAAATACCCATACACTTCCATTCACACACATACTCTATGGACAATTTAGCTTACCCAATTCACCTATAGCACATGTCTTTGAACTTGTGGAGGAAACCAAAGCATCCGGTGTAAACCCATACACCCTGGGAAACCGGAGCACCCTGAGGAAAATCACGCAAACACCGGGAGAACATGCAAACTCCACACAGAAATGCCAACTGGCCAACCAAACTAGCGACCTTCTTGCTATAAGGTGAGAGCGCTTGTTAAATAAAATATAGTACTATATCTTACTATATTCTATTGTTAAACCTATTGTAAATCTTTTGAGTTAAATTTAAACATGGCTAATGCACATCATAGAAACGTTAATCAAATGAAATTCTTTCAAAAGTGTGTGTCTAGCTTTATGGTATTTAAACATATTTTATACATACTGTAGAGTCTCTGAAATGGATTTCATTTCCTCAATAAAGGTTGACGTTTAATATACAAATTTAATGCATCTGTATTTGTATCGTAAGTAATGTTTATAGCTTAAAAATATAATTTTCAAACACATTTTATGTATTTGCCAATGTTTTTAATTGAGTGAAACATTTAACATATGAGGCGGCACCGTGACAGTGGTTAGCACTGTCGCCTCACAGTAAGAAAGTCGCTTGTTCAAGTCAGGGTGGGCCAGTTGGCATTTCTGTGTGGAGTTTGCATGTTCTCCCCGTGTTTGCGTGAGTTTCCTTAGGGTGCTCAGGTTTCCCCTACAGTCCAAAGACATGCTATAGGTGAATTGAATAGTTGTGCTGTGACAACCTCTGAAAAAGAGACTAAGCCGAAGAAAAATGAATGACTGAAATACTTTTGTTTTTTGGCTCAACATCTGAACGCCTGGAAATATATAACAATTACACAGTAGTGTTATAACTAAATTTGTTTTCCAGGATTATCCTTGTTTTTATTATTGTTTTAGTACAGTTTTTTTTAACTAAATACAACATCTGGGGGAAAAACCTCACATTTAGACCCTGGGATCCGTGATCCATTGTTTTGAACTTGACAAAACAAAAAGGCTGATGAGTTACAAGGTTGGAGGTTAATAGTTGTGTGGGGATTTGTGTGAATGTTTGTTCCTGAGGGCACTGAACTTGTCATTGAGCTCATTTTTGTTACTTGTTGTTGTCATTTATAATATAGCATCAGATTTATTGCTTTAATTGTGATTAAAAATACTAATTCTTCTGAAATGCTGCTCTGCTTTCTCTTTCATATCAGCAAGAGAAACAGACACCTCAACTCTTTTTAATACATTGTTGTCGATGACTTGAGCGCTCTAATGAACTGTCTTCATGGTTCACATCACAACAAACTGACACTCAGAGATGTTCAACACCACGGGGCAAACATCAAAGATCAGCTCTGCACATCACACACTGCACATAATCAATTTTAATGAGCTGAGAAAACTCTTGCGGATGGGGGGAAGAGTGTCGCCAGATAATAGGAAGAAATTTCTGCTGTGTTGTGGAAATATTTTGAGTCTCTGGAGAGGTTTTTCATGAAGTGATGTGCTCTCTTTGTCTGGCGTCTCGTTGGCTTAATCCTATTAGTTGAGCCGAGAAGAGCAAAATGAGTGGTAAACAATCATCCCGTGCTGTTTGTTGGAGATTACAGACAAACAACACCTTTATATCCATATTCACGAAGGTGATGCAAATGCAGATCAAAGACTTAATGCATCTTAGTTAGGAATTAAGAAGATGTTTGACTGAGGTTTAATAGTGACATTACAATAGATCATGGGTTTTGATACTGCATTCTGCTTAATGAAAGACACTCAAAGTGAACGGAGCAGAAATGTGCTAATAGTTAGTAAAAAAGTGCACATAAGCTATTATTTCATTAAATATGTGGTAATTTACAATATATACATTTTCTAGCACAACATCTGAACATTGGATAAAGTCAGGATTACTTGTTGATCAAGTTTTTTGACATTAAAATCAAAGATTCACTGTAAAAAAATGCTTTAAAATTTACAGTATTATTGGCAATTTTAGTTGCCAGTAATGCTGTAAATATTACAAGTACATTGTAAATAACCAACTACAACTGTGCTGTAGTTTTTCAGAACAATTGTAATTATTATTTTACAACACGCTTGTAAATTTTACAGTATTATTGCTGATTTTTGCAGTATTACTGGCAAAATTTAGAAGCGCACTGTAAATGAACATTTACAACTGTGCTGTAGTTTTACAGCACAATTTTATTAATCAATTTACAGTGATTTTGTAAGAATTACAGTATTACTGGCAACCAAAATTGCTGGCAATACTGTCAATTTCACAGCATTTTTTTACTGTGTTTTTTCAAAGAGGATTTTTGGAATCTCTTTTTATCACTACATTCAGTAGTTTATAAATAAATAAATACACAAATGTTTCTACATTTCTACGTAGATTTTTTTGTAGAATAAAATGTTGTACATAATTAATTTATATATGAACAAATCGGCAAACCATCATATTTAGCTATAATGAAATATCACAGAATAAAAGTCAGTAATTTGCATTTGTTTTCATTGAAGCCTAATATAGGGCGTCTGGGTGTCCCTCATGGCCCGTCACAGGAGAAGGTTGCAGTGGTGGCACTGGATGACTGTGACGTGGCAATGGCTCTGCGTTTTGGAGGGCAGATTGGAAACTACAGCTGTGCAGCCCGTGGCACTCAAACAGGCCAGAAGAAGTAAGTGTTTTCTTGTTTGTTTTTTTACAACAAAAAATAAGAAAAATTCACAATGATCAAGCAAAGCAAGAGCACGCACACACACACACACACACATACACACACACACACACACACACATACACACACACACAAACACACACACACACACAAGCACAAGCACACACATTCACCGTTGAGGTCAACATTAGTAGTCGTCCTGTGAACTTTTATTTCCCAAGTGCTACTTAAAACACGTTTTTTGACATAATATTTGTAATAACTAATTTCTTTTGTCTTTGCCATGATTTACAATATTTTGCAACATTCTAGTATTCTTTCATAATAACAAAAGCTATAAAGCACTTTATTATAAATTTATGAAGTTATAATACTTTAAATATCATTTTACATGTTAGTAAACTTCAGTCATAAACAACTGACCAAAAATAAGATTAAAATTTAAACAGGACAGTACCTAAAATCATGTTTTGGAAGTATTTGCACTGTAAAAAAAGGCTGGGTTTCACACACTTCCTTCATGTTGTCACACCACAAATTGATTCAATTAGCTTAATTGTTTTACAAATTTAGGTAGATTGAACATAAAGCAATTAAGTTGTTCATTTTAAATTGAACGAGCAGCAAAAATAAATTGAGTGTAGAATACAGTATTATATTGGTTTGCAATTCACAAAAATAGAGGTGTTTTTTTGTACTCTGACTGATTTTTTATGAAAATCAACAGTGTTAGTTTGTGTCAATAGCGATGTTTCCATCTACCTATTTTTATGCACATTTTGGATATGTGCATAAAAACAGTTGATGGAAACACCAAGATGCGCAACAACTTTGAAAATAAAAAACCTGCTTATAACTGTGAAGGTTAACATTTTTACGATGAGTAAAGATGCACATAAACTACAATGTAAACACTTTCACTGAACAAATTCCAGTATGCACATTAAAGAAGTCATGTGATTTTGTTTTAAGAGATTATGTGATGATAGAAAATGTGTGTGAATGGACAAACCAGCAGGCTAAGCACATTGTAAACCATCTGAAATACTGCTTTGGTCATTCTAAAACACCTTAACCGTTTCAGTATTGGTGTTATATTATTTATGACCTCCAGAATTGTCACGTCAGAATTGTCATCTGTGCTCCACGTTTGACGGTTTTAAGAAGCTACATGCGTTCGCTGCGTGTCAGCATTGTCTTCAGAGATGCAATTCATTTTTTAAATAAGTAAATGATTGATGCAGCTTTTTCTACTGCTGCAAATTTGCTAAATTTGACTACTTAGATGGAAATGCTGCTTTATTCTCATAGCTTATATGCAATATTCCAGTTTTGCACATAAATATAATCAGCATATTTGGATGGAAACATAGCTAACTCACCTAGCAAATACAACTCTATTTCTTTTCTCTTACCTTCATTCTTTCATTCATTCATACATTTCCACCGTCTGCTCTCCTGGGGCATGACATTGTGCTCTGAAAGTGAGAGTGTGACAGAACAGAGGAACCTGAGCTCAAGAATGCACATTAACCACCAGCGGGTGTTGAATAGCCGATCATTACAGCAGATTACACCACATTCTGCTACTCCTCTTACATTCAGCTCCCATCGTTCCTCCTTAATCTCCAGCAATGTGCATGTCAGACTAGTTTTATGGGCTCTACAATGAACCGCACTTTCAGCTTATCTGCAGCTGCCATTCGCCATTGTGGGCTAATTGTCTGTGTGTGTGTATGTTTGAGATGCTGGAGCTCCATCTGAGATAAGTGGAGATCTGCTGGGTAAAGCCTCTGATACGCCACGGTCAGGGTCTGGCCATATGCTCACTGTAAGTGCTGACCCATAAACCTACAGGTCTGTGTGGATTTATGGGTCACGATAGGAGATCTAGATGAAATGCATTGCAGTTTGTGAAAATGTGAAGGCCAGATGCTGGATATTAAAAAAAAACCACAGTGTAACATGACTAAATAGCAGCCTTTATAGATCTAAATATAAACTTGTTTTTCTGTTTTGCATTTAGATGGTCTCTTTTTTTGGAAAACCCTCTTTTGGAAGTATTTCAGATTTTCATTTTAGTAATCTGATCCCCTTTCCATGGGTGGTAGAAATGATGGTGATGGGCATTGCTGCCAGATGTTGGCATGTAATACTGGATAAAAATCTTTTTTAAAAGAAAAATGGCTTTGAAGGGCATTAACAGCATTTACTGTAGCTTCTAACAAATAATGCAAAAAGCCAAAAAGTTTTATCAAAAATGCAAAAAATAATAAGCACAAACTGCATTTTGTCAATTTAATATTGTTTTTAATATTAATAATCATTTTAAATGTATTATTCATTCATTCATTTTCTTCTCGACTTAGTCTCTTTATTAATCTGAGGTCGCCACAGCGGAATGAACCACCAACTTATCCAGTACATGTTATATGCAGCAGATTCCCTTCCAGCCACAACCCATTACTAGGAAATTAAATGTATTATTATTATTATTATTATTAGTAGTAGTAGTAGTAGTAGTAGTAGTAGTAGTAGTAGTAGTAGTAGTAGTAGTAGTAGTATTAGTGGTATTATTATTATTGAAAAGAACAATACTCCAATAACAATACAAATGATCTATTATCATCATTATCATTTTATCATTTTATTATACAACAATGTTAATATTTTTAAATAATAATACAAAATGCAAAAATAAACAGGAAAAACCACTGAATAAAAAACAAACAGCAAGAATTTTTATCACATTCACTGAAAAAAAGCAAATTCATTAATTCATTCATTTTCCTTTGGCTTAGTCTCTATTTCATAGGTCACCACAGCGGAATGAACCGCCAGCTATTCTGACATTTGTTTTATGCAACAGATGCCCTTCCAGTCACAACCCTGTTCTGGGAAACACCCATACACTCTCATGTTCACACTCATACACTACAGCCAATTTAGTTTATTCAGTTCACTTATAAGGCATGTCTTTGGACTTGTTGGGGTAAGCGGAGCACTCGGAGGAATCCCAAACTAACACCGGGAGAACATGCAATCTCCACACAGAAATACCAACTGGCCCAGCCCAGACTCTAACCAGTGGTATCCACTAAGCCGCCGTGCCGCCAAAAATACTAATTATGTTTTTATTTAAATTTTTTATCAAATATTAAGGTATATATATTTTTATTTCCATATAAAGTTCATCCAATTCTGTCATTATTATGTCCTTGTTTTTTCGTTCAAAAATACACTACTGGTAAAAAGTTTGGGGTCAGTTTTTTTCATGTTTTTTATTTATATTTTTTTAAGGAAAATATTCTGGTGGCATTTATTAAATGTAGCTAAATTGTTTAAATATTTATTACAATTTTGAATAACTGCTTTCCTGTATGTAGTTTGAAATTAAATTATTACTCAAGTCATAATTGATTTTATTACTATTACCATTAATAATAATAATAATAATAATAATAATAACAATAATAATAATAATAATAATAATAATAATTAATATTAGAGTGATTTCTGATGGATCATCTGACTCTGAAGACTGGAGTAATGAAGCCAAAATTTTAATTCACTGGATTAAAATATTAAATTAAATTGTAAACTACTTTGAACAGTTATTTTATGGTGCATAGTAATGTATTTTATAATTATAGTCATTTGTACTGTATTTTTGATTAAATAAATGCAGCCTTGGTCAGCAGGATAAGCTCATTTTAAAACATTTTAAAATCCTACTGACCGTAAACTTTTGACCGGTTTTGTACATATTTTTGTATTTACTGAAACACAAAAGGTGATGAATGAGGTGTGAGATGGAAAAAGGAGCCACTCAACTCATTGTTGTCTATTTTCTGTTCAGTGGGTCTCAAGGTTTAGATATCTCAGTTTTGCACGCACATAAACCACATAAACATTATTTGACAAATACTGTCTGTAATACTAGAAATAGTTTGGTACTGTTTGTGCATATCCATGTCTTCATGTGTTTTTCTGTCTGTGTTTTCTTGTGTGTGTGTGTGTGTGTGTGTGTGTGTGTGTGTGTGTGTGTGTGTGTGTGTGTGTGTGTGTGCGTGTGTGTTTGTGTGCATGTGTGTTTGCATGCGTGCAGGTCCCTGGATCTCACTGGTCCTCTTCTCGTTGGTGGTGTCCCAAACCTGCCTGAAGATTTCCCAGTCCAGAACAGAGACTTTGTGGGCTGCATTAAAAACCTGACCATCGACAGCAAGCCCATAGACATGGCCAACTTCATCTCCGACAACGGCACCGCAGCAGGTTAAAAATTTGACTGTATATTAGGGCATTCCCTCATTCAAGTTATATAATTAGTTGAGTCAAATGTCTGGATATAGTACACCTTGTAGAATCTGCTAAATATTAATTATTTCACAAAATAACAGGGATTATTTATTCATTCATTCATTTTCCTTCGGCTTAGTGACTTATTTATTAGGGGTTGCCACAGCAGAATGAACCGCCAACTACTCCGGCGTATGTTTTACGCAACGGATGCCCTTACGCTGAACTCAAAACTGGGAACATTTTTATTAGAATTTATTATTATTATTATTACTATTATTATTGTAGTAGCTACAAGATAAAGTAATAGCGTAATTTATAATTATGGCACTCAAAATTATGTTTGTTCTCAGCTTGGTATGAAAAGATGGATCTTAAAGTCTTACAGGTATGATTACAAAAGTGTTAACAAAAATTATGTAAAGCTAAATATTTTCAGTGATGATGAAGGATTTTACTGCAGAATATTTGGCAGCTGTTCAGCACAAACAAAGGATTCATAAACAGCTATCACTCAAAAAAAAGATGTGGATAAATTATTATTTTTTTATATTGTGGGTCATACAGTCATGTGAAAAAAGTTATATTTGGTGTTTATCCATATCAGGACATCCGACATAATAAAAAAAAACTTAGAAATTTGGAAGATAAACAACATCAAATATCAGACCATATCATTATTTATTTAAATAAAATAAAGCCAAGGTAAAAGAAAGCTAGGAACTTAGGACGCCCTATAATTCCAATGCCTGTAGATCTACTTTTAGCAGTAATTACGTCACATCTTTTTGTCAAATATCTTATTTAGGTAAGTCATAAATAAAAAGATGACATGGATTTAGTTTACACCCTCTTATTTTATTAAAAGGCACTTTTAAAAGCTGTTTGGACAGAACTATGTGTTGGTATAGTGTGTCCACAGTCATATTTTATTAATAGAAATACGTCTTCTTTATTTCCTGATGATAAAATAGGTTTCAAATCCTTCCCATTTGAGGCTCACCGTAACGTGACATGGGAGTGCGGTGTCCTCGCCCACCAAATTGACAGACTTGTATTTTCTGCAGTAACCAAGCAGCAACCTCTCGCTCTCCCTCGGGAAGAAAATACGGAAGTAACTGAAACTGCAATTCATCAAAATTCCGCTATTCCTGGCTCCATATGGAGCAAATTTCAATTGAGCCCACTATTAGAATGGCCAACTTTACAGCAGAAGAAAAAGGTGTTTACAGCCTGGTACAAAGAACAATTTTGGTTCATATTGCTAACATTACCCTGCATGACAACTGTGATGGGGGTGAATTTTTTTATAACTCATCCGTTTTCTTAATTTAGGTTATGTTAAGTCTGCATAATATAAGGGCGTGTCACTTGAGTGACAGCTAGGTCTTGCTGATCGCCGTCACTTCACCTTAGCTGACTCAGACAGATTAGCTGTTGAAAGCAGCATACACATAAAATTATTTTTGTGTTGTTTTATGTGGCTTTACACAGTCAGTTGCCTTTTGGGATTATTTCCTATAATTATCAGATAATATGGCATGCTGTGTGCACTTAATTGTGCTCACAAACCATTCACTTGGCCTCAATTTCCCAGGTTAGTGAAATTATATACTTATACCATCTCTATTAATGCATTGGTCTTATTTAAGATCATTTATAATGTTCTTTAGAGCTTTAATGCACTCCAGAATCTGATAGATTGATTATCAGATTGATTAGCTGTTGGCTCTAGAACAGTCATCTAAAGCGTTGTCATACACTGTTATGCTGGATTTCATCAATAGTTTGGCATTTACTAACACACACAGACTATCTGAAGTGTTTGGAAGTATTTCGCGTTTTCCTCCTGGTTAAAAAATGTCATAGGAAAAATGCTTAATGGCTCAATATATTACAGCAGTGCTTTTAAAAGTCTAAACACTTTATTTATATAGTATACAACCAAGTACATGTGGTCAGAACACAAACGAGTCTCAGGTAATGAAGTATTAAGCGTTTCTCCCATAGGAAAGTCCGTCTGCAGAATGTCAGCATGCATCTGTAACTCCACTCACGCTCCGCCTCTTTGCCCTTATTTGGTATCCCTCTGTTGGTACAATGGCGCGCGAACAAAATGGCGATGGTTGGTCACACCTACTTGTTGTTACTTTTGGGTTCTTCATAAACCTATGGGTGACATCACTGATACTACGCCCATATATTTTACAGTCTATGGTAGTGAAGCTTATAATCATATCAACAAGAAAGGACGTGCGCAAAGCAACTGGAATTAAAAGGTCTGTTCAGCTCTCTGTGATCATCAATCATCATCAAATGTGATCAAGAATGAGTTTCACAAGTTCAAAACGTTTTTAAAACAGTGCAAGTTTGTAATGAATTACAGCGATTTTACCGTCTTTACTTTATCACCACAGCCGCATGTTAGGACAGTTATAAAAGAGGACATTTCAATCCAGTTTGTGGACTTTAATCAGGTTTTTTTGTACATTAACATATCCATACAGCAGTTTAAATTAACATGTGTCACATTTGCAGTGCAAAAACAATGCAAAGTTAAATGCGCACACTGTGTGTGTCCGCCTTGTGTCTGTGTTTGTGCGTGAACTTTGTAACGACATTGTGTGTGACTCATTGTTGGAACTCACAATAAATACATCAAATAATAATTGTCCAAATTTCTTACTGTAGTATTTATCACAAATGTAACGTGAGATCTGTTTCCTTCATGTCTGTCACTGTGCTGTTTAACTGACGCAGCTGAGGGGGAGATTGAGGAACACTGACAGGCATGTGGGAACTGTGGGCGGGAAGAAATAGCATTAAAGGCACTGGCAACAAAAACAGCTACATTGTATTCAGAGCAGAAAATTCCAACATTCTGAAAGCTATAATAAATACTCTGATGAGTGCTTTGAGCTGAAACTTTACGGATACATTCTAGAGACACAAAAGACTTACCTTAAATCTTGAAAAAGGGGTAAAATAGGTGCCCTTTAAACTTTTTACTTCAGCTGTATGATTCCAAGCACTGTTATTAAAACTCAAAGCTTAATCCTTCACAAAGTCTCCACAAAAAGTAATGTTAGATAAAAGAGAGAAGATGTGAATATGAGCACAGCCCTGTTATTTTTGAAAGAATGTTTTTCTTTTATTTACACCTGTTCATTAAGGTGTCAGTCTGCAAGCCTTAATTTCTAAAGTGCATTTCCCCTTTTGTATTCAGGTTGTGCAGCAAAACGTGACTTTTGTAGCCAGGCTGTTTGTCAGAACGGAGGCGTTTGTGTGAACAGATGGAACACCCACACCTGTAACTGCCCATTAGGCTATGGAGGGAAGAACTGTGAGCACGGTAAGATAATCCTCTCTTTCATACTCTTTCTATATGTCAGTCTTCATCTGCCTTCATATTGCTTAATGGACACAAGCGCATCGACACGCCCCCTGTGTTTTGCTTGGATTTGCCCTTGGCCACCATCAAATACCAGTGAGTCATGCATGAGACAGGAAGCGGTGAACAGGATCTATCTGTCTGTCTGCCTGCCTACATGCCTGCCTGTCTATCAGTCTGTCTGATCTGTCTGTACGTAAGACCTGTCTGTATGTCTAGTCTGTCTGTAACTCCGTCTGTATCTCCATATATCTGTCTGCTGTCCGTATCTCCTATTTGTTTGTCTGTCAGTCTGTTGTATCTGTCTCACCTGTCTGTATGACTATATGTCTGTCTGTCTGATCTCTCTGTTCTTTCTATCTGATCTGCCTGTCTGTATGTCTAATCCAAGGGTACCCAAGCTAATCAAGCTCCTATTAGGCTTTCTAGACATCTTTGCAGGTGTGTTGAGGCAAGTTGGAGCTAAAATCTACAAGACACCAGCCCTCCAGGAACAAGTTTGGACATCTATGATCTAGTGTATCTGTTTGTCTTACTGTCTGTGTCTGATCTGTCTGTCGATCTGTTTGTCTGTCTGATCTGCCTGTCTGTATGTCTAGTATATATGTTGGTCTGTCTCATCTGTCTGATCTGGCTCTCTGTATGTCTAGTCCATGTCTATGTCCAAACTCCTGCAAAGTGTAGTTCCAACCCTAATCAGAGACACCTGGGCTAGCTAATCAAGCTCTTACCCAGCTTTCTAGAAACATCCTTACAGGTGTGTTGAGGCAAATTGGAGCTAAAATGCGCAGGACACCAGCCCTCCAGGAATGAGATTGGACATCCCTGATCTAGGCCCAATCCCAATTTTATTTTTGTACCCCTAACCTTTCCTCTTTCCCTTGGCACTTGAAACAGAGAGTAAAGGGGATAGGCCTCAAAATGTACCTCTAATGCTGCGTTCACACCAGGCACGGAACGCATGTCAAGCACGAGTGATTTACATCTTAAATGCAAATGCGTGAATATAAATCCTGCGGCGTGATACGCGCGAATGGCGTGGTGCAAATGACACAAATTGCGCAAATGGCGCGATTTGCGCGAATGGAGCGTTTTGTGTGTTTGATGCGCGTTTCGCGCGAATTGCTTGAGTTTAAAAGTCTGAACTTCAGCGGACATTCGCGCCACGTTAACCAATCAGTAGCTTGCTCTTGTGGGGGCGTGATTGTGATGTACACATGTTGTTGGAGTCCTGGGGGAAATCCTCCAGCCGACACCGACAAAAAGTTCATCAAACTGGGCTGGGCTCAGTCAGAAGCACAGCTGAAAGCCTCAATCATCCAGGTTAAGTTTCTGGAGGAGTTTATGAGCACACAGAGCTGGATGCACCTTTGAAATGATCTAGTGGACTCAGACACGGCCCTAAACGTATCGATGCTGTTTTTAGCCTTCTTAAAGCACAAAAACAGTTATTTTCTCAATAAAATCCATGTTAGCCATTTAGCTATGAAGCTAGAGTCACCAGGCAAACTGAAGCCCTGCCCATCACGTGAATCCGCGTCTGTTCTGAAGTAAATTTGACGCATGAATGAATCGTATTTGACGCGCGAATGAGCGAGTAAACTCAAATGTCCAAGCGACTATTTACGCGTGAATGTTTTTTAATTTATGTTCAGGAAATTACCAAAGGCAACAATATCGTGTTATCATAATGATCTAATGTGGCAATAAGCTCGTAACTGTACTGTGCATTTACACCATGGCCATATTCATTTATGTAAACACGCAAAAACAACATAAACATTATAGCAGACACTGTAAAAAGGTCGTTCTCAGCCACTAGACTTTTTTGACAGGGAATTTGACAGTTATCAAGTGACAGAATGTTGTAGGACTGCTATACAGGAGTTATAATTGTGGATTATAGATAAGGATTTAGATTTACGTGACAGTAAAACATGAACGCGGTTATAAATATATTAAAACATGTGCTTGTTTGTCGTAAAAAAAATTTTAATAATGAGAAAAAATACTGACTTTTGCATTTCTTGACTTCCCTGTGCAGCCATGCTGTTGTTGTGGCTGGTGTATTCTGCCTATATTCTTGTTACCCCTTGGTTTCGAGTGTGGTCCTGGGAAATCTCTGTTTCAAGGGCTATCTAGCCCTTTCCCTCAACCCTACGCATCACCCCCACTATGGATCCCCCACTATGGATCACCCCCACCCCTGCACGTGAACGCCCAAAAGGGGAGGTAAAGGGAAAGGGCTAAAATAGGGTAAAATTGTGATCTGTCAGTCTAACTTTCTGTGTCTGATCTCTCTGTCTGTCTGTCTGTCTGTCTTTTTGTCTTGTCTATCTATCTGTATGTCTGATTTGTCTTTCTGTCTATGTGTCTGTCTATCTGTTTGTATCTATGTCTGTCTTATCTGCCTGCCTTTCTGTCTCATCCATCTGATCTGTCTGTCCATGTGTCTGTCTGATCTGTCTGTGTCTCTGTCTATGTGTCTGTGTCTCTGTCTGTCTGTTTGTCTCTGTATATTTGTCTGTGTCTGATCTGTCTGTTGTGAGTCTGCCTGTCTTTTCTGTCTTTCTGTATGTCTGATTTGTCTGTCTATGTGTCAGATCTGCCTGTCTATCCATGTGTCTGTCTGTATGTCTAGTCTGTCTGATTTGTGATATGAATTAATATTCTCTTTTCTGTATGTCTGATTTGTATGTCTGGTCTGTCTGTCTCATTTAAATATTCTCTATTCTGAATGAATATTAAGTCTATCTGTCTGTATGTCTGATTTGTCTATCTGTCTGTTTGTGTATGGTCTGTCTGTTTATCTGTCTATCTGCCTATGTGTCTGTCTGATCTGTCTTATTTGCCTGTCTGTCTTTCTGTTTGTCTGTCTGTCTGTCTGTCTGTCTGTCCGTTTGGCTGTCTGTCAGTCTGTCTGTCTTAAACACACCTGATCAAACGAATCGAGTGCTTTAGGCTTGTTTGATACCTACACATAGGTGTGTTAAAGCAGGGCTGGAACTAAACTGTGCAGTGCTACGGCACTCCAGGAATTGAGTTTGACACCCGTGAGATACATGGACAGACTTAGACAGACAGAAAAATCAAACATACAGACAGACAGATGTGATGTTTCTGATCTGTCTGTCTGTGTCTCATCTGTCAGTCTATCTTTCTGTCTGTCTATAGCTATGTTTCCATCCAAAGATGCTAATTAAATTTATGGGCAAAACAGGAATATTAGTTAAAAGACATGCAAATAAAGCAGTGTTTGCATTTAAGTGTTCAAAGAGAACAAAATCTTCACTTCCTGATTAATTGATGTCAAATATCAAAAGTAAAAATGGAATTTTCTGTGGTTGGAGAAGCTGCATCAGTCTTTTCTTTATTTAAAAAAAATCTTGCGCCTCACAAGACAAATGCCAACACACAATAAACGCATGGCAGATGCAATTGGGAGTTCTGGAGGTTATTAATAATAAAATAGCACTAATACTGTTCTCAGTTATGCATTTTCTATCAAACATTTTTTATGCGCATATCCAACATGTGCAAAAAACTGGTGGATGGAAATATAGCTTATGTGTCTGTCTATCTGTCTGTCTGTCTGTCTCACCTGTTTGTCTGTCTCACCTGTCTGTCATTCTGTCTCTCTGTGTCTGTCTCTCAGTGCTGTAATGACAGGTTATAGTTTATATTATTTTCCCCTCTAAAACCATTCAAGTAAGTGCATTATAATCACAAAATGTCCCCATTGACGGTAAATGAAGATTTGAAGTAGGGAATGGGGTTGCAAATGGCTTAACATTTTCAGCAAGCTTAGTTTGACCTAATTTTCCGAGTAAAAACCTAGTTGCAAATTCTATTTTTGCTTATCAATGGGATGGAAGGATCACACAATGTTATGAGACCATAAAATAACATACTTTAAGGCATAGTGTTGCCAGTGGAAATACATTGAAATTCCTAATTTTTCAGATTTTTTGTACAATCAATACATTCTAAAGAGACAATTAAAGGCATGTCACCAAAAAATTTAAGATGTGCTTTGGTAGAACATTAATGGTATAAACATTAATCTTTAGCTGAAACTGTGGTCATTGGCGATGTAAAAAAGCAAGTTTTTGGTTATCTGCATTTTTAGCAATAAAAATACAATCAGGCAAAACTAAATTAATATCCATAATGATAGACTGAGATCTTAAGACCGAAATGTGATTATGCATGAAGAATAAGACCTCAATGTATCAATAGGAACCATTCATTAATTTTGTGTTAAATGTAAAATAACAATACCTGTAAAAGTAAAATAGGTAGAAAAGCTAAAATCATCTATCAAGCTCATTTTCATTTTTGGGTGAATCCTCTCTTCATCCTTTAGGAAAAAAAGAAAGCCTAAGCAAAGGCCCATCTGTGAATATCACTAATATTACTGTCACAATCTCAGGGTTGGGTCTAAGATATACTACTGATATTTCCATAAGTTCAGCCCACACATGCATAAGTAAAATATTTGCCCCGAGGACACTGGTTTGTAAGAGCATTTCACATTCCTGATTAAGAAATCTCCTGGATGACTGGAAAACATTCCACCGTGTACAAATGCCAGTGATTATTTGTGCCTTGGGACAAAAAGGAATGTCAAAGTGTTTCCTTGATCATGTGTTTGTTTTTGTTTTCAAGTTATGCAGTATAAAGTTAGCTATTTTTGTGAAGAAGGTGTTCTACAAATCCATCTAACATTGCAGCATCTGGATTTTTCTCTCAGTGTCTGAAATTGTGCTTTTTAGGTTCTCCCCTGAGTCATTTCCCCTGCAGAGTGAGATTAAAAAATCTAATACATTTCATTGAACTGTTAGAATTGCTAAATTCCATAACTTACAGAAGATTAAATTTGTATTTAATAGTTACATAAAAAAAAAAAAACATGCAAATAAGAAGCTGTCTGGCTTTTGATTTTTTTTCCTTTGGATTTGAGCCCTGGGCTATTTACATTATATTAACATCTCAGCAATAACGTAAGTTGCAGTAGATTTCTTTTATGGCACCATGGTAAACTTTGACACCTTTATAGCATTCACGTAGATTAAAAAAATTATAATTTTTTAAATATTTTTTTACATATCATCAACACAATTCTAACATTATTGGCTCTATACACCAACACAAAGGATTTGAAATGAAACCAACAACCCAGTAAATAACAAATAAACCCAGAGTCTAGTGATGTCTATACGTTTCAGACTTTAGGCTGTACTTGACTGCAAAGGATTTGCAACCAGGTATAAAAAATGATTATTGATTATTCTGTCCAATTACTTTTGGACCCTTAACAAGTGGGAAGCAAATATGCCATCTGTTGTAATTCATACTGTGTTTACATGATTTGGATATAAATACCCTCAAATTAAAGCTGACAGTCTGCAATTAAGGCACTTGTTAGTTTCAATTAAAATCCATTGTACTAGTGTATATAGCCAAAAATGTTAGAATTGTGTCGATGTCTAAATATTTATGAACCTAACTGTAGTGGAGGATCTCCAAGTGGCAGTCTTCAAAACTAACCTAAGAATGAACACAGTGCAATAAACATTGTGCTCATCAGTCACATTAGATGAGGTTAATATTAAATGAAACAAAAGAATAAATTTCAAAACAATGTATAAAAATTGCTTGTTTATTTAGACCTATTGGTGTATGTATGTTATAATTACCTCCAAGGATAGTAAGGGTCATGAGTCACTGGAATTGTTGTTTTGGGGGTCTCAGGCTAAAAGGTTTGGCAACCACTGCTCTAAACTACTCCTTTAATTGGTCAGATGGCCCAGTTGGTTTTGCTTGGTTGACTGCTTCCAGAATTACAGCTCTAGATGCTTCTACAGCATATGTACATATACACAGTAATATTAACAGTAACAAACATTATTTGACATTAGAATGACATTATTTTTACAATATCAATTGAAGCCTGAGTCTTCATCAAACTTCAATCATTTTTTGGACGTCACCTCGTACTGACCAATCAAATGCTCTTTAGTATCTGACATGGCCCACACTGTTTACTACAATTTTCAGTTGTTTTTCATTTGATGCGCTTGATTTCGAGCACTCTCATTTGTGAGCTGTGATAAACAAAACACTATTGGCAGGTTTTTAAAGGGGACGAGGTGCTTTATGTCCCACCCTGTTGTCATATTTCAGGTAACATTAAATCAAACATTGAATTTAAAAAATGCACATTTCAAAACATTTCTTGTTACCTTAAAAATCAGTTACATTACACACTGCATTAAAGAAAGTATAAAAACACATATTAGCAGCATTAAATCTCTTCATTCAGTTTGAGTGGCATCTAAACTGTTGTCCTATATTCTTTCCACAGTTATGCCCGCTCCACTGCATTTTGATGGCCATGCGCTGGTGTCATGGAGTGATACAGACATCACCATTGCCATTCCCTGGTACATGGGTCTTATGTTTCGCACACGAAAAAGCACAGGAGTAATTCTACAGGCTACTGCTGGAGAGTTCTCCAAGATTAATCTTATGGTAAGTGGTGTAATTCATCCTGTTTCATACAATATTCTTGCTTTAATTTTTTGACGCATATAATCACACTGGTATGACCAGTCTAGGCTGTAGTAATTAAAACATTCAGTGTGTCATGTGAACAGCTGCTAAATTCAAATTCGGCTTTCTCGCTATGGCTCTTGCTAGAGCCAGAAAAAGAGGTGCAAGGCACCTGTCTTCAATCCCAATTTATCAGTATTTTCAACTAACATTAATTTTAGGTGTCAGACATACAACTACACATACAGTAAGTACTAGCAAAACAGCAAACAGTCTGTCCAAACTGCTCATTAATGCAAGTCAGCCAATCAGGCATGTATACATGGTCAAGACTATCTGCTGCAGTTCAAACCGAGCATCAGAATCGCAAAAATGGTGATTTGAGTGAATTTGAACATGGCTTGGTTGTTGGCGCCAGACGGGCTGGTCTGAATATTTCAGAAACAGCTGATCTACTGGGATTTTCACGCACAACAATCTCTAGGGTTTACAGAGAATGCTTTGAAAAAGAGAAAATATCCAGTGAGCTGCAGTTCTGTGTGTGCAAATGCCTTGTTGATGCCAGAGGTCAGAGGAGAATGGCCAGACTGGTTCCAGCTGATAGAAAGGCAACAGTAAATCAAAGAAATACTCGTTACAACTGAGGTATGCAGAAGAGCATCTCTGAATGCACAACACGTCTAACCTTGAGGTGGATGGGCTACAGCAGCAGAAGACCATACTGGGTGACATTCCTGTCAGCTAAGAATAGGAAACTGAGGCTACAATTGGCACAGGCTCACCAAAATTGGACAATAAAAGATTGGAAAAGCGTTAATGAGTCTCAATTCTGCTGCAACATTTTGATGGTACAGTAGGGTCAGAATCTAACAGCATGAAAGCATGGATCTCGGGCGATGCGATAGCGGTTCAATCTGCCGTGGCAACCCCTGATTAATAAAGGGACTAAGCTGAAAAGAGAATGAATGAATGAATGAATGAATGAATGAATGAATGAATGAATGAATAAAAGCATGGATCCATTCTGCTTTGTTTCAATGGTTCAGGCTGGTGGTGTTGGTGTAATGGTGTGGCGAATATTTTCTTGGCACACTTTGGGCCCATTAATACCAATTCAGCGTTGTGTCATCGTGACACAGCTCACCTCAGTATTGTTGTTGACCATGTCCATCCCTTTATGACCACAGTGTATTTATCTTCTGATGGCCACTTCCAGCAGGATAACACGCCATGTCATGAAGCGCAAATCATCTCAGACTGGTTTCTTGAACATGACAATGAGTTCACTGTACTCAAGTGGCCTCCACAGTCACCTGATCTCAATCCAACAGAGCACATTTGGGATGTGGTGGAATGGGAGATTTGCATCATGGGCATGCAGCTGATAAATCTGCAGAAACTGCGTGATGCTATTATGTCAATATGAAGCAAAATCTCTGAGGAATATTTTCAGTACCTTGTTGAATCAATACACACACACGGTGATGTCTATGAAGATGGCAACACAAACTAAACAGATACACATTCTTTAGGTTATTTATTAACATTTAATTTATTTTTCTCCCAGTTAAACAACCACTGACTGTCATGTCTTTCAGGAGAAGTTGGTGAATTAACAGGGTTTTAATCCATCCAGCAAGTCTAATCTTTCCTCTGCAGGGCAGAATAACATGGTGGCATCCATCATAAATCAGACAATATGATTATTAGTAAACACCAAAGTCCATTTTGTTACACATATTTAAGAACTGGAATATCAGATGTGTCACAATAACTAGGAAATTTGCCAATAATTGCAGAAAATTAAAAAAAAAAAGTTTAAAAGAAAAAAACTATAAGGTGATGCATAAATATTGGTCACATAAAAAAAACTCATCCAGGGTGACAGAGGGTGTATTTAATACTTACATGTAAAAGGGTTAATAAAGTAGATGAAACAGACTGTGCTGTTGTTCTTGTTTGTCTCAGACTTTTTGTGTTTCCAGGTCACCAACAGACACCTTCGGTTCCAAGTGTTTTTAGGGAACAGACGTGTGGCGCTCTTAGATTTTCCTCAGGTGTACGTGGATAATGGAGAATGGCACCATGTGCTTGTCGAGCTCAAGAGTGGAAAAGATGGAAAGGACATCAAATATATGGCTCTTGTTTCATTGGACTATGGCATGTTTCAGGTATATGATCTCAAATATTTGTTTGTAATATGGTTCAAACACAAATTGTATAGTGCTGTATGTAAATTTTACTCAAGTAAAGGTTTTTTGCTGTCACTAGTTTATCTGATATGTTTATCACTGATGTCCAATTTTGGATAAGCATGTATTAAAGGGGTATCCTGCCATTGTTTGCCATTTCGTTTGGTTTGTTTCTAAAAAAAAATATTTTTTATGAACCATCTGTCTTGTCCATCACATCTCAAATTATGTATTGTTTGCTTTAACTAAAACCAAAATATGACATTTACTGAAAAAATATTTATAATATGAACAAACTGTCATATATTTTACCTGATATACTAACATAATTATACCTAAAACTTAAAAGAAGTCACCATTCTTCTCAGAAAACTGTCAACTGTTGTTGAAATTTTTTACCAGATGTCAGTAACAATCAAAGTAATCCATACATACAAAGAAAACTAAGTTTAAAAATAAACTTTTTGTAATAAAATGAAATGACACATGGAAAAAAACATTGAACACATGAAGAAAGGGAGGTTTAAAAAGGCAAGGAAAGCCCAGACAGCAGCTGAAATCTCAAAGTAGTTTAGAGCAACCCTGCCCTTCATCACTGTAAATTAACATTAGATGCTTCAGTCTCAATGGTAGACATTTCAGCAACACTGATGCTAAACAGCAAAGGAAACTTACAACTAGTTTCAAAAAAAGAAAATAAAGCTGCTAGAATGGCCCAGCTAATCACCTGACTTTAATCCAATAGAAATTAAAAACTATAGACCAGTGTGCATGATAAGACCCACAGAACCATAAAATGCATGCAGAAATTCAATATATTGTTCTTATGTTGATCCATTATTGGACATTAAAAAAATTCAGACACAGAAAAATACTTCAGACACAGAATACTTCATACATATTTTACCTGCTGAAAGAGACTTAAAATATTAAACAAATCTTGGGAATACATTTGAGTAAGAAAAAATGTGTAATTGTTAGTTTTGATACAAACTACTCATTGGTTTTGATATCTAGAGGACAGTGGAGATCGGTAATGAGCTGCCCGGACTTAAACTGAGGAACTTGTTTATTGGTGGACTGCTTAAGAAAGATGACACTGTGCAGGGTGGATTTAATGGCTGCATGCAGGTAAATCCCACATACACATATTTATATAATTTAAAGGTGTGTATTGTCTTATTCATCCGGCTATGTTAATATGATTTTCTCATAGGGTGTGCGAATGGGCGAGACGTCCACCAACATTGCCAACATCAACATACGGCATGCAAAGCGAATCCATGCGAAAGACGGGTGTAATGTACCTGATGCATGCCTGGCTAACCTGTGTCCATCACACAGCCATTGTACAGACAACTGGACATCCCACACATGTGTCTGTCAGCCAGGTAAATACAGTACCACTAAAAAAAAACATGTCTTGGAGTGAAAAAAAAGGTTTACCTTTTCAGAAAGACAGCATAGCTGATCTAAACAGGGACCAGGTGGACAGAATCAGTGAAACTCTTGCCATGACAATTAAAAATGTACTCAGAAACTTTGACAATCAAGCAACCAATAAAACTATCTTTCTTTCTCTCTTTCCTTTTGCCCAGGTTATTTCGGCAGGGACTGTGTAGATGCGTGTTTATTGAACCCCTGTGAACACACTTCCTCTTGTGTTCGCAAACCAAGCACTAAACGTGGCTACAGCTGTGACTGTGGACACAATTACTATGGCCAGTACTGTGAGCACAAGTGAGTATCTCTACTTTCCTTTGGGTCAGTTATTCCATCCATCCAAACATTTGGCCATCCTTATCCATCTATTTGTCAATCCATCAAATAATTTATCTGGTAATTAATTAATTAATTCATTCATTTATTCATTCATTCAATTATTCATTAATTCATTCATTCATCCTTCCAGTCATCCACTTGTCTAGTCATTCATCCATACATTCATCAATCATTTCATCCATCAATCCATTAATTAATTAATTTATTTATTTATTCATTCATTCATTTATCTGCCCATCCATTCTTTCATCTGTACTTTCATTCATTCATTCATTCATTCATTCATTCATTCATTCATTCACTTATTCAGTCGTTCGTGTGTTTATTTGTTCATTCATTCATTCATTCATTCATTCATTCATTCATTCATCTAGTCATCTACCCATTCATTCATTCATCTGCCTGTCCACTTGTCCACCCATCCATTCATTCATTTATTCATTCATCTGCCTGCCCACTTGTCCATCCATCCATCCTTCCATCCATCCATCCATTCATTCATTCATTCCTTCTTCTATCCATGCATACAATCATCCATTCTTCCTTCCAGTCATCTAGCCATCTAGTCATTTATCCATCCATCCATCAATTCATCCATCCATTCATTCATGCATTCATTCATCTGCCTGTCCATTTCTGCACCCATCCATTCTTCTAAATGTTAACTCATTAACTAATTAGTTCATCCATCAGTGCATTCATTTATCCACCCATCCTTCCAGTCATCTACCCATCTAGTCATTTATCCATCCATTCATCCATCCATCCATCCATCCATCTATCCATTAATTAATTCATTCATTAATTAATTCATTCATTCATGCATTCATTCGTTCATTCAGTCAGTTAGTCAGTCAGAAATCCATCTGCCCATCTATTCGTCCACCCATCTTTTCTTCCATATACACATTCATTCATTCTTTCATCCATGCATTCATCCATCTATCCATCCATTCATCCGTCCATCCTTCCGATCATCTACCCATCTAGTCATTTATCCATCCATGATTTCATCCATCACTTCATTTATCTGCCCATTTATTCATTCATCCATTCATTAATTCATTGGTCCATTCATTCATTCATGCATTCATTCGTTCATTCAGTCAGTTAGTCAGTCAGAAATCCATCTGCCCATCTATTCGTCCACCCATCTTTTCTTCCATATACACATTCATTCATTCTTTCATCCATGCATTCATCCATCTATCCATCCATTCATCCGTCCATCCTTCCGATCATCTACCCATCTAGTCATTTATCCATCCATGATTTCATCCATCACTTCATTTATCTGCCCATTTATTCATTCATCCATTCATTAATTCATTGGTCCATTCATACATTCATTCATTTTTCCATCCACCCATCCTTCCAGTCATGCACCCATCTAGTCATTCATCTGTTCGTCAATCTATCAATTCATTCATTCATTCATTCATTCATTCATTCATTTATTCATTCATTCATTCATTCATTCATTCATCTGCCCATCCATTCATTCACCCATTAATTATTTTATCCATCCATCCATCCATCCATCCATCCATTAATTTATCATTTATTTATCAATCTATCCATTCATATGTATGTCCATACATATATGTATTTATTTGTTTATTTATTTGTTTGTTTTTTTATTATTCATTCATTCATCTTTTCAGCCGATCATCCATCCATCCTTAAATTCATTATAAAACCTTTCAATTGTTTGTCAGACATAAATGCACTTTTGCACTTGTCCAAGCAATCAGATGTAAACAGACTTTTTCCCATGTAAGCTCGAAAAATCCCCTTGTACTAAAAGAAGGTGTGTATGTTGTTATTTGAAGACACACGAAAATCAAAAATCTAATTTTCTCAACTTGTCATGTAGTTTTGAATTATTATTTTTCCATGACACTTAAAAATATTGTAAACTATTTGAACTGTTTAAATGGGGTTTGGTTCAAAACCTAATTGTACTTCACTAACTTAACTCCATGGAAAAAGAACACTGGGACATTCATATTTTTGTTTGTTCTGGAGAAGAAAGAAGACACACAGATTTGCAAATAATTGCAGAACATTAATTTTTGAGCGAACCATCCCTTTAATGTTTAGATATGGTAAGGATTAAGAAAATCGCTGCACTTTTAGTTGCGTGCTGAAACGCGCTGCAGACAAAAGCTTGATTGTCTGATGGTCTGTTTCATGAACTGCCAAGGTTTAGTGAGTAGCAAAATCTGTGATAGCAGATGCTGCCAGTGATTGTGATGCCATTGTTACGATGATCCTTTAATTGTGCTGTTTTCTTTAATTCTGGTAATTCCACATCTTTGGCATCCACACTGTAACACTTTTATTCATAATGCAGCAAGTTGACTTAAGCTTAGACTGCTGGGATAATCCAGTATTTGTCATACTTTCAACTAATAAAGATAAACTGTTCTCAAGCAGAACCATCAGGTATTTCTTTAATCATAATCTTTTTAATTGACATTTTATACAGTATATTTTCCACAAGATGACCCCTGTTTTTTTATCTTATATGTAATTCCCAAAGTGTTTTAACACTACTGCACATTATACACATTCTCAAACTGTAAGGGGTGGCATGGTGGCTCAGTGTTTAGCATTGTCACCTCACATCAAGAAGGTTGATGGTTCAAGTCCCAGCTTGGTCAGTTGGCATTTCTGTGTGGAGTTTGCATGTTCTCTTCGTGTTCGCATGGGTGTCCCCTTGTGCTCTGGTTTCCCCCACAGTCCAAAGAGATGTGGTATGAACAACGTATGCTCAATCTGAAATCGTAGCCCTATATATATTTCTGGAGAGCTCAAGTTTTGTAGCCAGAAGTACGTATGGTTGTATTAAAAGGAACGCTACAGGGTGGTATGACACCTTTCCTTTTCGTGCTTACCAGCTGACCACTTACCTCCATTGAAGAACGGCTCCAGAAAGCAAGACAAAAACAAAAGCTAAAAAATAAAATAAACAAGAAAATAACAAGGTCAAAATCTGAAATTGCTGTTAAAAATCAGGCGAGGGCTTTACTTCGGTCGGTTGGGTTTAGGGAAGAGGGCGTGTCAATGGGTGCTTTTCAAAACACTATTAGTTGGGTTTAGTGAAGGAGGAGGGTGGGTCAGTTGATCGGTCAGTCAGTCGACAGTGGTAGATTTACAGCAGGCTTGAATGGCACTTTCGAGAGAAATTTGACATCTCAAATAGTGTACACAGTGGCCTCTGGTGGATTCGCTAAAACAAAAACTACAAAAATGTTGGTGCTCTCCAGAAATGTATATTTCGGTACGTTTTTAAAATGAACCTGGGTTGGGTATAAATGTGTGTGTGTAAATGGGTGTATCCCAGTACTGGGTTATGGCTGGAAGGGCATCTGCTGCCTTAAAACATATGCCAGAATAATTGGTGGTTCATTCCACTGTGGCGACCTGTGATAAATAAATGGACTAAGCCAAAGGAAAATGAATGAACAAATAAACTGTAAGGTTTAACTGTAAATTCTATAAGGAGAAATTAATCTCTACCACAGAATATATTGTGTGTGATTTTGTCTTTTAATATGTCTGTGTAGTTTCTATTGACTTTTATATTAGTTTTAATATACTGGAAAATACCAGTTTAATATACCAGTTATTTTAAACAAAATAAATAAACTTTTTTTAAATAGTTTTCAATCAAAAAGTTAAAAGATTTTTTTAAAAGAGGACAATTAGTTTGTTGCAAGTAACAAAAAATGATTATAGTTTAAGGGCTCTATTTTGATGGTCCATGCCCATTCCCTTTAAGACCCAGCTGCGTCGCACCAAGAGCGCATTCACTATTTACAGGACGCAAAGTAAGTCTAAGTGGAAAAAATGAGCATTTCACAAGCAAACAGTTAACAGTTTTTTAACAGAAAACTGTTAAACAGAGCATCTACTGCGTGAGAATGAGAGATAATGGATCACTTTCACTTTCGCTCTTGGATAGGGAAACCTTTACGCACAGACATCAATTAGTCTATAAATAATTAATTTCGTTTGTTAAGCAAAAAGATTTGGTTCAAAACTATTTCTAAATTCAGTTCTATTTTCTAGCAAACGAATAAATGATTAATAATAACAAAGTTTGGTCAAAATACTGAGTTATTTCCAAATACACTTGCTATGCCCCATATGGTCTAAAACCTGACAGGTGGACAAATCTGAGCTTGTTTTTAACGAAACAAATATAAATATGGATATAATAAATAATACTGCTAATAATAATAACATTTTACAAAAGTAACTTGAATGAACTGAAAAAGCCTCCCGAGATGAAGAAAGTATGAAGGCAGTGGTTTTTAAATTACTGTAGGCTAGAAATTAATATGTTTTGTAATATTTTAATAATTTATATTTATATCATATATATATATATATATATATATATATATATATATATATATATATATATATATATATATCCTTAATATATTATATCTTTTTCATATGTAAAGATATTTGCGTATTGCTCTACATCTTGTGTGTAGTGTGTTAGCCTGGCGCACTTTGCGCCAGACAATAGACCGACTTTGTTTTGGTCTAAAGATCAGACTATTTACAGTTTCTCAAAATAGCAACGCGCCAAAAAACGCCTGCTTTTTTAGACCAGAACGCCTATGGGCGCACATTTGAGCGCAAATGCATTTGCTATTTAAACAGCGTGGCGCAATGCCTCAAAATGACTTTGCGCCAAGCTTAAAGTAGTAAAAGACTATTGCGCTGCGCCTTGCGCCACATTGCACCGAATGTATGATAGGGCCCTAAAAGTTTTTGAATTCTGAAAATTATTTAAATTGTTGAATTGTTTTAAAATAATGAATTAAAATATATTTCTAACATGATTGTGTGACTACAACATGATTTTCATTACAAAACTACAGTTCTTAAAGGAATATTTGTATATTGAATGCATTGAATACTTGATTATTGCTTTGTAAAGTCACTAAGATTTTTAAGATTGCATAAAGAAAGAATATTGTACAGTGAACGCAGTAATACTATAAAAAAATTAAAGTCTATGACATATAAACCCAGTATTACAAAAAAAAAATCTAAAAAATTTAAGTCTCAATGACGGAAACCAGCTTCCAAATTAAAAGCAGCTACATTAAGAACAATAGCATCAATGTGTTAAAGATGATAGAATTTTCTGTTTCCTTCCATTACCATAAAAAGACTCTCTGTTAAATGATCATAAAGGAAGTAAGTCTACAATGATGGATTGCTTTCACAATACATCATGTCAAGTTTGCCTCGCAGTATGAAACCACTGCTTTGATTTTACAGTGCAATTTCACGTCAAATTTCAAAGCAAATCCCTCTGTTTTCCAACTTCCAATTAGCCCCAGTCTTCTGTATTAGCACTCCTGGCTTTCATTCTGTGAAGTTTAAACAGTCTTTTTCTTTTTTGACGCGCACAGAGGAGATCAGCCTTGTGCTCATGGCTGGTGGGGAAACCCGACATGTGGGCCTTGCAACTGCGACCTCAGCAAAGGCTTCAAACGGGACTGTAATAAAACCACAGGAGAGTGTAGCTGCAAGGTAAGCAACAAGTGATCACATGCTACACAAAACAAAAAACTATAGAAAAGGATAAAGAGAATGCTTGAAAATGATCAGTTTCTGTGGATTTAGAACTGTAAAAATGCTGGGTTCCACACAATTCCTTCATGTTGTCCCAACACAAATCATTTAAATTAATCATTTTTAAGTGGATTGAAAATTAAACAATTAAATTGTCCCAAAAAACCTTTGAGAATTTTTTTTTTTTTTAACTAATCTTAAATAAGTAGTTTGAAAAATGCTGAAAAAAAATGCTGGGTTCCACACAATCAATTTGGGTTGAGTTCAATTCTTAGTGTTTACAATTTTGAGTGAATCGAGCATAAAACTAATAAAGTTGTCAAAAAAAAAAAAACACGTAAGAATTGTGTTGTTTGAACTCAATTTAAATACATTGTATGAACAAGCAGCAAAAGTCATTTTATGAGTGTGCTATGTATGGTTTGAGGAAAACAGTTAAAGATTTCTTAACTTTTCTGTTGAAATCTTGACAATGTGTTGTCTTAAAAATTAATATACAAGGGTCTGAAAGGATGCTACTATTTATGTCATTTTATGCATTTTGTTTCATCAGTGTCTAGAACAGAAACTGTACAGACATGTTTTTATAATCAGTTTACGAAAATGATAAAATATAATACTAATCTACACACTTTATTTTAATGTACAAACCGTGGTATTACAAAACCATTAACTAAGACTTTTAGCTTAATAAACTACTAATTAGCTGCATATTTATAGTTTTTCAGGTAGAAAGTGAAATTGGGTTGGATTGGGGCTGTACTTTATAAGTGCTAATAAACTAATAAACTTTATGAGTGCTAATAAAAGTGTTAATATCTTAATAACAGGCAGGTAATAAGCCAGTAGTAAGTGCTGTGAATTGTTACTTACAGTTTTTTACAATTGCTATGACACTTTTATCAATACATTTAACAAGTTTCCTAAACTCTTAACACAATTAGCACAAGCTCCGTCTTCGTGGGCTATACAATTAACACATTTCTTGTTGTTTTGACACAAAATGCATCCAGTTAACACAAATTTAAAATGCTTTAACTTCTTTTACACACAAACACAACCAAGAACAAAACAATGTAATTTTACAGTCAAATTTACAAATGCTTTAACACAGTATGTCAGAACAGATAACACCATGTTCTAAACAGAAATTATATAGGATAAAGTCAAAGTGAACAGCTGTTCTAATTGTGAATTGAAACACAAATATATTCCCTGTATTTTATTCAATTGCCAATGAGAAACAGCATATTGCGGTTACATAAATAAATAAATAAATGTATGTATATATATATATATATATATATATATATATATATATATATTTCTTTATTTAATTATATAACCGCAATATGCTGTTTCTCATTGGCAACTGAAAAAAAAAAAAAATATATATATATATATATATATATATATATATATATATATATATATATGACAGCTGATTCCCATCTAGAAAGCACACTGATGTCTTGTTTTGGTTTTTCCAATCACATGATCATATGTTCTAATAGAGGACTCTTGAGGTTTTTGGAAGGAACATCAAAGAACTCTGTCACCAATACGTCCATGTAAGATTATGCAATACAGTCATTACTGTATTATACACAGTGTGTTTTGCAGTAAACTACTCTTTAAACCTGGAGTTCATTAGTACATACAGTACAGTACATATACAGTACAGCATTTGCATACACTGTGTCTAATTACTTTCAGAGAGTCATGAAGTTAGAGGCCAATCAAGTACCACATGAAATTTTCAATGTTGACAAGGCTGGGGATGTCGCCATAGGAAAAACATAATAGGCCAAAGGGCCATAGTTACCGTGCCGGGCCACAGAAGATATCAAGTATAATGTGGATGAGAACATGTGGTAAAAGACCGGGCAGTATAGAAGATTACTTTGTTATTTTATTATAATTGTGGTGCTTTTCCTGTTTGCAGTGATGTCCTTCTGCAAAAAAAGTCTGTGCTGCAGAAATTCTGTGTCTGTATTTTTTTTTACATAAACTGTAAATTTTATAAAGCAATTTTTTTCTTTGTTTTGTATAGAATTTTTGCCGTAAACGAAAGAAAATGCATGCATTTACTTAACCCAACGAAACAAAACTGTAACGAGACTTCAAATATAAGGGCAGAGCTGACACATAAACTAATGCAGTTTCTGTAATGTCAGCTGATGGTAGTGTTTTTATTGTCAGTGTGTTCTGACTGACTGAATGTTTATGTTGGAAGAGAACATGTGTTTGTGTTTTGAACAATAATTTCATTTTGAAACATGATTGCAGTGTTTTGTTAGACATGGTGTAGTGTGTTCGTTTATTATTGTATTTTGAAAAGTAGTTTAGAGGTTTAGTTTACAATGTGTGATTTTGAGCATAAAATTAACTGTTTTGCCAATTGTGTATTTTAGGTGTGTTACTGTGTTAAGAGTTTAGCAAACTTGTTAAATGTATTGAAAAAAGTGTCATAGCCATTGTAAAAAACTGTAAACTAAGGTGTTGCTTAAAATGTCCTTATTACAATAATTTATACACAATTATATTTAGTTATTAGTTCTCCTATGATATTTTATAAAATATATATATTTTTAAAAACCATAGTATTCACTATTATATAATTATTTTCTTCTGTAGAAAGTCTAATTTCTTTTAGTTTAACTGAAATATTTTTAAAATCTAAGATTATTATTAATCCCCTTATGAAATAACTGTTTATGTTTGGCTATAGAACAAATCACTGTTGTCCAGTGTCTTGCCTAATTAACCAAACTTGCCTAGTTAACCTAATTAACTTAGATAAGCCTTTAAATTTAACTTTAAACTGTATTCTAGCATCTTGAAAAATAACTAGTAGAATATTATGTACTGTCATCATGGCAAAAGCAGAATAAATTCATTATTAGAAAAATCAAATTTTCTGTAATTGTGAAATCTATTATATTTAAAAACAGGTCTAATCATTATTAATGATCTTTTATTGATTATATTTGATCAGTTATGTAGTTTTTATATTCTGATATAAAATTTTGCCTTTAGAAGAATTTCATTACCAAACAGGAATTTGCGTTTAAAAGGAATTTATGCTTTATATAAAGTCTCATACCATATCTGTATTTGTTTTATTAAAATACAGTAAAACAGTAATTCATATATATGTAAACACTACACATACTGTATACATTCTGGCAAATAAAAAGTGTCTACTAAATGAGTAAATGTAAACATAATGTAACTTTTTCAGGACAACTACTTTCGTCCACTCGGAGGAGACACCTGCTACCCGTGTGACTGTTTCCACTTGGGCTCTCATTCACGGGTGTGTGACCCTGTGACGGGACAGTGCTCCTGTAAGACAGGTGTTGTGGGCCGCCAGTGTAACCGTTGCGACAACCCATTTGCTGAGGTCACAGTCACTGGATGTGTGGGTATGTATCTGTTAAAGAAACACTTCACTCAAAACGGACATCTCTGCAATCATTTACTCAACCCATCACTTGTTACAAACCTGTTTGACCTGCTAGAAGCATCCATTTCCCTGTATTTTCCCTCCTTTTGCATGAAATGTGTCTTTAAGTCAACATTCTGCAGACAAAAACACTATTTTTGCAACTCCTGAATAGGTCTTGAAACCCCCCTCTTTCGGTTCAAGTCTACCTCAGATTTTTTTTTCAAAAAATGCTCTATGATGGGTATGGAGTGTTGTGAGCAGAAGGGAGTATTGGGCATGGCTGGCAAAGCAGAGGAAAAACAGGTGGGCTCACCAGCTCAAGACAAAAAATTACTATAAATGAAGATAACTTTTCTGATCCTGAATCCCCGGGTCTGAATGCAGACAGTCACAGTGGATAGCTGTACAGCAGGTCTCTTTCCCTATCTATTTCGGTAATCTGGAGGATTTTAAAAATGGGCAAACACAGCAGCATGGATATAGTCAATGTCTGAATGGTAACAAACTTAACTGATAAAAGACAAAGTCCGCCATTCTCCATTTCTCATAAAATTCTCACAAAAAAAATGATTGCTGCACTTGTTGGTTGGCGGCATCGGTGTGTCTGACATCATCATGGAGAAAGTCATGCAACACCGTGGATCATCGAATCAAACACTTACAACCCTTTACAACCACCTAAATACTGTGTGCCATGAGCTGTCTCACAGCTTGACAGGTCTGTGACTGTCCATTTCTTTGGAAAGCATGTGCAGTCACGAATAGTCAAGAAGCAGCATCTTCTTATAGAATATGAAAACTCAGTCTATGAATAATCATAAGAAACCGACGTGTCATCACTGGACAGGCAGATATTGCTGCATCACCGATTATGGTCCTGCTTCAATGATGATTTTAAGGCCGGAAAATTTAATTAGCTGACAAAAGCTCAAAATTATCCAGTTTTCCCCACAATTATAGCAGGTGCTAGCATTGTCATAATTAATAGTCAACACACACAAATATGTTATAATCTCAAGGATACAAAAGGGTTTCCTAAAGATAAAATAAAAAAAGGCCTCATTGGAGCCACTACATAACAGATCTGACAGATTTCACTTTCTTACTCTCACTTCATTTGTTTGTCTAGTGGTATATGATGGCTGTCCTAAAGCCTTTGAAGAGGGGATCTGGTGGCCCCGGACCATGTTTGGTGGACCTGCAGCTACAAATTGCCCCAAAGGATCCAGTGGTGAGTCTGATGGTTGATAAAACTCTTTGACTAAATTACAAATTCACTAAATCAATCAATAGTATGCACACACTTGACTGAATTTGAGATTATATTTTACTAAACAAAAATGTATCTATTGCCCAATTAAGATTATTATCATTTTATCAATATTTTGTCAAAATTATATATTTCCCAACAATTTCTATTCTCATTTTAGTTAAAGTTTTGTCTTTTTTATCATCCATTTTTAAAATGTTTTCTTTTTTTTATTATTTTTAAATTATTATTTATGTAAAACAGTAGAACTAGTTTCATTACTCTTGAATGTTTAAATTTGTATATATTTGATTTTTTTTAAAAAACACACGTGTGTGGGTTTCCTCCGGGTGCTCCGGTTTCCTCCACAGTCCAAAGATATACGCTATAGGTAAATTAAGAAAGCTAAATTGTCCATAGGGTATGTGTGTATGTCCTGAACCTCCAGTTGGGGGTTGAGCGTTGGCCTATAACAACCCAACTCATAAAAACTAGATGTTACAAAACACCGGTGCGGCTAAAGATCAACTTCAATGTAAATGGTCCTTGAACTGGACGTATGTATTTATATGAGCAATATCACACGAGTAACAGTGCGATATGGCTGTATATCAGCACTGGTGGGAGGCATGCGTTGGCACGAGGCCAAAAAGAAAGTTAAACACGGAAAGTATAAAAATGCTTTTGTATTAGGAACTACTTTCTTCTGCCATTCAAATTCATAACAGATTGAACGCCCCCTGCTGGCCTCACTAACACCACTTCTGGCAGCAACCCAGCTTTCCCATGTGGTCTCCCATCCAGGTACTGACCAAGCGCAGCCCTGTTTAGCTTCAGTGGGCGACCATGTGAGAGTTGCAGAGAGCTAACATGCTGGCTACTCTTCAGACCAAAGATGGCTCTAATCTTCTAATGGCTTATAATGCAGTCATGTTGCCATCTTGCGAATAGACAGCGTCAACCGTCTTTGGTATGCTCAGTATGGCAATCTAATGGACGCTGATGCTCTGTCCCTCAGAAATTATAAACATTTTAAAATACGCACTATCCTTATAAATAAACTGCATATTTGCTATCTAAACAACTACATTCTCGACTAAAAAACCTAAAAAAGTACATGATGTTGTCTAACAGCTGCAATATTTGCACATATACAAATTCTATTTGTGTTATTTAAATTTCATTGTATCAAATGTAAATTTATTTAATTTCGTTTTTCCAAATATGTAAAAATAACATATAATCCCATACTCATCATACAAATATTTTCATCATTTTATAATATTTTTAATATATACATAATTGGTATCCTTAATGGCATTTCAGTAGTCCATTGTTGAATGTGATTTAACAGGCACAGCTATCCGTCACTGCAGTGATGATAAAGGCTGGTTTCCATCAGAGCTCTTCAACTGCACGTCGCTCAGCTTCTCAAAGCTCAAGAAAGCGGTCTGTGGCTCTTCTGTTTTGCTTTATTAAATACTAGCTGGAATACTAGTCAAGATATTTTCAAGCATCCCGTGACAAGTGTTTCGTCTTTCTCTTGTGTTTTAGAGTGAGGATCTGTATGCAAACGCTTCTCGAATGGATGGAGAGAGATCCAGAAGTCTTGCAAGTCTGCTTCAGTCGGCCACAGGACACACATATCGTCTTTTTGGGAATGATGTGAGGACGGCCTACCATCTGCTGGCCAGTGTGCTGGAGCACGAGAGTCTGCAGCAGGGATTCGAGCTCACCGCCACACATGATACTGATTTCAACAGGGTAAAATCCACACACACACACATACTTGAATGTATGGTTTCTGAGGACTCTTGACAGGCTTAATGTATTTATACTGTTAAACTGCTTATTAAATGGCCTTAACCAACCCCATAGAAAACTTGTGGCAAATATTGAATGTCAAATAATCTCTTCTAAAGTATGATTTGTAAGTGTTTTGAACTACAAGGATATACTGTAAGCCATGTCCTCATAAACCACACACAACAACTGCACACACACACAAAATCTTTACAGCTCAAAAGCTTTACATGTTTTCATATTCAGGTTCAGTCTGATGAAATCTTATTGTAAAAACCAAATAGGAGCTAAAGTTGGTCAAGATGATCTACCTTGTTGACACTTATTTACGTAACTATTTAATGTTATTTTACAGTGCTGTACAATTAAGTTCTTTTATTTTGACATTTTTAATTACTTTTCAGATTTTTTTTTTAAAAAGAGCAAGACTTTTAACGAATATTTTAGTGTTTTTGTTTTCTTGCATTCTTTTGATTAATTAACTTTTATATATTTAACCAATTTTTTTATATTAATGTATTTTATTATATCTTATATTATAGTTCTCATTTTCATTTAAATTAAATTCATACTATAAATACAATAAATATTAATTAAACTATTCAGACATATTAACAATTATACAGTAATACAAATGACAAAGCCACAGCCATCATTACCAAAGCTTTAACTAACATGGTAATTTAAAAAAAAAACGATGCAGATTATTAATATAAACAATAGTTACTCTAGCAGCTCCTTAAATCATGTTTTCATTTTATTGTTGAAAAAGTGAAACAACGTAGCCAGGATAATGTGAATAAGGTTATACAGCACACTGTTCCCTTTGAAGATTTCCTCAAGGGTCTGTTTTCCATATCAAACTTGCAAAGTCCGAAATTACAGGGAGAGGATGCGAGACTGAACTGTGTGTGTAAGCTACTTAATATTGAGGAAAAGCCCCAATCAGATAGGCGAATCTCAGACGCCCCGCCTCCGGTTTCAGATGTCTCCATTTTCCACCATCCACACTGAGACGGAGCAGCAGCGTTTTAGAATGAAAACGGCCTCTCCAGCATTTCCAAAACGCTCCGTTTTCGGCACTCGAAAACTTCGGCGTAGTGTGGACGGATGGTGTAACCGTAGCAAAACTTAGTGTAAACGGGGCATAATACAACCTCTACTTTGGAGAAAGTCAGGAAAGTGGGAGTGTCCAGCTCTGTTTAGGGGGAAGTGTCGGAAGAGGGAAAAAGGCAAGGTCCATAAAAAGTTGCATAAAAATGGGAGTGTCGGTTTGGGCATGCTCTGATTTTCACAGAGGCAAAACAAACACAGACGCAGAGGAGAAAGACAGTGACTGTGTTTACATGGACATCAGTAATTGAATTATTTGCCAAATTATTAAATGGTGGATCCCTCGTGATAAATGAGATATTTGATTTGAGGAATTACTGGAAGTGTTTATCTTTCATGCAATGTTTGTTACCGCACAGCAAATGAGAGAAAAAAAAACCTCCGCATTTCTCAGTAACTTAGACGCAATCTGTTGGTAGCATCAGAAAGCTGTGTGTGTTATTCCTGTCACAAAATGCGGCGAAAATCCTCCACGACGGTAAGTTTGGTTGTGGTGCTTACACGTTGACAGTCAGGAGAGCAGCATTTACAGCAGATTTTTCAGTCCATAATACTGTAGTGATATTAACGTACAGTAAACTTTATTAACTTCGAAATCATTTGACTAAGGTCCATCTATAAACACTGAAAGAGTACTGCTGACGATACAAACTTACTTTGCCTCAGAATAAACAAACAAAAACCACTAGTCGCTCACTTACCAAATCTGTAGAGACAGGACAATCAACACCAACTGGATCCGGGTCTTTCTAAAAAGTAGACAAGCGGCAAATCCGGATTTCACCATTTCCAGATGAGAAAAGCTCTCGGGTGAAAAATGTTCCTTAGACACTGTTCCTTTTTTTTTTGTCGCGCGTCGCGTGCACAGATCCACACGTGGGTCCAGCTGCACTCCCATTGAGGGAAAATTAAAACAAAACCTTCACTGCAGCAAATTATAAAAGCAGCACTGACAACCCGTATCTCCAATCAATTCATGTTCTCGTGCTTGGCAACACAATGTGTCGTCTCTCTGCCGTCTAAACACTGTACAGGTAAAAACTCGTCTTTGAAGCTATCATATTAATGAAGTTGCACCGCATACATTAAAGAGCGCGCTGATTTATGACGGCAAATCAATGCCAATATTAATCGAGTGCAGCGGTGATGTTTGCGCGCGAGGAGAAGTGAACCGTGAGCAGATTACAGGTCTACACGCGAGAAAAGTACAGCTCGCGAGCGCATAGGGGATCTTCACGCGCGCGCTCAACTGATCCAGCGCGAGAAAACAAGTCCCGCGCGCGCACATCATCATCTGTGCGCACGATGGACGCTCTCGCGAGCGAGGTCATGCCTACAGCGCGCGCGCGCGATCAGTTCTCTCCGCTCGCTCGCTGGTTCTTCTCTCTGCTCGCGTGAAACCGATTTGATTTTTGTCAGTCCTGGGGCGGGACTTGGTGTACTTGTTATCTCTAACGCTATTGGCTACTCTGCCTTTCCGGAAGTTAGCCGTGATTGGACGCAGGTTAAAAGATCACGCCATTAAATATATATACAATTTGCAAGTCATAATCATAAGAAACTTTCTGAGAACTTTATGAACTTTATGAGAATTCAATCTCGAGAAACAGTCAAATAATGATAATTAATCTTCTAAAATAATGACTTGCATTCTTGTAACATGACTTTCTGAACCCATTTGATTTTTTCCCGTGCAGCACTTCTGGTTTGTTGTATTTTACTTCATTATTAACCACAACAGCAGAGCTCATTATGACACCTGGGGTTGATCTTTCTAGGAAATATTGTCTTCAGAAGAGTTTATTTGGTTTTTAGATCTTTCCATACAATGCAGATGTGCAGTGCAGCTTTGTATATTATTATAATTATTAAACTTTTTTGTAATATAGATCAGTGGAAAAAAAAAATAAAAAAAAAAATATATATATATATATATATATATATATATATATATAATTTTTATTTTTCAATCTCATTTTTAGTTAATGATTGAATAACCTGCATATAAAGACTTCAATCAAAAATGATTAGCCCAATCAAACATAAAGAATACAGTGACAGACATTCAGATGGGTGTTTATCGCCACCTATTGAGCAACAATTTAATTTCTACAGTCTTCGTTTGGCTTTACTCACTATCCATTACATTATTCCAATTCAGAGGCATACAAATACCACTTTTTTATACAATATGCCCACATCTTAAAGGTCACATATGCAGTTGAAGTCAGAATTATTATCCCACTTATTTCTTGTTTTATTTTGACTAGAATAAAAGTAGTTTTTATTTTTTTTAAAAACACACTTTAAGGTCCATATTATTAGCCTCTTTAACCTATTTATTTTTTTCGAAAGTTTACAGAACAAATCATCGTTATACAATAACTTGCCTAATTACCCTAACCTGCCTAATTAATCTAGTTAAGCCTTTAAATGTCACTGTAAGCTGTATAGTAGTGTCTTGAAGAATATCTAGTCAAATATTATTTACTATCATGATGGCAAAGATAATATAAATCAGTTATTAGAAATGAGTTATTAAAACTATTATGTTTAGAAATGTTTGAAAAAAAAAATCTTCTCTCAATTAAATAAAAATTAGGATAAAAATAAACAGGGGGCTAATAATTCAGGCGGGCTAATAATTCGGACTTTTTAGTGGAATGACTAATGGCAATATATTTACTATAAACCTTTGTACTTTATGCACTTCATGCATGTGTAGCCTATTTTGTATACTATTGTCCATCCAATTTATTCTGACTTGTTCTTCATAAGAAAATGACTCAAGGACAATGAGTCTAAGAAAAAAAAAAAAGATTTTTTATAAATTTGAACACGTTAGTTCATGTTCATAAATTTGGCTTGAGTTCAGTTTAAATGTAGGTGCTAAACTTCATCAAATGGTTCAAAACACACATTTAAAGTCTGAATTATTCGTCCTGATTTAATAGCCCATGTATATTTTTTTCCCAATTTCTGTTTAATGGAGAGATCTTTTGCCACATGGTATAACTCTCTCTTTCTCTCCCAAGTAATAAAGTTTGTTACAGAAATATATCTCATTATTTTGATATGTCATTATATGACTTGGTCATGATGGTAAGAATAGGCATTATAATGAGATTAATTATTACAAGAAATATCTCATTATTGAAAGTAAGTCTCCACCTATTATTACTGAGAAAGTGAGTCTATTAGTTTCACATTGTGACATTATGATAAGATATCCTATATATTTTTATTTAACGGGGAAACTAGCTTACCTGCGTCCAATCCCGGCTAACTTCCGGAAAGGCAGAGTAGCCAATAGCGTTAGAGATAACAAGTACACCAAGTCCCGCCCCAGGACTGACAAAAATCAAATCTGTTTCGCGCGAGCAGAGAGAAGAACCAGCGAGCGAGCGGAGAGAACTGATCGCGCGCGCGCGCTGTAGGCATGACCTCGCTCGCGAGAGCGTCCATCGTGCGCACAGATGATGATGTGAAGGGACTTGTTTTCTTGCGCTGGATCAGTTGAGCGCGCGCGAGCTGTACTTTTCTCGCGTGTAGACCTGTAATCTGCTCACGGTTCACTTCTCCTCGCGCGCAAACATCACCGCTGCGCTCGATTAATATTGGCATTGATTTGCCGCCATACTGATTGGTTTGAACTAAGTCTTACTCATGAATGAATGCAGCACACTCAGAAACGTAATAAGGAACTTCCAGGTACAGACGTTCAGTCTACAAGCTGGAATACACGCCAAGATCTCATGGCCATGACGCAGCTTCAAAAATTCGTTTTAAACTGGAAGTACGAATTTGCTCGAAATACGCAAAAATAAACAATTTTCACATTCACATATACGACTGTCAACAGCTCAAAAATGTGTTTTGGTGTTTCGTTACCGTTTAAAATGGCATTTTAGAGCGAAAACGATCCACGTCCACACTGGCATTTGACCTAGCATTCCTAAAAAGCCCTCTTTCCAAACTATGCCATCGTTCATTGTGATGTTTCACATTAGACATCGTATGTTGCCAAATTGGTCAACATCTCCCAATCCTAATGTAAGTTGAAATTAGGGTGGACAGAACAGTCTACAAATATATATATATATATATATATATATATATATATATATATATATATATATTAGGGGTGTAACGATTTATCGTTGTACGATTTATTGCGATGCAAAAATGTCTCGATATGCATTGTGGCGTTATGACGATTTGATTACGATATGACGTCCGTTTTCTCTTAGTAGTTGAGCTGTTTGCACGTGAGCCACGTTCCACCTGCTGTCGCACGTGAGTTCAGATTGCAGCAGCAGTAATGTTAGCAGACCAAGATGAGTGGAGTTGAAATAGAGGATGGCCCATCCTCTCAAAATCAGACGTCTGGCAAAATTTCGGTTGTCCAGTCATTGCTTTAGACTCGTCCGCTTTTTGACACGCATACTGGGTCAAACATCCTAAGTTTTAAAGTCTTCACAGTGATTTACATACTTTGCACAGCGACATGGATACCTCCTAATGGTGTTGAAAGAGTCACATACTGTATTTATAAGGTACAATTCACCCTAAAATATCATTCTGTCTTCATATAATGATGTATTGGCCGCCGCAAAATCACACAAGACGTGAGCTGTTACTACAGAGGGCGGATGATAGACGCGCGCGTATGGCAAGCCGTTGTAGCATTTAAACCTTTGATCTGACTATCCATAAATATATTTAGAGATATCTCTAATTATATTTTGACTAGTCATAATTATAATTCGACTAGTCAAAATATAATTAGAGATATCTCTAAATGAATTTAATTAAATATGAATTAAATATATTTATGGATAGTCAGAACAAAGGTTTAAATGCTAAAAAGGCTTGCCATACGCGCGCGTCTGCTTCAGTGAACAGAACCTGCAGGTTGTGACTAATAAAGTAGTAAACAACATTCAGTTTGTGGAACAGAGTGATCGTTCAGGAGCAGCGTGGGAAGTATGAACAGCACTTAGCAGTGGAAATGAAACCGAAAACGTACACATTATTTAAACAATCATATCGCATTTTAGAGTTATGAATCCGACAAGCATTAACCCTTTTGAGTACAGAGGTACACAAAAATGCACGTCAACATGATACACTTGATAGCGCCGACATCAGCGACGCCGAAGAAATAGTAAACCTGCCTAAACTGCTGAAAAGAGTCACGACTGTCCTGTGTAATGAAAAGACGGCCACCCTGTCACTCATCATGCCCAACATGAAGACAGCCATCCATAAAAGCCTCTCAGACAGATACACATGAGTTCAGGATTATCTTATAGAACTGCTGATTACCTGGAAATGTGGATTTTTTTTGCACACAGAAAAAACACAAGTGACCAAGCAAAGCCTTAAGCTCTTACTATTAAATTCAATTGAATAGAAAGCTTATTTTTTTGCACTTTTACTTATATTGTTCCTTAATTTTGTCTCTGTCATTTCAATAATATTTTTTAAGAAGTTTTTAAATTGTTCTATTTTCCAGAGACAGGCCTGTTTAATTTATTTTCTTAAAGAAGGTTCAGTTTAACAAGTTGAAACAAAAGAAATACATAAAAAATAGTTTACTTGGTAAAATTTGCATTTCAGTTAAATTTTCAATTTTTATTCCAAATATCGTGATACATATCGAATCGTGAACATTATATCGTGATACACATCGTATCGTGAGCTGAGTGTGTCGTTACACCCCTAATATATATATATATATATATATATATATATATATATATACATATATATATACATATATATATACAATATTAAGTACCATTCTAAAAGGTGATATCTTTTCTATTCTTCTTTTGTTATTGTTATCTTTTTGTTTTTTTTTTTTTGTATTTGTTATAATTGTGTAAGTCCTCGTAACAGAATAATGTTTATGAGAAATTGTCTGGTGCATATTGAGCGAAAAGTGTGTTTCCTACAGGTGGTTTGTACAACCCCCTCACAAGTGTGAAGCACACTCGGAATTGCACGATAAAAAAAAAAATCAACAGCTTCTCTCTCAAAAACTTTGAATGTATTTGGAAGCTATATTGTGTGGTCTTGGTCCAGTATTAATGAACATCCCTCTTGTTTGCCATGCTAGAACATCATTAAAGCCGGAAGTGCCATCCTCGACCCGCTTAACCAGGAGCATTGGGAGAAGATCCAGCGATCTGACGGCGGTACGGCAAACCTGCTCCACCAGTTTGAGGAGTACGCGAACACTCTGGTCCAAAACGTGAGGAAGACCTACCTGAGACCCTTCACCATCATCACTGACAACATCAGTTAGTATCTCCTTCTTCACCCTGCAGCCTCTGCTCTTCTCAGACCTAAACGTATTTACCATTTTATGTCTTCCCATTTAAGTTGTTGCGTTAGATTTTCTGGACTCCACTGCAAGCCAAGAAAAGATTCCTCGATTTCAGGAGGTTAAGGAGGTCTTCTCAAAAGAGATGGAGTGTTCAGTCCTGTTCCCAAACCTGCTTATGTCAAAGAAAAGCAAAGGTTCTTACTTTGAACTGTATTTCTTCTGGCCTTCGCTAATTTTGGCATCCTTGGTAAACATACTGTAAGTAAAGAAATGTCCTTGTTGATTAGGTTTTTGTTTGTTTGCTTAAAGAAGATGCTTGAGTTGTTTTTTTAATGTAAGTAGAGTATAGTACAGTTTTTATATTTTTTAAAAACAAAATCATTTTTACGGTCAGTATTATAAGCAATATAAAACCCCCTTTTTTAGTGGCTGCAAAACAAACGGCTGTTGTCCAGTGACTTGCCTAATTACCCTAATGTGGCTAGTTAACTTAATTAACCTACATAGATACGCCTTTAAATGTAACTGCTAGTTTGTTCTAAAATAACTAGTAAAATATTATGTACTTTCATCATGGCAAAATAAATTAATTATTAGAAATTAGTTATTAAAATTATTGAAAAAATATTAGAATTTTTTGTCTCTTTTAAATGCCACTGGAGAAATATTTTAAAAAGGATTACAATTTTACAGGAGGGTTTTAGATAATTCGATCTAATAATTAAACAATCTTCAACTGTATTTTGCTCATATGTATTTATAGGGGTACCAATTATTGCAGCAAACCTATATTTACCTAAATATTGGTTTCTTGACAAAACTTTTCTGCGTTTGCGATTGATTGTTATCAGTGAGTTATTTTTATTTTTTTGAGTTTTTTTATTCATATTATGTGGAAAAGATTGACACTTTTACATCCTTCTTTGCACATATTTACCAAGGGATGCCAATATTAGTAGAAGGAACTGTACAAGCATTAATATTTATGGAAATGTGATCAAAATGTTAAACTTTATGCATCTTATTACACTATAGATGCTTTAAGCACTGATCCTCCATCTCAGATTAACTCAACTGTGTCTGTGATGAGCATGGATGGATCGGATGTTGTTGATCTGATACCATCCATAAAGAAAAGAAGCCATGCAGAACAGCCTGATCCCCCTGCTGCAGTGATGGTGATGATCTACAGGTCTCTGGGTCACCTTCTTCCAGAGAGTTACGATCCGGACCGACGCAGTCTAAGGTAGATTTTAAGCATTAAATTTATAAACTATATATATTAAACTTAAGCAATACTTGAAAAACTAGTAATTGATTAGGAGTAATATTTTAATAAAATTTGAAATTTGAACCAAGATTAAAATTCTGGATGATTCATTCATTCATTCATTTTCTTTTCGGCTTAGTGCCTTTATTAATCTGGGGTTGCCACAGCGGAATAAACTGCCAACTTGTTCAGCTCATGTTTTACGCAGCTGATGCCTCTCCAGCTGCAACCCATACACACTCATTCATACACATTACGGACAATTTAGCTTACCCAATTCACCCACAGCGCATGTCTATGGACTGTGGGAGGAAACCCATGCGAACACGAGGAGAACATGCAATCTTTACACAGGACCCAGCCGAGGCTCGAACCAGGGACCTTCTTGCTGTGAGGCGATCATGCTACCCACTGCACCACCGTGACACCCTGGATGATAGATTTGGATTTAATTAATTTGGATTCATTTGTCAAAATTTTAATTAATTACAATTCTAGAGTTAGAAGTGGATTCCGATTTAAAATGAAAAAAACAAAAATCTAAAGTCACTTATTTTAACTAAATCAATCTTTTTTTAAACTTCACAATTGTGGATACTTAGTCAAAAGAAGTGAATAATACTTGTCAAATTTAAAATCAAAGGTCAAAAAGATTATGAGATAAAAAGTTTTTACAATGTCATGAAATGAATGGTATAAATTATTCGAAATTATTAGAATTATTAAAAAGTCAAATTAGAACATACATCGTGAAATAATGCAAATATGACATGATTTTTGTCCTGATTTAAAAAAAATGACAGAATTAATTATGTCATTACTAAATTATAAGCTTTGTATTCTTAAATTGGTATTTAGGCAAGGCAAGTTTATTTGTATGGCACGTTTCATACACAATGCCAATTCAAAGTGCTTCACAAAAAAAGCACTGTACAAATAAACTTCTTGTTTATTAATAATTTAGCTTTTTAACAAATAAACTAATTTACAACACATTAAGAAGAATAAAAGGAACATAAAACACTACAAATATAAGAGTATAAATAACAAAGAACAAACATTATTGAAAACTATTTTAAAAATATGCAAAAACAGGGTTAAAAGGAATTTAAAAAGGAGGAAAAATTTGTTTTATAATAAATTCTGAAATCATGGGCTTATAGTAAGGTATATGAAATAAAAAGTCAACATTGTTAGATTAAGCCATTAATTCAGTCATTAATGCATGGTTCTGATAGGTCAATTATGGCATTCCAAAATATGTTTACAGTATCTCAGATAACACCAAACAGAACTAATAGCACAGGTTCACTTGGATACTACACCATCTTGAGACTTGATAATAATATGAGTAGATTAGTGTATATACAGTTGAAGTCAGAATTATTACCCCCCCTATCAATATTCTTTTCCTAAATGATGTGTAACAGAGCAAGGACATTTTCACAGTATGTCTGATAATCTTTTTTCTTCTAGAGAAAGTCTTATTTGTTTTATTTCGGTTAGGATAAAAATCTGCTTTAATTTTTTAAAAACCATTATAAGGTCAAAATTATTACCCCCTTTAAGCTATATATTTTTTGATAATCTACAGAACAAACCATCCCTATAAAACTAACTTGCCTAATTACCCTAACCTGCCTAGTTAACCTAATTAACCTAGTTAAGTCTTTAAATGTCAATTTACGCTGAATACTATAATCTTGAAAAATATCTAGTCAAATATTTATTTATTTGTCATCTTGACAAAGATAAAAATAAATCAGTTCTTAGAAATTAATTATTAAAACTTTTATGTAAGATTTTCTCTCCATTAAAAAGAAATTGGGGGAAAAATAAACAATTAATAATAATTCTGACTTCAACTGTATGTGGTGTTTTCCACTTTCTCAGACTGCCAAATCGTCCTGTCATCAACACACCTATAGTTAGCGTGGTGGTCCACAAGGATGGAGAACCGCTCTTAAGCCCTCTCCAAAGACCAATACTGCTGAACTTCAGACTCCTGGAGACTCAGGAGAGGACCAAACCTGTGTGCGTCTACTGGAACCACTCCATCATGTAAGTGCTTAATGAATTAATAGTATCATTTATCTTTCATAGATTGCCCAAAGAAAGCTACAGTATCTTTGCTTTTGTAATGATTGCAGAATAAAGATGTATTTTTTTGTGATAGGGTTGCTGGTGGAGGTGCCTGGTCTTCTAAAGGCTGTGAGTTGGTCTTCAGGAACTCCACTCACATCAGCTGCCAGTGCAGTCATATGAGCAGCTTTGCCATCCTCATGGACATCTCCAAACGAGAGGTGAGACTTAATGAGCTATTGTGGTTTGTGGAGATCAAGGTTATAATAGTTTTGTATTTTTCGTTAGTTTTAGTTTTTATTTCGTTTTGACTTTTTGTTTTCAAATTCAATTAGTTTTAATTAGTTTTCAGAGGCAGATTTACTAGTTTTTATTAATTTCTATATTTTGAAATGACTTAGTTTTAGTTTAGTTTTTATTAATTTCAGTATTAGTTTTAGTTTTTTTTTCTAAATGAGGATATTTGTTTGGTGCAAGTTTCAAAATCAATAGAATAAATATTGTATAATAAAAACTTACATTTTATGAAACCTGTATTTAGAGGGTACATGAACACTATTATCTACCAATACAATACCCATCCTCAAATTCAAATACAACAGCCCACAAGATAGCAGCCTTAAGTACAATATGTGTGCAAGGCTGCTCTGAGATTAGATACACAGTAGTGATGGGAAGTTCAGATCTTTAACGCGGATGTTAGGACTCAACATTATAAAGTCAGCAATTATAATTTCAGTCAGTTAAAACATCACTATGATCTGAAAAATGTCTTATAGTAAAGTTTTGCAACCCAATTGAATCATGATTCACTTGTTTCAATTCCATTACTCTTTTCTATTATGTAATAAACACGTTTTTCACCAGATTCTCTCACTTAAGCCCTCGGTTTACCCACGGCACAGCAGGCTGTCATGTACTGTTTGGTTCACCGCTTCTCAAATTTGATCTCAGTGTAACGTTACTGTTCTAATAACTGAATGAGCGTATATATTGGATTATTTCGAGTCAGAGTTGGGTATTAGGCTTGTTAAAAAGAAAGTCGTTTGTGGATAAGTGCTTACTGTAGATGAGAATTTTTTCAAATGATTCAGTTCGTTTTGGTGAATTCATTCAACAGGTTTACTTAAAAGATCAGGTTAAAAAGATTTTTCACGATCGCGATAAAGAAATAAACCCCATTATTGGGCACAAATTTGTTAAAGTAATAGTTTTAAGTGTCGAATGCTGTCACAGTGCTGCTGTCATGTCCACTTGTTGTTTCTGTCGTGGGAGCAACAGAGAGGACTGACTTGAGGAGAAACGGCTCGATGGTAGCAGGCTCTTGAAGTCCGCATGGGTCAAACACCTGCAGCACAAATTAGATTTACGAAAACAAAGGAGGTTTTTGCTCTAATTTTAGTTAGTTTCAGTTAGTTTTGTATGTACACAATATAGTTTCAGTTAGTTCAAGTTTTTTTTTTCAGTTTTTTTTTTAAAACTCTCGTTTTTATTTTTATTTCAGTTAACAACAATTATTTCAAATTTTAGTTTTCGTTTTTTCGTTCGTTTTCGTTAACTATAATAACCTTGGTGGAGATGCATTAAACAGCCTTTAAAGGATGATTGGTAAATAGCCATGGTTTTTAATTAAAGGTATTAGTTCATGCAGAAAATGAAAATGTTTAAATTAAATGAAAATTAAATTATTAATTACGCACTCTCATTTTGTTCCAATGCCCTGAGACCTTCTTTAATCTTCTGAACACAGATTTATATCTTAAATGAAGTCTGAGAGCTCTCTTATCCTTCATAGACAGTAATGGTCCTGAGATGCTCAAAGTCCAGAAAAGGTACCAAAATAATTGTTAAAACATTCCATGTGACTTCAGTGTTTCAACTTCAGTCATACGAAGCTCCAAGAACACTTTTGTGCACAAAAAATTTTTTAAAACCATTGCTCCTATTTAAAATACACCAAAAAAAAAATTTTATAAATTCATTGTAAATTAAATAAATATCCTGGTCTGATGCAGAATACATGGGCAATTTACAGTGAGTGAAGGCGTTTTTAAAATTTTTGGTGCACAAAACTGTTCTTGGAGCTTCGGATAATTACATGGAATGTTTTGACAATATTTTTGGTTCCTTTTCTGGACTTTGTCTCTGAACCCTTGCTGTCTATGGAGGGTCAGTGAGCTCTCGGGTTTCATTTTTAAAAATCTCAATTTATGTTCTGAAGATAAGCGAAGAACATGGAACAACATGTGGGTGAGCAGTTAATAACAGAATAATTATATTTGAGTGAACTAACCCCTTAAATTTGGGCCAATCTGGATTCTGAACTTGCATTAAAACTCCACTGCAATGATTTTATACTGGGCAAAGTGTATAAACTGAGCAATAACAGAGGCCAGCGGAAGAGCACCAGTATACCAACCGATATTTGGACTGGTAGCCACATATAGAAATGAATGACCAAACAAACATTCATTCAGGTGCCACATATAGAAATGACCAAACATTCATTCATTCTCTTTTCGGCTTAACCCCTTTATTCATTCAGGGTTGCCACAGCGGAATAAACCAATAATTTTTCCAGCATATGTTTTACGCAGTGGATGCCCTTCCAGCTGCAACCCCTCACTGGGAAACATCGATACCCACTCATTCACACACATACACTACGGACAATTTTAGCATACCCACTTTACCTGCACTGCATGACTTTGGCCTTGTGGGGGAAACTGGAGCAAAATGGCCAAGCGCTCAGGGGGAAAAAAGATATTCTGCATTAAGTTTTAAATTCAGTGAACATTGTTTTTCTTTCAAAAAGTATGCAAAAATATACATCTAAAGCTAGAGTAAACATTTTCACAATGTACACAATAGGCATCATTCACAATACATGTGGATCTGTTGATATGATTTTATGTGTGAATTTTGTTTGTATTTGAAAAATTCACTAGGTAGAATCTCTGGAAAGATAGAAATACTGGAAGAAAATCCTAAATACTGAAATTGGGCTCAAACTAAGTTATCTTTAAGTCTAGATTATGCTTTCTTTCTTTACAATACCTATCAAATGCCAGTGCAGCTGTTTTGTACAGCATGGAAATGTTAATTTGCATTCTTGTTTGGCCTGTCTACTGTTTTTATTGTTTACAAATATGTTTAATATAGCATAATTTATAAAGTCAAAGTCAAATCAAATTTATTTCATATTATTTGTCAATACTAATTTTGGGGGGAAAAAATAACTTAAAAATGAAATTAGTCCCAGAATCAGCCATTTTGTTTGTAAAAATCATAAATCTGAATTGTCTATATTTTCTAGTATTCACACAGCTAACTTAGGTTATTCTCGGTTACAGCATGGTGACGTTCTTCCTCTGAAAGTGGTGACCTACACAACAGTGTCAGCTTCACTGGTGGCCCTCCTCATCACCTTCCTCCTGTTGGCCATTCTTCGCAAGCTGCGCTCCAATCTACACAGCATCCACAAGAACCTGGTGGCCTCCATCTTCCTCTCAGAGTTCATCTTCCTCACTGGCATCAATCAGACAGACAGTCCGGTGAGCCATACTATAATATCAGCAATGTTATTTTGTTGTAATTATAACTTAGCAGTCTCTGTGTGATACTAAACCCTTGCTTTTCTAGTTTGTTTGTACAGTTGTGGCCATTCTTCTACATTACTCATACATGTGCGCATTCGCCTGGATGTTTGTGGAGGGGCTGCACATTTATCGAATGCTGACTGAGATGCGTAACATCAACCAAGGCCACATGCGCTTCTACTATGCTATTGGCTGGGGGATTCCCGCTATTATTACCGGTATGATGCGCTCAGCTGATCAACAGTTAACCTACTGACTGATCGCTAACATGAACTAGAGCAGCAATTCTCAATCCTGGCCCTCGTGACCTCCTGCTTGACACATTTTGCACGTCTCTCTTGTTTTACACAGCTGATCTAGATAAGCAGCTCATTAGAAGCGATTGCCTAATAAAGAAACTGTGGCTGCATCCGAAACCGCCTACTACTCAGTAGGTACTGCATTTGAATTTAAACGTACTATTCGGCTGTTAGAAAAGTATGTTCTATTGACCTTATTCTAAAATGCAGAAGTGCGCCTGTTTTCGCGATTGTCTTAGAACTTCCGATTCAGTCGCCTATGGGAGAAATGACTAGGAATAATAAACGGCGGAAAATGGTCAAACTACTTGCTCTACAAACAAATGTTTGCATGACTACACAGTCCAAGTAGAATAATATAATAAGAAAATATCAAATTGCAACATCAAGCAGCGTAACGAGCAGTTTTTAATGTCAAAAAATGAATGGAAGTGAATGTGACCGGAAGTCGCGAGATAAAAAGATCCAAATGGCAGCGCCTGCTCGTCCGCGGAGAATAAGGTGAATATGGTATGAATGTGGAAAAGTATGAATTGAATTCGGACGTACTACATGCACTATTTTGTCATGGTCACGTGACCTACCTGCGTCAGTTGCGTCGCTTCACTTCCATTCATGAATTCTCTCGCGTGGAATTATGGGATAGCGCAGCGTGCATGGGATGCGCACTCCAAAATCTCGACGGAAGTAGTAAGTCATCCGGGTACTTCTCGCATACTGATTTTCGAATTCTATGAATTCGGACATACTACTTGCCTCGCATACTGATTTTAGCATACTATATAGTATGGAAGTATGCAGTTTCGGACGCAGCCATCGTTCCTATTGACATGTTCCCTACAGAGTGTTCACTGCTCTCCCCTGGTCCCTGCATAAGTACAACTGGCTGAACTAGAAGTTTACTTAATTTAAAAATGAATTATTTAACTTCACTTATTGCAGCATTTTTAGGTGATGTTGATTACAGAAGTTTGAAGGGTTATTTAACTGTAATCTTGAGTAAAAGTCACATCTCACACATTTTAATGCCTTTTGAATTAAACAATCTGTTCCTTCGAGCTGCAATCCTGGCAAAATATCATGTGGTGTTCAATTAGTGGGTCACTTATGTTCGAATGGAACAAACCTCTAAGGTAGTTAGCCTAATGTTCAAAATTTAGAAAAACAAACTAGAAATCTACAAAAAAAACTTACAAAGTGCCTTCAGGATGACGTTAAAGTAGTAAGTTCTCAACTAGGAATCTTCTTAAATGCCACAAAAAAACCTCCTAAGTGACCTTAGTATTACATTCAAGTGTTTGGTCCTCAGCTTGGGGTACATTAGTGCCTCACTTAGTGCCTCACTTGTGTTGTTTGTGTTTGGTGTAAACCCAGCCCTGTTGGCCTTTTATAAAGGACACTGACATCATGAGGCAACAACTCCCGTTGTAGTGTCCACACAAACACACTGTACCCAAAGTTTTGAAAAATCTTCACCCTGGGCGGACTTTTCAGAATGTTTTGGTTTCAGTCACCTGATACTGCATTTTCATATGGACAGTGTTTTGAAAATACCCATGTTTGTGTGGACAGGGCCTTAAATGGACAGTATTAGGTGATCTACCTGGGTGCCAGGGCCAACTACAGGGCTGCAGAAATCTTACAAAAGGACCTCAAGATGACTTATTAGAGTATTAAATTTTCAACCAATTTTATTTGAAAAGTTGAAAAACAAGCAACTTGGTCAAATTTATAAAAATACCAGATAAATTCTGAATGTATTTAGTATTGAAATTTGGAAAGATGTTAGAAATATAAACAGATATAGTATTAGATTCTTAAAACCTGTGTAGTTTGCTCTTTGATTGCCCACTAGTGCTGATTGTGTGTCTGTATCATCAGGTCTGGCTGTGGGTTTGGATCCGCAGGGTTATGGAAACCCTGACTTCTGCTGGCTGTCTGTTTATGACACTCTCATCTGGAGCATCACGGGACCAATATCCATAGTAGTGCTGGTCAGTTTGTGTTTTATTTATCTTATTTAAAAAAAATTTTCAAACTAAAGTGCTGATTACTTATTGAAAACATATCTCTTTGTTTAACAGATAAATATAGTCCTAATTGTGCTGGCAGCCAAAGCCTCGTGTGGACGGCGCCAGCGAACAGAGAAATCTGGAGCAATGTGAGTAAAGCAAAAGTGTGTAATGATCAAAGTGAAGAATATTTTTGGTAAGCAGGGTTTTTACATTGGTTATTTGCTGTTGTTCAGCTCTGCTCTTCGAGTGGCCTTTCTCCTCCTGCTGCTCATCAGCGCCACCTGGCTGCTGGGTCTGATGGCGGTCAACAGTGATGTGCTGTCCTTCCACTACCTATTCGCCATCCTCAGCTGCTTACAGGTACAAATGCACCCATATGGTTATGGAAAAATAATGTATGTTAGAATTGAAATTAGAGACATCTTAGGTACTAAGAATGTCCATGTTGTAATTTTAAAAAGGTAAAATAAATATGAATCAGTTTCAGAATCAAGTTCAAAATGCTTTGTTTTATAGTTATTTATATTCTTCATTTAAAATGTACAGATATTATTGTTTGTTGCTGTTGCTGATAAAATAAATTATATTTATATTAATAATAATAATTCTATTATATTTGTATTTTATTTTAAATAAAAATAAACAATGTACATCAAAAATTGCTAAGTAAATAGATATAAACAAAATGTAAATAACGAAATATATAAAATAAATTTTAACAAAACAAATCCTAATAAAATTGGGTTGTATAAATGTAATAAAAATAATAATAAAAGTAGTAATAATAAAAATAGTTAAAAATCTAGATCAAATCAAAATTGTAAAATGTTAAATTAAGTACAATAGAAAAAAAATAAAGGAAATTATTAAAATGTGGTTTAAACAAATAATACTAATAATTTTGAGCAACAGAAAGAAGTAAATAAAAGGACATTAAATAAAAGTTTAAATAATAATATGTTACATTAAATACAAATAAGTTGGGTATTGATCAAAACTGTATGAAATTAAGTTGCACTCTTAAACTAATAAGCTTTTATATTAAAAAGAAATTATAATACATGCCAGGATTCAGTGTTGACGTGTTAATTTTTTTTATTCCAGGGCATTTGCATCTTCTTTTTTCACTGTATTCTCAACAAAGATGTGAGGAGAAACCTGAAAAGTGTCTTTACAGGAAAGAATATACCAGCTGAGGATCCCAGTGTAACTCGGGCTACTTTACTCACGGTGAGTTTGACTTAAAGTTGGATCTAAAGGTGAACATTATTATGCAGGCATAGTTTATTTATCCTCTATCATTTTCTTTAGCGTTCACTGAATGGTGACGTCTACATGGAGGATGGAGGTCTGTACCGAACCACTATTGGAGAATCTAGTGTGTCTCTGCAGAGCTCAGTCAGATCAGGAAAGAGTCACGGTAGCAGTTACCTCGCTTCCACATTCAGGTAATTCACCACAGATTCATATTGAATACCATGATTAGCCAATCAGAATTAAGATTTCCATGTTGTAAAAAACATCTCAATTGAATTTATTACATGAAAGACTTACATGAAATTCACACAGACCTTGGCTTTCTGTCACATGATAACCTGGTGTCTAACTTAGCAAAGTTAGAGAACAGTTTATGAATACTCGATTTTGTTCAGAATGAATTCTTTAAAATGTTGAGGAATTTCAGTTGTTGCTATATCATGCTACATAATTTGTTATACTTTTTTCCACACTCAAATCTTGATCTGGACAACCTGCTGAATATCATTAAAGAGCAGGTCATACGGTGTTTTAAAGGGCCCTATTATTGTGCTGGAGTCCCCTACATTTAAATCCAGCTAATGTCTGAAACATTGTGATTTTTTCAGAATATGCTCTTAAAATCAATAGGAACGATTTTAATATGGTTCATTTAAGCCAATTCAGGGCTTAATTCTTTTTTGTTTACTCACCCTTTTAAATGTTCCATAACTTAATAAGTTTTTCTTCTGTTAAACACACAAGAAGATATTTTGGAAAATGCTAGAATCCTGTAAACATTACCTTCTGTAGTAATTGTTTTTCCTTCTATGGGGGTCAATGGTTACAGGTTTCCGAAATTTTTCATAATATCTTCTTTTGTGTTCAATAGAGGAAATAAACTCGTAAAGGTTTGGGACCACATGAGGGTGAGTAAACATTGAGTTATTTTTTGAGTAAAATATCCCTTTAAGGTCTGTAAATTCCTTCCTTTGCTTCCATAAGCCAACTTTGATTTGATTTGTCAGCTGGCCAAGTGTGTTTGAATGGTCTTTACGTCTCTACATCCTGTCTGAAATGGGAATGTTCTTATTTTGTGGACAGGTGTCGTAATTCGACTTCTCATCAATAAGAAATTATCAGACAGGAGGTTTTGAATATCAGAAAATAGACTTTATTCTAAATAATAAAGCAGAGAAAGAGCAGAGCAGACCTCATAGCATTCTCCTCCTCTTTCTCTTAATCTTTCTAAAGTCTCTGTGTTTTCCACAATCTTTATACAGGTTATTTGACACACCCCTAGGTGTCTCATTTTAACTTTTGACCATTTTAGGATAAGTTTTTACTCTAGGTGGCCCTGTTATTCTTGGCTCTCAGCCCACTAGCTCATGTCAACAGAGATGTTACAAGTCTGTGTCAGCAATTGTTTTGACACCAGAGACATAGATGCAAAATAATAAGTGTTTAATACATTACATTGTCATGATAGGATAATAACTTGATGATATGTTACTCACTCTAGCTTCTGACACATATAGCTTCATACAAGTATTTAACATATATAATCAGTGCTTTACATATTCAGTTATTCTACACAATCATTCATTCTTCAGCATAGCCTTCTCCTAGTCTTGCTCCTGTGCAGGCATACTCATTTTACACAGTATTTTTAACACACGTTGGCATGTTTGCTGCAAACACTCCATACTTTTTGAAAAGAGAAATTTAACTGCTTTACACTTAGAAAATACCTCACACAGAGAGAATAAAAGCTTCTTCACAGGCAGGGATTATGCAAATATGTTGCTTTGTGTTTTCGTAGATTACAGCAAACAAGAATATAGCAGCAAATAAAAAATTAATGCGATTCATAATCGACTATAGTTTGAGAGATATTGGGCTCTATTTTAACGATCTAGGTGCAAAGTCTGAAGCGCATGGCGCAAAAGCATTAAGGACATGTCCGAATCCACTTTTGCTACTTTAAGGACTGAAAAATAAGCTCTGCACTGCGGTGCATGCTCTGACAGGGGTGTGCTTATTCTTTTATTGAGTTAAGGGTTTGTTTTGAGAATAAACAAATCAGAGTCCCATTCCCTTTAAGAGTCAGTTGCATCACGCCATGGCACATTTGCTATTTACAGGGCGGACTTTGTAATTGGAAAAATTCTTCACTACTGAGAAAACGGTTAAACCGAGCGTCTGCAGCAAGGATAAAGAACAAGCCTCCTCCATTCGGCCACTTTACTTTCTCTTTCTCTTTTGTGGAAAAGGAAACAGTGTTGTGCACACATACATCTATTAGCCTAGGTAATTAATTTAATTTGTTAAGGGCAAAGATTTGCCTCAAAACTCTTTTTAAATTCAGTTCTAATTTCCAGCAAATGAATAAATGAGCAATAATAATGAATTGTGATCAAAAAACCAAACACACTTCCATATTCATATGCGCCATATGGTCCAAAACCTGACAGGTGGACCAATCTAAACTTGTTTTTAATAAAACAAATATAAATGTGCGCATAATAAATAATACTAATAATAATAACATTATACAAAAGCAAATTGTCATTAATAAACTGTAAAAGCCCTCTGAGATGAAGAAGGCATGGAGGCAGTGGTTTTTATATTTATGTAGAAAGTGATAATTTTTGTAATATTTTAATCCTTTATTTTTTTTTCCTTCGTAAAGATATTTGTGTATTGCTGTACATCCTGTGCATTTTAAGCAATGTGTTCGTGTTTAAGGCACACAACTAACCTGCTCTGCGCTAGACTTTAGACCTGCTTTCATCTGATCTAATATGCAGTTTATTTAGTTCCTCAAAATAGCTACGCACCAAAAATGCACCTTAACACACCTCTTTTCTAGACCGGGGCACTCATGAGTCCACAAAGTGGCACAAATGTATTTGCTATTTGAACAATGCGGCAGAAAATGGAAAAAAAAATTAAGCTTGAGTTTGTCTGAAAATAGCAACATGTTGGGGCAAACACATCCCGCACCCTATTGCACCGAGCGCATGATAGGGTCCAATATCTTTTTCAATATGCTCTTTTTAATGAAGGATTAGTTCCACAAAAAATGATTAATGACTGACCCTCATATTGTTGCAATCCCCTGAGACCTTTGTTCATCTTCAGAACACAAATTAAGTTATTTTAGATAAAATCCAAGAGCTCTCTCATACGGTGGCCTAGTAGTGCACAACAACATTAAGATCACAATTCAATGAAATTTCAAAAAGCAAACATTAATCTCACAACACAATGACATTAAGATCACAACACAACATTATTTAAAAAAGCAAACAATAATCTCACAACTCAACATTAAGATTACAGTGCAACATTTCAAAATTTCAAAATAATCTCACAACACAACAAAATTAACAACATGACACAACCACATTTCAAAAAGCAAACATTAATCTCACAACACAACAGAAATGCTCCTTACCACTAGGTGGCAGTTGGTCCACAAATGGGTAATTGTGTGCACGTCACAAGTATTTGTCCATTGCATGGACATTACAGAAGGGTATGCCCAGTGGTAAAATCGGCTTCTTATCCCTTGGTAGCAATGTGTTGTGACAAATTTGTTGTGGCGTCAAGAGGTAATCGCTCTTTCGGTCTGTAACTTGCCATTCAACTAGAAAAGAAATAACCACTTCACTGCCACCTAGTGGTCAGGGGCATTTCCGTTGTTTTGTGAGATTAATGTTTGCTTTTATAAAATGCCGTTGTGTTATACACTACTGGGCCACCAAACTCTCATTCTTCATACACACTAAAGGTCATGAGATATGAATTCAGTGCTTCAAATATAATCATACATATAAACTCCAAGGAAAATGTATGAAAAAAACTGACTTTGTTTGCAAATGTCTTTCACACCAGTTAAGGGTGTGTATTTACTAAGAGTAATACAGTGTGTTCGCTGCTGACTCTTAACAATCACCATCTCACATGGGAGAGAAGACATTGGCAAACAAAGTCACCAGCTTTTTACATTATTGGTTCCTTTTCTTGACTTGAACATCTTGTGACATCTTGCTGTCTATGAAGAATGAGAAAGCTCTTGGAATTAGTCTAAAATATCTTAATTTGTGTTCCGACATTGAAAAAAGGTCTCACAGCATTTGAATGACACGGGGGTAAGTAATTAATACCATCATTTAAATGTATGTGTGAACTAACCTTTTAAATACTTCTCTTTAACACCTGTTAGAAAATAACTAAGTGACTTAAAATTTTTGGAAAACATTTTGATCTTCACTCTATATGTGAAATTATACATTCAAATGAACTCTTTGAAGTATTTTCCTGCAGCTGTGCCGGCAGCTGTTTCATTAACATATTTACACCAATTATCACCTGCTAGATTGTGCATAAACATCTCAGGGGGGGTGAATATCTTTAGTTCATTATGACTCTCAATTCATTTATCTCTATTTTAGTTATATTTATGAGTGCGATTTAGTTACCATAACCACAGACAGAGTCCTTCAGCATTGTAAAAGGCATTCTAATTCGCAGCACAGTGTCATGCGTTACATGGATCATATATTAAATCCAGCATGCACTGATTTATGCGTTTGATCTCTCCGTTTGCGTTTTACGAGGAACATTTTATTTGCTAATGAGATAAAACATTCTGGTTGTCGTGCTGCTATTTTGGCGGCTACATTTGTGAACATTTAACTAGCAACTTGCTGGTTTTAAAGGATTTCAATGTGACTCCACTTAATTGTAACGATAGAAACAAATTCTCATTATACAGTATGTTGTTTTCACACAGGGAGAAGAAACGCAGCATATCGTCCAATGGTGGACATGTGGGACACGATGAAGTAGACTCGACACTCTTTTTTCATAAGAGTAAAAAGAAAGAAGGTGAAAGAAAATACAGAGAAATATATTGTGTTATGCAAATATTTCTAAGATTGTCAAAGTCTGTTGGTGGTTTTTAATTTTTTTAATGACTTATATTTTTTGGCATAATCATTGAAAAAGGCCTTTCATATTCATTCATTCTTTTATTCATTCATTCATTTTCTTTCCAGCTTAGTTCCTTTATTATTCTGGGGTCGCCACAGCGGAATGAACCGCCAACTTATCCAGCATGTGTTTTTATGCTGCTGATGCCCTTCCAACTGCAACCCATCATTGGGAAACATCCATACACACTCATTCAAACATATAAACTATGGACAATTAAGCCTAACCAATTCACCTGTACTACATGTTTTTGGACTTGTGGGGGAAACCAGAGCACCCGGAGGAAACCCATAATAATAATAATGATAATGGTAATTATTATTATTATTATTATTATTATTATTATTATTATTAATTAGCTAAATTGGCCGTTGTGTATGAGTTTTAATATAAAAGTGTATGGGTGTTTCCTGGTGTTGGTTTTTGCCTGGAAGGGCATCTGCTGCATAAAACATATGCTGGATAGATTATTGGTTCATTCTGCTGTGGCGACCACAGATTAATAAAGAGAGAAAGCCGAAAAAAAATTAATGAATGTATTATTATTATTGTTGTTATTTAACAGATTATTAGATTATTGTTAGTTGTTAGTGTTGTAATTTGAGTAATTTCTTAATAAATACATATATTTAAAAGGCATATATGTATATTATTCATTCGTTCATTCTATTTTAAGACTGTTTTTTATTGATGTTATTTACTTTTTGTTTCACAAGGAAAATCAGTTATTATTTATGTTTTCTATAGTAACTCTGCTTTAACACAGCAATTCATGAATATTTTGTATATATGCACTTTTTGCACAATTTGTCCCATGAAGATCCCATGTGCAGTTAGAGGGTGAAGAGCAGCTTGTCTTCTGTGGCAAATTTTACCAAATGAGAGTTTACATCATGGATTTAATCCTATTAAATGTGTTTTTGGCTACCTCTGCTGGTCGAAAGTAGACAAGTTCAAATTTTAGACCCCTTTTAGATGCCGTGTAAAGCATAAATGACTACACTCCATTTTGAAAATTAATATCTTAATCTATTTCTAAGTAAATATGAGTTAGATATTTCTGTGCATTTGAACACAGCATATTTATTAAACAGATATATTTATTAAAATAATACATTAGTCAGAACATCTCTGGGAATACAAAAATAATACATTAAAATTTATGTGAAATATTGCAAAAATAAATAAATAAAAATTTAAACAAAATTGTGTGTGTGTGTGTGTGTGTGTGTGTGTGTGTGTGTGTGTGTGTGTGCGTGTGCGTGCGTGTGTGTGTGTGTGTGTGTGTGTATATATATATATATATATATATATATATATATATATATATATATATATATATATATATATATATATAGTTTATCTTGATTTTTGCTCTTTTTTAAAAGTGTTATTTAATATTTTTCCCTAAAATATAAATTTGGGTGACTTTTTTTTACGTTATTTTGTGAGATTAACTTGTGTGTTTGTTTTTAGACATTTTAAATTTTTTATGTCTTATATTGTTTACCATAAACATTGACAGGGCCCTTAAATATTAGAAAAGATGTGTAAAAAAACTATAATAGTAATAATAATAATAGTAGTAGTAATTATTATTATTATTTTCCCAGTACTGTGTTGTGGCTGAAAGGGCATCCACTGTATAAAACAAACTGTATGCCAGATAATACATTAAAATGTATGGGAAATGTTGCAAAAAAAAATTACAAACTACAAAAATTTTTACAAAAATTGAGATATTCTTTTGTTTCTCCTAATTTTTGCTCTTTTTAAAAACATGATTTAATAATTTTCCCTAACATATAAATTTTAACCTTTTTCAAAAGTTATTTTGTAAGATTAACTTGTGTGTTTCTATTCAGATTCAGATTCGGACAGTGAGCTGTCAGCAGATGAGCACAGCAGCTCTTACGCTTCCTCACACTCCTCAGACAGCGAAGATGAGGAAAGACACTCCAAAACTAAGTGGAATAATGAGAGGACGCCGATTCACAGCACTCCTAAAGGTGACCTCTGACCTGCACTTTTACATGTGCCATTCAAGCAAACACCAAAAACAAAGAGATCATAATCACTGAAAATAATACCCCAAAAAAAACCAACTCGCTCTTATTGAGAACTTTTTTTTTTTTAATTTTGCAAATCCAGCACAGTTTTATAAAATGTTTTTGTATTTTTTTTTTTTTTTGGTAAACATGTGCCACTAATATTACAATCCCTGTAAATTCATGTGAGCAAAATATAAGTAGTTTAAAGTATAAATTTATATTCGTATTGATATTTGACATTTTTAGTACGCCTCTGTGTCTGGAAGCTTGACCTCCGATTCATTAAGGCTATAAATATAGATATAATATAAATATACAAATATAAAAGGTAAAACATTGGCCAAGCTCACTTAGTAGTTCATCAGTGGGTTAAACCAAACAGCAGCTGTGATTTTATTGTGAACATTTGTTGAGCTGCGCACAATTTGAAGAGGCCACGTTTCCATCAGGATACACGTTTCCATCAGGAGTGAAATTATTAAAACCACTGTTAGCCAACTAAGATCACAAGTTCTGTTGTTATAAACATGGTTTGACAATTCAGTCTTTTCTTGATTCCATCATTCCAGATAACATTCACAAACAGAGTCACTAACGCTTGTGTGTTTAAAACTACACCCCTAGAGCTGCAGTTAGTTCCTGGCTGTGTTCTATTCCGATAACTATAGATTCATTCATTCATTTTCTTTTCAGCTTAGTCCCTTCATTAAACAGGGGCCACCACAGTGGAATGAACCACCAGCTTATCCAGCATATGTTTTACGCAACGGATGCCCCTCCAGCCGCAACCCAGCACTGGGAAACACCCATACACTTGAATCTTGCATTAACACACCACCCGAGAATCAGCGACCTTCTTTCTCTGTAGTGACAGTGTTAACCACTGAGCCACCGTGTTGCCATACCTCTAGATTCAGAGCTTTTATTTAAAAAAAAAAATCATTTTGAATTTAATTCAATATTTCATAATTAGGGCAGCACAATGGCGCAGTGGTTAGCACAATCGCCTAACAGCAAGAAGATCACTAGTTCGAGCCCCAGCTGGGTCAGTTTGCAATTCTGTGTGGAGTTTGCATGTACTCCCCGTGTTTGCGAACGTATTTAATACAAACATTTTTATTTGATAAAATCATTTAATCATGTAAATAGTTTTTAGTTGGTGCTACACAAATTGATGGGATGGAAATCCTGCCCTCAATAATAATAATAATAATAAATTGAGTTCATCCAATGAGTCATTATTGTTTTGAGTGTGGTAAACTGCAGAGTTAGTTTGGTCTTGAGGCTTAGAAAGTCTCAAACATCCCAAACATCACTGTCAAACTGAAAACACAAACTCAAGCATCTTCATTTTGTTTTTCATTTTTTACATTGAGCAAGCTTGAACAACAAACCATTACACTGTAAAAAAAAAATGCTGGCTTCCACACAATTCATTCATGTTTCCCAATATAAATCAATTAAGTTAACGTCACGTCTTTTACAAATTTAGGTGGATTGAACATAAAGCAATTCAATTGTCCCAAAAACATCTTAAGAATTGTGTTGTTTACACTGATTTTAAATAAGCAGTTTGAACATGCAGCAAAAGTCATGGTTTGAGTGTACCAAGAGTGCCTATAGTAGTACAGGAAAGTGTGTATCTAAAATTAACTTTTGTCTTGGATAACTGTGTTCATTTTTGTTCAACAGTCGATGGTGTGTCTGGTCATGGAAAGCCGTACTGGCCAGAAGAGATGCCCACAGCCAGTGAAAGTGAGGATATGGTGCGTCCAGAAAAACTGCGGGTGGAAACGAAAGTGAATGTGGAGCTTCATCAAGGCAATAAACTGAATCACAATGGAGATCTATCTCAAAGTGAAGGTCCACCTAGTCAGCCAAACAGCAACCAGCTGCCCAGAAGAGGTGAGCAACAGCGTGATCTACTGTTGAAATGCAAACATTGCATTTGATTCTGTTTTTGATTATTTTAAAACAGAATATAAAAATACAATAAATTCTAGCTTTTAATTTGTAATTAAATATGTATGTGCAGGAATTTAAAATGTCAACACAACAAAAAAAATCTATATAAAGTGATCATTCTATAAAAATAATTGTTTACTTTATATAATAACCAGTCATATACTCATATGTAAAAAGCTTGAATCTAATATCTTGTATAAAGAAATAAAACGGTAATTTTCTTTTTTTTTAAATATTATTAATTAATAATAATAATAAAACATTTTATTTATAATGCGCTTTTCTAAGACCCAAAGCGCTACAACAACAGAGAAATCAAACATGCAATAAAATACAAGTATACATTAAAAAAAGTCTAAAATATGAGCACAGAATAATCAAGAATCTAAAAATGCAGTCTTTAAAAGATCAGTTTTAAGCATCTTCTTAGTGTGGAAGCATTTCTTTCAGAATAAGGGAGAGCATTCCATAACCTAGGTGCAGCAACAGAGAAAGCTCTCCCCCCCACTGATTTTAGTCTACAGGGTGCTGCTGAGTTTTAAATGTACTGTAGCCGTTTGGTTAATTTAGCAGGTAAACCAACAAAGAGTGCATTACAATGGTCAATCCTGGAAGTGACAAATGCATGAATAAGTCTTTCAGCATCTGGTGGAGTGAGGTAGGACCTAATTTTTTTTTTTAATTAAAAGTATAATTTTTTTATTGTAATAAAAAAAAACGTATTTAAAAAATATTTCATAATTATTTATAATTAAATTATCAAATTCTTCTGCTCTTTATAGTGTTGAGCAGTTCCAGCATTATGGATGTGACATTTGCAGTAAAAACTCAAAACATAAATTCACTTATAAAGTATTCATTAACATTATATTGACACATGTTTATATTTTCCAAAACAACTAACCACAAAGTTATGAGGTCAGAAAAATATCAGTCTGTAAACATTTTTTATATTTTAAATGAGGAAAATAAAAATGTGTTATGGATGTGACAAAAAAGGTTGCAAAGTTACAGTCTACAACATACTTTGTAGAAATTCTGTGAATTAAACTGCACAACCTGAAAGAAACAACGATAATCAAACCGGTACAAGTCGGCTCACTATAAAACCAAAATGATTGATTTTATTTTAACTGACATTTATGCATTTATGAGAGAAAAGCTCTGTTATGAATGTGACACTTTTCTGTTATGGATGTGACAGCTGTGAAATTGCCATTTGTATGATTTTGGTAAATTAAATATAATAGTTTCTGAGTATTTTTACATTTCTGAGTATTTTTAAAGTACTGTAAAATACTTTCTTTCACAAAAAAAAAGTAGAAATGGCTTCTCTATTTTAGTGAAAACTTAATATATTTTATGGCAAGGTTGACATTTGCATCTATTGTATTTATTCATAAACGTCTTTCCTTCATGTTGATTGTTTTCTTAATATATTTCAATCTTATGTATTTATTCTGTGTTAAAATTATTCAATTTGTTTAACCTGTTATTTACTAAAATGTTTTACTAATATATTTATGTATCTTTTAATAAATCAAGTTTAGCATTTAATTTAAGTAGTTAACAAATAAGCTTATTTTATGACTATGTATTTATTATATTAATAATTTATTATTTATTCATAATTAAGATAATATAAAAGTTATTCTATCAATGTTCTTTATTATATTATATTATTAAATTTTTATTTTATGTATTATTAGTAGTAGTATTTACAAATATTATATTATAATTTATTTTCATTTATTATTGGTATTATTATATTATAATATGCTTCACTTTTATTAGGCATTTTGAAGAACAAGATCACATATCCTCCTCCACTGACGGACAAGAACATGAAGAACCTCTTGAGGGAGAAGCTCAGTGACTACAACCCACCACAGATCTCCCGTAAGACCCCGTCACCTGGGTCAAACGAGGGTCTCCACTCAGGACCCGAGACCCCCAGCATCATCATCAAACCACCTCCAGTCCCACCCAAACCTGCCCTCAACGGCCTCACACTGGACCTGACCACCCGTCCCGTCACCCTAGCGGACGACGACTTCCATTCAGAGTCAGTTTAATGCATCATTTCAATTTATTTGTTTTAGGGCTGTCAGTTTAACACACTTTAAGTCACCTTGAAAGCAAAAATAAAAGTTGTTTTTCAATCAATATGTGAATATTAATGTTAAACATTATAAGCTATAGTGTAGCTCTAATGTTTTGTTTCCACTAAGCGGTACCGTTCAGTATAGTACAGTAAAGATTTGGTATGGGTCACCCTGAATGAATCAACTTATTTAATAGACCAGTAATTCCCAACCCTGTTCCTGAAGGCACACCAACAGTACACATTTTCAACTTCTTCCTAATCAAACACTCCTGAATCAACTCATCAGAACATTAGAAGAGACTCAAAGCCTCAAGTTAATGGTCAGGGGTGCGTTTCCTAAAACCATCGTTAGCCAGCTAAGGTTGCAAGTTTCATTGTTACAAACATAGTTAATTGATTTGCCGTTTTCCAAATCCATCGCTCCAATGAACATTCGCAAACTGCATCGCAAATTTGAGTACTTAAAACTACACCTCTGGAGCTGTAGTTAGAAATATAGTTCCTGACTGTGTTCTATTCCCACTTATCCCCCTATGCCCTATTCATTTAGAACACAGGTGTCAAACTCAGTTCCAAAAGGGCCGCAGCTCTGCACAGTTTAGTTCCAACCCTAATTAAACACACCTGATCAAACTAAGGCCGTACTCACACTAGGTACAGTTGCCTTGAACCGGCCCAAAGCACGCTTGTCCCCCCTCCCGTCTCCCCCGACGGCCCGCGCTCACACCACAAACAGGCCTCGGCACGCTTACGTCATCGCTGCTGCGCTGTTTAGTGAGAAGCACTCTCTCACTCAGCAGCACAGTGGAGATTTCTCTAGTTATATCGTTTCAGCTGTTTGCACAGGCCCTATTTACATGTGTTATTTACATATATTTCAATTAATATGGAAAGCGAGTGCATGGTTTTACCAAAACTAACATTGGATTTTATTTTAAATGCATGTTTGTGTAAAACAATATCATTTGCACAAAGAAATGATGGGGTTCTTCTCTATAGAATATGTTACTCCGCCCAGTTTAGAGCATCATTATGGGCATTTTACATTATAACCAACGTGGTTCAAGTGATGGATCTGCGACAGAGAAACTAGGGGTTTTGGGAAAAACTCTTCAATTTTCCCAAATGATGCATCGTACTATGATTCAGCTGCGAGTTACATCGTTGTTTGGGAAACGCACCCCAGATAAGAGAGATGTCCAAAATATGTACTATTGGTAGGCATTGGCCGATATAAGATTCTAATGGTATGATAACCTTGGATAAAAACATCACTGCATTGTGATTACTGCTCTAAAATAATTTTTTTTAAATGTTTGTGTAAAAAAGCAAGAACTATTTTTTGAATATTTTTTAACACAATGGCTTCATCCGAAATCACATGCATATATCCATACTATATAGTAGGCTAAAACAGTATGAGAGCCGAGTAGTATATCTGAATTTATAGAATTTGAAAATCAGTATGCGTGAAGTTCCCGGATGACCCACTACTACCGGCAAGATTCTAAAGTGTGCATCCGATGGACATTACGCTATCCCGTGATGCACCATGAGAAAATTCATGAATGGTAGTGAAGCGACACAACTGACATGGATATGTCATGTGATGATGACAAAAGGACATCTGTAGTACGTCCGAGCTTCATTCATTCTGTATAGACATATTTTTCTAACTGTCAAGTCAAAATTTCTAATTTAAATGCAGGACCTGCTGAGTAGTAAGCCAATGTATTTTATTTTGAGAAACATTGAAAATAATTTGGAGCAGTAAACATGTCCGGCTAAATAATTCAAATCAATCATTGACTTCTGCTGTCTCCATTAATTTCAATAACACTGATTTCTCTACAATTTAACAGCATCTTTGGATATTTTTTTGTGCTGGAGATTCTGTTTTCCTAAATAAATGTAATCAAAAACTCTTAGAGATACTTTAGGTATGACAGAAAGTTTTGGCGGTTTTAAAACCTTGACTTTTCCAAACTGCTGTACATCTTGAAAACGGTTATTGTCCCATGCCTATTCATTGGTGTGCCTCCAAGAACAGGGTTGAGAAACACAGCATTAGACACTTAGGTGCTAAAAAGTACTAAACAGTGGAAACGGGCAAAAAGCATATCGAACTGTACCGTACTAAACTCTACCGCTCAGTGGAAATGATATTACTTGCAGTTTTTGGCCCTGTCCACACCAACACTGCTACTTTCAAAACCCCACTGTGGCCATTTGTCCCTACCAGTGTGGTGAAATTAGTTACAAATTATCTAGTTACTGTAATTAAATAACTTTTCTTCTGGAAGGTTAAGTAATGGATTACTCATCATTTTTAGGTAATTTAATTACAGTTACTTATTATATATTTGCCTTTAAAAACTGTACATAAATGTAGGAGTCCTTTATAAATCAATTCAAAGAAGAACATTAATATTCTGCAATATACATAGCAAATAGAAATAAAGGGCCCTATCATACATTCGGCGCAAGACGCGACACAATCGTTGTTTGCTAGTTTCAGCTCGGCGCAAGAGTTGTTTTGACGTTTTGCGCCACGCTGTTTAAATAGCAAATGTATTTGCGCTCATATGTGCGCCCGTAGGCATTCTGGTCTAAAAAAGGAGGCGTGTTGAGTTGCATTGCTGGCGCGTTGCTATTTTGAGGAATTTGAATAGATGGTTCAATAGATCAGGTCAAAGCCGGTCTATAGTCCAGCGCAGAGTGCGTTAGTTGTGCCTCACTTACACATTGCTTAATACATAGAGGGTATACAGCAATACGCAAATATCTTTAAAAATTAAAAAGAATTAAAGGATTAAAATATTACAACAAATATTATTTTCTAGCCTTCATAAATATAAAAACCATACTTTCATGCCATCCTCATCTCAGTGGATTTTTCAGTTTATTCATAACAATTTGCTTTTGTATAATGTTATTATTATTAGCAGTATCATTTATTATATGCATATTTATATTTGTTTTATTAAAAACAAGCTTAGATTTGTCCACCTTTCAGGTTTTAGACCATATGGGGCACAGCATGTGTATTTGGATATAACTCAGTTTTTTGACCACAATTTGTTATTATTGTTCATTTATTGCTGGAAATTAGAACTGAATTTAGATTTAGTTTTGAAACAAATCTTTGCTCATAACAACTGAAATTAATTATGTATAGGCTAGTGGATGTCTGTGTGCACAACACGTTTCCCTATTCACGAGAGTGAAAGTAAAAGTAAATAATGAGGAGGATCATCTCTTATTCTTGTGCTGTAGATGTTCTGTTTAAATGTTTCTCGCTCTTGAAGCGTTCAGTTTTTCCACTTACAAAGTCCGTCATGTAAATAGCAATTGCGCTATGGCGCGGCACAACTGACTCTTAAAGGGAATGGAAGATGAGACTCTGATTGGTTTATTCCCAAACACACCTATAACTCATTAGGAGAATAAGCTCAACCCTCTTAGACCATGCGACGCGACGCAAAGTGGATTTTTCGTCCTTAAAATAGCAAAATCAAATTTCTAAACATAATATTTTCATTAACTCATTTCTAATAACTGATTTATTTTATCTTTGTCATGATGACAGTAAATAATAATTGACCAGATATTTTTTAAGACACTTTTATACAGCTTAAGGTGACATTTAAAGGCTTAACTAGGTTAATTAGGTTAACTAGGCAGGTTAGGGTAATTAGACAAGTTCTTGTATAATAGTTTGTTCTGTAGACTATCGGAAAAATATATAGCTTAAAGGGGTTAATAATTTTGACCTCATTAAAAACTGCTTTTATTCTGGCTGACTTTCTCCAGAAGAAAAAATATTATCAGACATACTGTGAAAATTTCATTGCTCTGTTAAACATAATTTGGCAAATATTTAAAAAAAGAAAAACAAAATTCAACGGGGAGGGCTAATAATTCTGACTTCAACTGTATATATACAAGTGAATATAACAGCTGTTTTTGAAACTGTAAAATCTTTCTTAATTTTGTCAATATATGGTACGTATGAAATATTTTGTCAGCATGAGTTTTTAAAGCTACTTTAATCTATAATGTCTGCTTTTTGCATTTAACACATTAAATAAGTAATGTTTTACAGGGTTAATGTCCTTAACTTTTTAACTGATTGGCAGTCCTAGTTTGTGCTGAATTTCAAACCTTTATCTTTCTCTTTTTAGTGGAAGCAATGAAACTTCAATCTGACTCTTCTGAAGGATGAAGAAACTGAAAGTGCTTTAGGGAACCGGTTGCCGGATCCAGAAAAGCCCATCATTCTCCTGCTCTGAAGTTGTTTTTAGTATTTATAAAGATTCATTTAATACAAATAGAGGCTGGACGCAAGGTATCCCAGCTTCCCAAGTTCTACCACAAGTCCACATTGAACTGGTCGAGGACAGATAGTGTTTCTGGCATTGTGGATTTGGCGTTATTTTGATACAGACTGATTTGTACAGTTTATTGCAAAATTCATTGGTCACGAACAAATGACTTGTGACATGTAAGTAATGTTTATAGATGCATTTTGTACTTTAGATGTGTATTAGGTTTATTTGTATAATTCTAAATTAGGATTTCATTGTGATGCCAATACTGAGTATTTATGTTTACGATGGTATTTTTTACAGCACTATTTTAAATGTGTTCATATTGTGTTTTTTATATTGTGCATTCAATTGTAGCTTAATTTGATGTAGCCTAAAGTGTTCGTTACCCAAAAATTTAAATCTGTCACAATACACTCAAACCTATCTTGTTCAAACTCGTTCATCTGTTAAGTCATATTATGATATATTTTTTAGAAATGTTGATATTTCTGCTCCTCTATTGAAAGCCTGTTCACCCAAAACTCATTTAAATGTAAATTAATACCAACATTTATTCTGTCCATTTTATGAAATGATCATGTATCTACTGTACATGTCTCTTGGGTTAAACAGCTTGATATATATTTGATATTTACAGTAGTTGAATCACTTTATGAATGCTTTGATGCTAATAGACTTTCAATGGAGGGTCTTAATACCTGATGAACAAGTCATTTAGGTTTGGAAGAACATGTTTGGAGTGAGTAAAATGATGACAGAATTTTTATTTTGTGTTGAACGAACTCTATTTTCTTTACCCCACTCATGTTTCAGATGAATTATTGGTCCATCATACATAATTTCTGTCGTTGGGTTTAACAGACGTGTATTTTTGCAGTTTTTTTTTTTTTTTTACCTCTGACAGTATTTTCCAGTCTATGCTCAGCATGCCTCAATGTCTCCGCCAGTGCTGTACATAGACAAACAATGTTTTGTTACATTTGCTCCACCTACCCAAAGTACATTTACTCTTTAAATGATCTTTACAGGACAGAAAATGCATGTTTTTGAAAGTGAAACAGTTATTGCCTCTGCTTGAACTAGAATAATTATATTGTGAAAATATGTAATCATGTGCATGTCTATTATGCAAGGTCATTCGTAACTTTTTGATTTCATGGAAAATTTGTTTAAATTTGTACAATCTCATTAGAAAGTTTTCAATACATCCCTGGAGCTACCTTTTTTTGAAGTTTTTGTTTTCACGACTCCACCAGAGGCCACTGTGTACTCTTTTTTTTTTTCAAATCTCAAAATTTCTCTCATGAGTGGCATTCGCACCTGCTCTTCTTACATAAATCCACTAGAGGCTGCTGTTGACTAACTCACTGGCTGTAATGATCAACCGAACGATATCCCCACCATCCCCTTTCTCTAAACCTAACCAATAGACAAATTTCACGCGGCCGCCATTTTCAAAAGCGAAATCGGTGGGAAGAAGCCTGTAAGTATAATTGGGAGTTACATAGGAATGTTGTGTAACTGGCTATATATCTTATCAGCGAAGATAAAGTGACACAAATTTATCATTTCTCCGCCTTCCGGGTGACCCGAAGGTCGATTCTGAATGAATGGGGAATGTAGCCAAGTTAAGGGAAATGGCACTAGTTAGTTAATGTTTTCTTTCCCAAACACACGTTTTAGATGCCATTTATCATATTCGAGTTAATAAACTGATTCTTTCACTATATTAGACTTGTCACGATACTGAATTAAAAGAAAAACTGGCAATTTCACGCTAACATTTAAGGCAATGTCGATAGCTTTCTTAAAACAGCGCTGATTTGCTATTGTGTTCACGTGTTCTAGACGCGATATGAGAATATAAAGACTTAACCAGATACAGTACAAGCCACGTGGAGCGATTACAAGTAACAGAACACAATTAAATACATAATTTGCAAGCTAGAGAAAACAAGGAGGCAACCATTTTAATCGCACTTACATACTTACATTTGTGAAATGGAGGATGAAACTGATCCATGAACTGTAAACTTCCTGCCAAGCTCTGACAAAGCCCCATCAGTAGTCTTTTGTGATCCTTCCTTTTACAAACAGCCGACAAATGCCCTGTTGTGTGTAGTTTGCTGAAGCACTTGTCAGAAAAATGACAGGAACACAGCACAAGGCTTGGGTTATAATGCTGAGGTATTTTTGCAAAAATAAACTTCAACCGTCCACTGACTCTTCACAGCCTCATCTTTGGGTAGAAAAAATAACACTAACTTTCCCTCAGACTTTAGAGCACAGCGTCTTCCCGAAATGATTTAACCAGGAACTGCTACAGTGTTTGTCTTCCTTTTTTCTTTCTACAGTGTTTGTGGGCGAGGGCGCAGGTTTCAATTTTCTCGTGTCTAAGTGAGCAACTTGTGGGCGGGGCTTGAGTTCCGTATAAACGTCACGCCAACACTGCTAAGGATTCGTCAGCACTGCGATTTTTCTCTTTCGCTCAGAAGCCGCATTTTCAGTCGATAATTTTTAGCAGCAAAGCATTCGGTGCATCCCTCATCTATAGATATGAAAGGAGTAGGCATACCTGAAGAAAGCCTAATGAATTATTAGAAAATAGTGCACAATGTGGTAATCTGGCTATGACATAAAGCAGAGTGGCCGTTACACCGCAGCTGTGCATTATTCCCAACTAATTCAAAGTCAATTAATCCACTTATACCACGGTTACCACACCTCAAGCCACTGTTCGGACATTTTATTTAAAGACATATGTACGGTTTTTGTCCTCAGACTGCCCCTGTGTGACGTACTTTCCTACGCATCTCATCCAAAATAAGTAAAATAATTAAAATTATTCAGCGGTGTGATGTTGAACTTTAAAGTGGTCAAAATCTGCCAAGAACGACATTAACTGTGTTTATCTGAAAATAATTGTACACTTTAGAATTAGCATCAAGCATTCAACAGTCCCATAGAATAAACACGAGTACTTGACAACCGAAATAACAATGGAGGACTACAAGACTATAGTAATATCGCCATCTACTGGCCTGCCATACATGTTTTTTGTTTTTGCATGTTTTTTGTTTTTGCAGATCTGTATAAACAGGGATGATTTTGACAGTGTTGTCTGTACTTAAAAAAGAAAGAAAAACTTCTTTATGTTTTTAGTACTTCCGTCATCATGTAATTGTACCCTCAATAACAAGGAGAGAATCAAGTTTCCTAAAGTGCCTGCTGACTGTTTTATAGCTCTGCCAAACTGCTTGTGTAAATATATGCAGACTGAGGAATTCAGGGACCCGTTCTTTAGGTTTGACTTGTGTTAAAGGTCAATCTATGTGAAAGTGACGTCAGATCAGTAACTGTATTCTCTTATAGCTAGAATGCATTGATCAATAAGTGAACAAATGTTTTCATATGTCACAGATGAAATGTTTCATGAAATACCTCCATTACCTGTCAAAGCTATCTTAGATACCAGCATGTAAAATAAGGTATTTATATTCTTATTATTCGCACTGATAGTACATTTGAACATTGTAAATAAAGGAATTTGAAAGATTTAATTAAAAAACATGTTGGTCATGTATCTTTTTTGGCATCAATTACAGCCTCAAGTCTTTTTGAATATGATGCCCCAAGCTTGGCACACCTGTCTTTGGGAATTTTTGCCCATTCCTCTTTGCTCAAGCTTTATCAGGTTGAATGGGAAGCGACGGTGTACAGCCATTTTCAGATCTCTCCAGAGATGTTTAATAGGATTTAGGTCTGGGCTCTGGCTGGGCGACTCAAGGACATTTACAGAATTGTTGCTGTGAAGCCACTCCATTGATATTTTGGCAGTGTGCTTTGGGTCATTGTCCTCCTTGAAGATGAACCGTCACCCCAGTCTGAGGTCAAGAGCACTCTGAAGCAGGTTTTCATTCAGGTTGTCTCTGTACATTGCTGCATTGCTGGCCTTCCCAAAAAGACAGTTAGACAGTTGCAGCTCATCCAGAATGCTGCAGCCAGAATTCTGACCAGAAGCAGGAAATCAGAGCACATCACACCAGTCCTCAGGTTTCTACACTGGCTCCCAGTTACATTCAGAATAGATTTTAAAGTATTATTACTGGTCTATAAATCACTAAATGGCCTAGGACCTCAATACATTACAGATATGCTCACTGAATACAAACCCAACAGATCACTCAGATCTTTAGGATCATATAAACTAGAAATTCCAAGAGTTCAGTTAAAGCAGGGTGAATCTGCCTTCAGCCACTATGCCCCTCGCTGCTGGAATCAGCTTCCAAAAATGATCAGATGTGCTCCAACATTAGGCATGTTCAAATCAAGACTGAAAACACAGCTGTTTAGCTGTGCCTTTACTGTATGAGCACTGTGCTACGTCCGACAGATTGCACTATTATGTTTTTTCGTTTTCTTTTTCATTCTTTTATAACCTATTTTAACACATTTTAAATTGTTTTTATCTGTTTTTAATCATTTTTATTGTCTGCATTTTATGTCCTAAACTTGTCTTTTTATTCCTGTTTATGTAAAGCACTTTGAATTGCCACTGTGTATGAAATGTGCTATATAAATAAACTTGCCTTGCCTTGCCTTGCCTTACAGGCCTGATTGGTGGATTGCTGCAGAGATGGTTGTTCTTCTGTAAGGTTTTCCTCTCTCCACAGAAGAACGCTGGAGCTCAGACTGAGTGACCATCAAGTTATTTATCACCCCCTGACTAAGGCCCTTCTCCCCCGATCACTCAGCTTAGATGGCCGGCCAGCCCTAGGAAGAGTCCTGATGGTTCCATATATTACCCAGTGGTGTTTTTTTTATTTTATATTATACTACAAAACACCAGTTTACTGTGGTTAAACTAAAGTACACTACAGTACTTATTAGTTTATCAGTTGCCTATCTAATATTACATTATGTTGTAACATTCATTTACACATCCATTCATTCATTTCCACAGTGGAATAAACCGCCAACTTATCCAGCACATGTTTTAGACAGCGGATCCCCTTCCAGCTAACCCAGTATTGGGAACAAAGAATCGTACATTTTATAATATATACAGTATAACACACTTGCTATAAAATGGTCTAAAACACTATATTTATTATAAATAACTTAAGTAGTTTTATTTTAAGACACTTGCATTTATAAATATAAAATTTCCCCAAAATTAGAATATTGTTCAATACAAATTTTACAAATAAACCAAAAATATACTTACTTTTTTTTTTTTTAGAAAACTGGGAAAACAAACATGTGTTGAACATGTTTATATTTATAGGCCAATATATTTTTAGTCATCACATATTATTATCAACCCACATGAAAACCACTGTTTTTGATTATTCAAATGGAATGTTGGTCATACTGTTGTTAAAATTAAATTTAGGAAGAAGACTGACAAGGAAGTTTATTGACAAAATTAAATTGATGGAAGTGTCATTTATTTATTTATTTTTTTTTTTTTGTTTGTGTTTATATTTCTTCTGTTTTAGAATTTTTTTATTTAGAATTTCTAATTTTTATAATATTTTATATATTGTTTATCTTTTCCCAGTGTTGGGTGCAGCTGGAAGGGCATCCGCTGTGTAAAACATATGCTGGATAAGTTGGCGGTCCATTCCGCTGTGGCTACACCAGATTAATAAAGAGATTAATGTGAAAATAAAATAAATTATTATCTTTATTATGTGTGCCCTGTCCTGTAATTTTAGATGAAAGTGATTGTTTAAAAAACAACATTGATCGGTCCTCTAGCACCCCCTAGTGGACTCAATCCCCAGTCATAAATTGAGGTAACTGCAGCGCAAACACCCTAAAACGAGTCAAACCAGACCTGTTACATATCAGTCCAATCTCAAAGTGAAAATTGACGCCAAAACAAGTCCACACACATATAAAACATACACCCTCGGTTTTGCTTTCACCCTCATGACGCATAAACTTTTAATCATGGATTGACAAGAGTTATGGGATTAATCTCCACCACCTCACTTGTTGAGGCTCTCTAGGCCTTCTATTGTAGACATTTCATCGAAATATTGAATTCATTCAAGCTCACTAGCTTAAGACAGAAGTCTTGAGTGTGTGTTTTTTGTCTGGGCGACTGTCAATCATCGGCCCCTTTAAGAGCTTCTGTCGCTGTCATTGACGAAATTTCCTGCTGTGAAGTGAGTGAGTCTCTGGATATCAACAACGAAGTGAAACCGACTAATGATGGTTTGCAGTTTGCACGCGGGTTTTCGTGCGTAATAACGCTGGAAATTACATCTGACAGCTCAGAGGGTCGCATTGGTGGATCAATGTATCTACTCAAGCATTTTACGCTGGATTTCTCCTCAAGCTGGTAGCAGGTGGTGGTGGTGGTAGTGGCGTCGGCGACGGAGGAGCTCGGATATTGATGCCTTCCTGTTCATGAAACTTAATTACGAATTACGTGCTAGGTAGGTAGTAAACTTTCTAGCCCCTTTTCCCAATGTTAATCTCTTTGGCGGGCGGGCGGGGCGCGTTACAATGTATTACGCTTTTGTTACATTGTTGCATTCGGTTCCACAAACTCACCAGAGCGCGCGCGGATCGCGGTGAAGGTGCCTTCAACATTGCTCCTGGTTTTATGGAAATACGTTTATTTCGCAATTTTCATTGATATATTGTGTGGTTTGATGTGACAACTGTGATATAGCGTGAAGGATAGGTAAGAGAATTGTTTGAAATATTTAGCACGCGCGCGCGCGCGCCGCCATTCTTGTAGATCGATTTATAAGATGTTTCGAAAGGCTTTTTAGGTCAAGGCATTAATCGGCAATCTATTAATGGTGCAACTCTGTCAGACCTCGATGTTTTATTGATGAGGTCCAACTTGAACCGCACGGCGAGGTGATGAAGATGCACAACCCCGGAGCTTCTGAACGCGTGAGGAAAACGTGCTTTTGTGTGTTTTTATCATTTTACTATGTGTAGAAGGTGCATAACATTGCTGTGACATAATATGCTGCAGAGGGTGACAATATGGGGGGATGGTGGTGTTTGGGGAGTGTAAATGGAGATGTCTAACACAATGCCACTGAGTATGGTCGAAGGGAGCTTAGAGAAAAGGCTTGGCCGCTCAAATGATTGCCAGAGTCGGAGAGAGTGAAAGGGGAGTCGGCCGGTGGCGTCAGTGTGGATAAAATAGTTGTGGTAGTCATGGTGTTTACCCATGATGTAACTCATGGGTGTTAATATAGAATTAGGATTTGCTTTACAATAGAAGGTCGTTTGTATGTTGAAGTATATAAATAAGTATCTTATTTTTAATAGTACAGTATCTGCTATAGGCTACTATCAAACGGGGAACGTTCCCAGTCAAGATTTTAAATACAGTAATGTTAATAAAACGTTTAAAAGAGTTGGTTTTTAAAACGTTAGCTCAATTTTATTTAGGCTTGCATTTAGGACTGTGCAATATGGAAAAAAAGCTGTCACGAATTATATTTATATCAGTTTATGTTAATAAAATTCAAAGTAAATATCAGTTTAAGGGCACAATAAAAGAGTGTTTCATTAAAGTTAGGTTGCTTTATTTATACCCGAAGGTAAATTTGGTTTGCAGTCAAGTGTCCTCGTTTTATAACTGTGCCACACAAAAAACTCTCCATACTCTCATAGCGTCAACAACAAATAGACATAAAGATATAAAACATAAACATACAAAACACTCACACTAGAACATATTTCACTGACGTGTTTACATTATCCCAAATGTTTAAAAGAATGTTCAAATGCTGACACTAAACCAGTTTGAACTTTTGAAAAAGACGATCCTGTGGTAAAGTCTATATGGGATACAGCTGCCAGTACTTACATCAGTATAGCATATTTTTTGTTGCTATGTACAAAAATAATTAATGTTTTTACACTGGGTAAATTTTGGGGTTGGAGTTAGGTAAATTTATTAATAAAATAAATTCAATTAAATTCATGTTTATATAGCGCTTTTGCAATGTAAATTAAGTCAAAGCCGCTTAACATTCAGTAGTAAAGTCCAGAATTAAATATTTATTGATCATAATTTCTGTTTTTATATTACTGTGATGTTGGAGTAGGGTAGACATTAATAAAATACAATAAATGAGTAATGTAATAAATAATATAAATAATTATCAGGGGACGCAGTGGGTAGTGCTGTCGCCTCACAGCTGGATCAGTTGGCATTTCTATGTGGAGTTTACATGTTCTCCCAGCAATTTCCTCCGGGTTCTCCGGTTTACCCCACAAGTCCAGAGACATGTGGTAGAGGTGAACTGCGTAAGCTAAATTGTTCGTAGTGTATGGGTGTTTCCCAGTGATGGGTTGCGGCTGGAAAAGCATCCACTGTGTAAAAACGTGCTGGATAAATTGGCAGTTTATTCTGCTGTGGCGACCCCTGATTAATCAAGGGACTAAGTGAAAAAGAAAATGAATGAATGAATGAATGAGAATAAAGTAATTCTCGTTAACTTCCTGCTGCAGCTAAATCCCTTCTAGCTACAACCGTATCCTGTGTCACCATACTAATGACATCACACACACACACACACCCTTTATAGAAATCAGGAAAACACCAAAGTTGCTTTAATATGTTGTGTGTTTTGTTACACACAACATATTATTTATTTTTATTATTTATATTATTTATATTTATTTACCAAAACATGGGGAATCAAAATCCACAATATTTATTTATTTATTATTTTTTAGATAAACAGTGCTACTTCTTCTGCAAGTGATCATAAGTGGAAGAACCGGAAGCGACGAACTGTGGCAAAATAAATACATTTAATAGCTTTGGCAAATTTTACCCTAATTCTGCTCAAACTACCATGATTATAGGTTTTTAACACTTTAGCTAATCTATGCATCGTTTCTAGGATGTAATGAAGACCACAAGTCCCATGATTCACTCTTATGCCTAGTTCACACTGCGTGATTTTAGCCCTGATTTCGGCTCGCCGACAGGTTTTGAGAAATCGCCGACAAATGCCTGAAATCACAGGCAAATCGCTGCTCGTGCACGTGAGTGACAATCACACAGTATGAACTATCAAAGACGCGATCTGAGAGAATCGCCGATGAGTCGCCTATGCCTGTGAGATATTTGGCATGCTAAATATCTGGAGCTGTCGGTGATTCAAATCATGACGTGTGAATTGAGTTTTGACTGAAAATAACATCAGCCATCGCCTACAGCCAATGAGAGAGCAGCTTTCACTTGTGTGTGTGTGTGTGTGTGTGTGTGTGTGTGTGTGTGTATACCTGCTGCAGGCCAGCGGGAGGCTGGGGGAGAAGTTAAAAGCGCTCTTTTTCGGTTTATTTGGACCCACGAAATGGAGGAAAAACTAGTGGAGGTTAGACAGGACTCAGGAGCAACTGTGTCTGTTTGACATTTAATACAGAAAGAAATTAGTTTATTATCAACGTTTAGGAGAAATGGCTAATTCCCTTTAAACCCAGGTGAGCAAACATGTACATGTTCTACCCCATTAAAGGCTTCTTTCTCATTATGTAGTTCATAACAAAAGATATAATACGTGTTTTTGGCTGTGAGACGTAGTTTGGATGACGTTGTTGGGGATTCTTCCTATGGTAAAGTCATGCAAGGTGAAAGTCTCTGTCCCCTGATCCATCTTGCAGTGTAAACAAAACAGCGACAAAACGCTAGCCCAGATAGTCATGCAGTGTGAAAACATCTGTGACACGACTACTTTGAAAATCATGCAGTCTGAACTCGGCATTAGTCAAAGCATCATAAAAATACTCCTTTGTTTGTTGTAAAAAACTTGTCCTCTAGTGGCCGGAAATGACATGCAGTTTTTTAAAGGCCAATTTTTGTTACTAAATGTATGTTGTGTAAATCAGACTGCTCACTGTTGATTTGATATAGTTCTTTTGATAAAACAGATCTGAAGTATAATATTTAAAATGAGAAATCTTTCTAAAACGTATATAGAGTAAAGAATTTTCCTTAACAAAATATCTTCGAGTGATACATAATGTTAACTGTGCATTCCCAGCGAACAGAGGCAATGTTATTGGAATATCAACTAACATTCTGGCAAGGTTTTCTCAATGTGATGTACAAACATTCATGTGGTAACACTTATATAACATTTGCTCTGCTCTTCAATAATGTGTTTCTATTCTATAATAAAGCATTATTTCAGGTTGATAAGGAAGTTCACCTAAAAGTCAATATTTGCTGTGAATTTACTCAACCTCAGGCCATTTAGGATGTACTTTATTTGACTTTTATTTTCTTTAGTAGAACATTAAAGAAGATTTTTAGCTGAGATTGAGATTGTTAGTCTTTTCAGAATATCCAAGTTGATGGCTACCAGCATTTTGACAGTCAGAAATGTGCACAGATAAAAGTAAACATTTTTACCTTTTATTCACAGTCTAGGCAAACGTAAACTAGGGAACCTGAACCCGTTGTTGTTTACAACAGAGAGGAAGGTTGCATGTATTGTATTGTTGATCAGAATGGTACTTTCGCCTTTTCTGGATGCTTCCAAACATGTATAAAAAAATCTAAATTATGTTTGAGAAAAGTAAAGCTCTGGCTAACAATTTTTTCTAGGGAAAAGCATGCTGTTTTATTAACTACAAGCCATATCACCATATCACAGCCATATCACCGTGCAGCCCAAGACCGGTTACTGAAGCTAAGCAGGCCTCAGCCTGGTCACTACCTGAATGGGAGACTACATGAGAAAACTAGGTTGCTGTTGTAAGTGGTCTTATTGAGGCCAGCAGTGGGGCACTCAACCTGTGGTTTGTGTCCTAATGCCCCAGTAAAGTGAAAGGGACTCTATATTGTCTGTGCACAACGTCTTTTGGATGAGACGTTAAACTGATGTCCTGACTCTCTGTGGTCATTAAATATCCCATGTCATGTCTCGTAAATAGTAGGGGTGTAACCCTGGTGTCCTTGCCAGATTCCCTCTATCGGCCCTTACCAATCATGGCCTCTCAATCAACCGAATTGGCTCTATCACTGTCTGTCTACTCCCCCTATAGATGGTGCGTCATGAGCCTGCTGACACCGTTGTCCTGTGGCTGCTGTCAGACCATCCAAGTGGATGCTGCACACTGGTGGTGGTGTGGAGAGACCCCCCTCTCATGATTGTAAAAAGCTTCAGGTGTATGGCCATACACGATAAATGCGCTATATAAATACACAACACTTACTTACAAGAGTTTCATACATACTGCAACTTTAAGTAAATAATTATATACTGGACATTCATAAAAAAGGAATCATCATTCTAGTCATAACATTTGAATACTTGAGCAAAAAATGAAAATTATTGTTCCCTGCTGATTCAGAGCTCCTATTGGACAGGGCATTATCATGAATAGGATTTGTGATTCTTGTGCAGACTAGTAAAGAGAGAAAAATATAATACTCCACCCTGAACAAATC